GGCTGCCCTTCCCACGTGTCCCCTGCCTCCACTGCCTGCGCTGCCCGTCCATCCCTTCCCCGCTGCTGGTTGGGCTGGTGCCGGAGCGAGGGGCTGGCTGCCCTGTCGAGCTTCCCCTTCCCTGCCTGTGACCTTGTCCCCAGCCCCTGTCCCCTTGCCATCTCCCAGCTCGATGGGGAGCCGGGGCGCGGGGAGCAGGCTGCTCCGGGATGAGGGGGTGCAGGACGCGGCCGTGCCGAGCGGCCCCAAGCCCGGCTGTGCTCGGCAGGGATGACGATGGAGGAGGTGCGGCGCTACGAGCAGGAGACGCAGGAGGCCACCAACGAGCTCATCGGCCTGGTGGCACCTGCCATCTCGGTCAGCGAGGTGGGGCAGCCGACAGCCACGCACTCGGCCCCTGCCAGCGCCCCCTCCACCCCCCTCAGCGACGAGGCCCCCGAGTTCCTCGCCCCCCCCAAGACTCGCCCGCGGAAGAAGTCGGCGCCGGAGACCCTGACGCTGCCAGCGCTGCGGGAGCGCACTGGCGCCGAGTGATGCCGGCAGCGCCACACCATGCTGGACTGTGCCAGCTCCGCCGCCCACCGCGGCCCCTCCGACAGGCACTGACCCCAGGGAGGGACCCGCTTTTGGGGCGCTGGGAGCCCCAGGGGGGTGCTGGCCTCCCTGAGCTATCGCGGGTGCCCATGCGGGTCAGTGCCACCACTGCCGTGCCACACCCGCTGGCTGCACCGGGAGGGGACACAAGCCCCTGTGAGTCCCTGGCAGCGTCGGGAGATGCCGCAGGAGCCGGTTCCTTCAGCTCCACCCGCCCTGGTGTCTGCAGGGGCCATCGAGGCTGGAGAGTGGTGGGGAGGTGCCCGCTGGTGCTCAAGGGCCGTGGCCAGGCTGGTAGGCAGTGCCAGGCTGGAGCAGTGCCCTGCAGGGTAGGCACCAGTGCAGGGGCACAGTGCAGGTGACAGTGACAGCTGGGTGCTGGGCTGGGGCTCCCCGTGGGACCATGGGTGCTGCACAGCCTTGGGCATGGCTGGTCCCGCAGTCGGGGTCCCCTTCACTGTCCCTCCAGAGGCTGTGGCTGGCTGGGAGGGGGCTGGGGTGGGCCCAGGCCCCCATTTTGTTTGGGAAAACAAAGGCCTTTTTGGAAATAAAGCTTGAGACACGGCGGCCGGTGGCTGGCAGGGGTTTATTTAGTGCTGTGCAGGGGTGCTGTGCCTGTGCCAGGGTGCTGCATCCCCCAGGACTGGATGGGTGCAGGGAGGGATGGTTGGATCGCCGATCCTGGGATGGGGAGATGGGGGCCTGCGATGGGGCATTGAGGGCTGGGGGGCAGGTGGGCAGGGCAGGCAGGATGGTGCTGACTGTGTGGAATCAGCCCAGCCCTGGGGTGATGCCCCCACCTACAGCAGCAGCACTGGGCCCCACTCCCTGCCAGCCATCATCATCATCCTCCAGCTCCTCGGTCCCATGGCACAGCAGGCGCCTCTGCTCCCAGCAGGGCGATGTAGTGGGAGCTGCAGTAGACAGGGGCCTTGTTGGGGCTGGAGTAGACCTGCTCAGGCCGCAGTGAGGCAAAGGGGTTGCTGGCATAGCCCACGATGTGCGCCTCAAGCTCCACGAGGATCTGCAGGGACGCCTTCAGCTCCTGCTCGCTGTGGGAGAGTGGAGGACAGGCCTGTCACCAGGCAGCTGTGCCGGCTCCCGGGGCCAAGGGGCTGCACTCACCTGTACACAGTGAAGAGGACGGGCAGGCCATAGTCCCGCAGCAGCAGCAGGGTGGGCAGCCACCCCGCCAGCAGGTCTGGGCAGGCGTGGAAACCTGTGGGGTCACAGCAGTGAGGGCTCCACCTCCCTCCCATCCCACCCTGGCCCCACAGCTGTGTCCCCCTCTCCTCACAGGAGCTGAGGCAGATGGAGGAGAGGTACACGGAGATCCTTGAGTCCATCTGCCAGGTGGGGACACTGGGGACATGGGAGACATTTGGGAACATGCAGACACAGAGAGACTGGGGAAAGCCAGCTCCAACTGCACCCACTCCATGCTGGGGACCCCAGGGCACACATTGGTACTGGTGATAATGTTTGGAAGCCCTCAGCAAGGTGAGGTCTGGCTCCCCATCAGCACAGGGGGCACTCCAAACTCTGGGTCTGCGCTGAGCACAGCACCAAGCCCTGAAGCACAGGCCCCTCTGACCAGCAGAAGGGTGACACAGGTGACACAGGCAGGATAGTGAGTGCCTGGTGGGGGACGAGGCAGCCACATCTCAGGGGATCACCCCAGCTGGGCATTGTACCTTGGTGCAAAGCCCTGGGCATGTCCCATGCCACCTGCAGGCTCAGCCCCAGGTGCTTCAGGGTGGTTCCCGAGTCCCTAGCCCGTGCCCTGTGAGGATGTCCCGCTCCCAGGTGTGAGGATCCAGCCTCTTCACAGCACTGGCACTCACCTGGGTGAAATCCCACCACCAGGTCAGGACGGGCAGCCAGCTTGGTCTCCACATGGCTTTCCCAGAAGTCGTGGTAGAGCCCCTTGTAGCTGCTGAGATAGACCCTGCCCCAGGGCGCTGGCGTGGCCAGGGGTGGCCTCATGATGGGTCCATCCACCACATCCACGCCCACCATCACCATCTCCATGCCCCGGTGCCCCGGGAACATCCGTGTCAGCTCGTCGTAGTCCGTCGGCCGCGTATTGAGGGTCTCCACGTGGGAGGCCCCCACCACGTGCACGGTGAGGGGCCTGGCGAGGGGGTCGATGCCGAAAAGCCGCAGCCCCAGGCCGATGGTGAGCGGCCGCGAGTGGAAGTCGGTGACCAGGCGCCGGATGGACTCGCGCAGCTCCCCGTCCTCCGGCCGCGGCTTCCCGGCGTTGGCCCAGAGCAGGGTCATGTACCGCCCGGCCACGATGGCACCCAGCTTCTCCTCCAGCTGCTCCTGCATGGAGAACCAGTCCTCCCAGCCCTTCACATCCCCCGCGGGTTTTGTCCAGGTCTCCGTGGGGAAGGGGATGTCTCCTGGAGGTCGGGAGAAGGTTGGAGGGCACAGTGGTGGCCCCACAGCCCAGGCTGCCCATCCCACCTGAGCTGTAGGAGTGCCAGAGGAGAGGGGCTGGGGGAGGGACCCCACATCCCACCATGGGAGCTGTGCAGCCTGGGGTGGGGATCAGGCAGGCTGGGGGGAGGACGTGTCCCACCTGTGAAGACAAGCCACTCCACCAACCGATCCAGGGCCACCAGCTTCAGCTTCTTGCAGAACTTCTTGTGCAGTGGCCAGTTGGCACGCTGGCATGCCACGCCACAGTAGTACACATTTTGGCACCTGGGCAGACAGGCAGAAAGCCAAGCCATGGGGAAAGGGGCAGGATCTGTTCCTGCTGAGCCTGGCTCACCCCTTCCCAGGGCTGTGTCATTGTTTTGGGGGGGGTGCCCTGAGGTTGGAGATGGGCACCGGGGCCACACACCTCTCACGGCACCCCAGCCACTGGGCTGGAAGCGAGGGATGGATCCATCCCTGTGCCATCAGACCATCCCTTCCATACCTCTTGCAGCGCCGGAGGCTTTTGGGGTCAGGGAGGGCATCAGGGAGCTTCTTGCATTCAGCACAAAACTTGAAGGTGTCCTCCATCTTCTGGAACATGTCAAAGTACGTCCGGATACCGAAATCGCTGCCGCTCTTCTTCCCGTCCATGGCAGACCTGCACATGTTGGGGGGTGAGCAGGATCCAGTCCACTGCAACCACTGTGGGGCTGACGTCCTGCCTCCGTCCGAGCCTGCCAGGATTTTTACCTCCAGCCAGGAACACCCTGGCCTGGGTGGAGATGGGGAGCTGGAATCCCTGGAGGGGTGCACCCAGGAGTCCATTAGAGCCAACATATGGGCTGGGCCGGGAGGGTGGGATGAGGCAGGAGAGACACTCCAGCAGTGGGGGGACACACGGGATGGGATGGCCTGGCCGGGGTGAGGGGTGTGGGGAACGTGCACCTATGACTGCTCACTCACTTGTAGTCCTCGTAGCTCTCCATGTTGAGCTTCTGCAGGATGACGTGGGACAGCCCCGGCACGTTGCGGTCCATGGCCTGGAAGCCCAGCGAGTCCACGTCCGGAGCCCTCGCTGCCGGCCCCTCCACGGCCTTCTTGGGGCGGCCGGGCCTGGGGGCAGCGCCCGCTGGCTGGGCCGTGGGTGCTGCAGGGCAGAGGGGTGCGGGCGATGGGGCCGGCTGGGGGGTCCCCGTGCTCTGCTGGGGTCCCCCTCGCCGCCCCCCGCGGCGCCTCCCGCCCGCCATCCCCCTGCTCGTCCCGGGAGATTCCGGGCAGTCCCGACAGCCTGTCCCGCTGCCGGGCTCAAATGTCAGCCCCTAGGGGGAACGAGGCCCCTCCGGCGGGAATCGGATAGCGGAGCTATTCTGGGCATCCCCTCCCCGGGAACCGGCCAACCCGCTCCGGGGGTCCGGCTCCCGCCCAGAAAGCCGCGGCGGTGGCAGTGGGGTCCCCCCAAAACCCACTAATGTACCACAACTGCGCAACTGGGGGGATCTCGGGGGGCTGCCCAAGCCCCTGGGACCACCTGTCACCAGGGGGCCGTGGGGTCCCCACCCCAGCCTGGCCTGCGGGGACCCCCTCTCAGGGCCCCCAGTGGGGTGTGAGGGAGTGGCTGGGTGGGCACCACAGACTCCGCCAGGGGGGCCATAGCGGGGCTGCCCAGGGGCACACAAAGCTGCAGGGAGGATCGCGGTGCCCCCGCAGCACCCCCACGACACACGGGTGGGCTCGGGGGGACCCCTCCCACGGGGGGGGGCGGTAAGGGCTGCCCACACCCATCATGGCGGCAGCAGCGGCTTCACGGACACGCCCCCCCAGCACGTGTGAAGAGCCGCGGTCTCGCGAGGGCTCGGGTCCGGCGGGAGCAGCCGCGTCGCTGTGGTTACGGGACGCGAGTCAGGGAGGCCATCGGGTTCGAGCCCCGCTCCGCCCTGTGGGGCTGCGGGACCCCCCGCGCGGGAGGAGCCCCCGGGACCGCCGGTGGGGGGCTGCGGGAAGGCGCACCCTGCGGTGGGAGAGCCCCCAGCCCCGCGGGTGAGGGGCTGCAGGAGTTCCCCAGGACCCTCGGTGAGGGGCTGCGCCGTGGCGGGACAGCCCGCGGGGCCGTTGGGGCCGCGCTGAGGGGTCCGCGCTGAGGGGGCCGCCCCGCCGGGCTCGGGCTGACCCGGTGCCCCTGCCCGGCCTGTGGGAGCTGGGGCTGTGAGGCAGCGGGGGTGCTCTGAGCCTCGGGAGGGATTCCCAAACCCGAGGAGCAGACGGAGCCAGGTCCCCTGGGTATGTGGCAGCCGTGAGGGGATGGCGGGGCAGCCACAGGGCTTTGGCCCGGGAGGTCCTGGTTAACTTAAACACGGAGTAAAAGAGAGCCCCGCGCTGTACCTGGTGCTCGGAGCTGAGAGCAGCCTGGCACAGCGAGTCCTTCCCGAGAGCTGCAGCCGGGGTGAAGTTTACAGAGCCAGATAATGCTCACATTACATTTCTCTCTGTCCTCCCCCTGCGCCTCGTGACTCGTCACTGCCAAAGCCCTCTGCTTTCAGTGGTGTTTTGACAGCCGAGCCCTGAACAGCGCTCACAGCCACCACCGCTGTGTCCTGCAGAGGTATCTGGGAGAGGAATGGAGCAGTTTCATGTTTCTTGCCTCATTCTTTCTCCTGCAGAGCCATGGAGGTCCCTGCAGAGCTGGCTGGTGGGAGTGTGTCCTTGGCTGCAGCTCTTCCCAGCATGTCACAGCCAGCAGCAGTACAGATCACTGTCCTGAAGGCGCAGGACCTGGTAAAGTTCTCCTGAAAATGTCTCTACTAATTTAATAAACGAGGCCAGAGCAATTCTGTGCGCTGGGATCCTGTTTGAGGCCAGGTGGGGGGTGATAAGGCTGCAGGAAGGAGTGGTGGGAGTGTCAGAGATTCAGGAATACCACACTGTGGCTTCCTCTCCCTGCTGAGGGTTCATTCACACAGAGTAAAAGCTTGTGAGTCACATAAATTGGGGAATGCACCTCCTCAGCAGCAGTCCAGAAATGCTGTGATGAAATGTAACTCTCTGCCTCCTCTAACTGTATGTAAATGGCAGCTTTTTTTTTTAAGCAAAACACAGTGAAAATGCGTATCAGTGAGACAAATGCCTCTGAAAAGATCTCAACTTGGTTATAAAGTCAGATTTTCATCTCAGCTCCAGCTGTTTGAACCATATTGAAAGCAACAGGGTGGCTCTGGGCTTAAAAAGGCTGTGGCTCCAGTGCCAGACTATGAGCTGGTGCCAATCAAACCATCACTGCTGTGATTTCCATGTGATGCACCCAGCTGTCCTTAAAGCCTCCTAGAGGAACTGGTATTTGGGAGGGAATGCAGAGGAGAAGCTCAAGCAGAAAAATGCAAATCCTTGCTTCTGCTCCTGCAGAAGAGAGCAAAAAACAACCTGCTTGAGGCTTTTACATTGTAGTGTTGGAGTACCTCTCACACTGATAGATTCAGCAAACAGGTGAGAGGTATGAGGTGAGAGGAGGAAAAACAATGCTGGAAAGAATAAGCCCATGTTCTGATTGCATTCAGAATGTTGCTTTGTGGTTCTGATTGCTCCATCCTGAGAAAGGGCTGTGGCAAAACCAGGGGGGTTACAAAAGGGCAGTCACAACAACAACAATATGAAAAGAATTCCAGCTGTAAGAATGTGGAATCCACTTCCAGCTATAAGTGTGGAATCTGGTTAATTAGAGGTAATGTAGGGAGAGATGAGAGAGGAGTCTTGGATAATTAATGGTCCAGAGGAAGGTTAATTGGATTCTGTTTAGCCATTCATAGAATGCATGCTCAAGGAGACTGTGAGAGGGGCTGAAAATTAAAACCAAGTGAAAGAGATCTCTTTTTGTGTAAGAGCCAACATCAAACTAATTACCCCAGTGACAGGGAGAGAGGGAGCTGAGGATGAGGCTGTGGAGGTTGGGCATCCCTGTGGCTCAGCACTGAGGAAAAGTTGTTTGGGTACAATGGTCCTTGTATTCAGCCACTCCTCTGTGGCTTGAGAACTAAACTGTGTTTCTCCTGCTCTTTGGTACCTGCTGCCCAGCAATTCCTCTCACTGTGCCTGGTGCTGCCCAGGCATGCAGGTCCCTCCTGCCACACAGGTTGTGCCCTCACCATCCCTCCTGTTGAAGCCCCTCTGTTTAGACATTTTAAATTCCAACTAGAATTTGAATCTGCTCATCCCTGCTTAAAGCAAGTGGCATGAAGGTGGTGTAACAACAAATTGCAGGGGTCCCCAAAGAGCTTGCTGGAGGCCCTCTTTGATTTCATAGAATCATGGAATCATTAAGGTTGGAAAAGGCCTCTAAGACCATAGACTCCAGCCCCTGCCAAAGCCACCACTAAACCAAGTGCCACACCCACATGTATTTTGAACACTTCCAGGGATGGTGACTCCTCCACTGACCACCCTTACAGTGAAGAAATTCTCCCTAATATTCAGTCTAAACCTCCCTTGGCACAACTGGAGGCTGTTTCCTCTCATCCATTTCAGGGCATTCTGCAGCCACATGATGTCCACAAGCATCCTGTGAGCTCATCCCTGTAGCTTGAGAGCTACTTTCTTAGAGACAACAAACATCTCAAGCTTTCTGGAAGCACAGAAATGTCAATGGGATATTTTGGGATTTGTTTTAGATGTGTCTTTCCTGGGGTGAAGCCTGGGCCTCTCCATCTCCTGTGCCAGGGCTCCTGATAATCTTTGGGGCATCACAGCATGGTGAAGCAGGAAACTTCCCTCCTAAAGGCAGGGAAGGGTGAGGTCCTGGCATGGCCAACATCTGCTGCTCTTGGTGGAACAGGCCCCCCACCAGTGAGCCCTGTCCTGGGCACTGAACTGAGCTGCTGCCAGAGGAGCTGGGACCCCAGGCTGCTGCTGCAGAGGCAGGTGTTAATCTGCTCTTTTTTTTGGACAGAAAACTCTCAAAAGCGACGTGCTGGTTACACTGGTGCGTGTGGAGTACAACGGAGCAGTCCTGGGAGACTCCCCCAAGGCTGATGTCTTGCCAGACGGGACAGCAATCTACAGTTTCACCACAAGCTTTGAGTGCAGCCGTGACGGGCCCAACTCCTTGGATGTCATTGCACAGAAACCGCTGCTCTGTGAGTACCTGGCACTGGACCTGCCCCCTTGGAGGGGGGTTCTGTCGGCTGCAGGAGTGCCTTGTTTGGGAATAGCACTCGAGCAGCAGCAGTGGGAGGATCTCAGCACTTGTGTTCCATCTCTGCCAGCTGGAAGAATCCTCTTCCATGTCTGCCTGTGCTCCTTTGGCTTCGCCGTGCTCGTTGGCTTTAGGAGATGACAAGGAGTGTGTGCCAGAGCTGACACAGACCCTTCCCAGCCCCCAGCCTCCTGGTCTGAGGAACTCTGCCAGCTCCTCTCCTTTTATCTCCCTAGTGACAGTGGTAGAAGTGGGGCAAAAAGAGAAGAAAAAACAGGAGAAGACCACGCCTCTTGGCCAAGCTGTGGTGGACCTTCTACCTCTGCTGCAAGGTACAACATTGACTTCCACAGCCTCCATAACCACTTCTTGCTCCCTGGCACTTTTTTATCTTTGCTCATGGAACCCTGACTATAACTTACCTCCTTCTGACAAAGTGACTGTCATAGCTCTGCAAAATCTGGCTGGGGGGGAGAGGGGGTGGCATCAGTAGCTCAGCATTAGGAGTTAGACCATGATTTTGTCTAGTGGAAGGCATCTCTGCCCACGGCAGGTGGTTGGAATGAGATGATCTTTAAGGTCCCTTCCAACCCAAACCATTCCATGACTATGATCCTCTGCCCGAAGTCTCACTTTAGGCTGTTCACACTCCTGTTTCTCCCCAGGAGAGTGTTCACTGAAGGTCTCAGCTCCTTTGTATGCAGTGCCTGCCTCCCCATCAGAGAGCCCTCGCCTGGAGGCCATGGTATGTGGAATTTGGAACTGCTCCTTCCCTCATTCAGCTCTCTGCTGCTTTTTAATGGGAAGGAGAGCATGACTCAGCCACCTGGCTCATCGGGGATGTGGTGCTGCCCTATATGTTACAGGCTCGGAGGCCTTTCCCGCTCCCCCTGATGTCTGTCCCCAGTTGCCTGTGATAGGTGAAGTCACGCTGGGAAATGTTAATGTGTGCAGCTACTGATTCGCTCTGGAAAAAAAAAAAGCAGAGATGGAAATCAGAGTGGTGAAAAACCCGAAAAATACAACAGCTGGGTCACCTCCTCAGCTTATTTATTAGTCTTCCCTTCTGCAGATAAAGTGTCTGAGTCCATTATTGTACGAGCTCTGGCTGCCTTTTCTGAAAGGTCCTTATTCATTCAGCTGGTTGCAAAGTACCCAGTGACTAAAACAGGGAATGAAGTATGAGACTGGGAAAGTGTGTCCAATTTTGCTGCTGAGCCTGCCTGCAGTGAGCACCGGGAGTGAACTGGAGGGGTGGATATCACATTAGCATCTCTGTGTTTAAGAGGTTCACAGTGAGCAAGGTGGGGGGACACTCATTAGGGAGGCCAGGCTATAAATGCTGACCAGCTGGTTTTTCATTGCACACCATCCATCCAGGGCTGGGACAGGTAATTAAAGGCTGCACACAGAGCATGGAGATTGGACAGAGGCAAAGCACGGCCTTCTGAATCACCAGGGGAAAAGCATCATTTTCCATCCTTGATGTTCCTTCTCTGCGGCTCCTTTTATGAGACCCTGCCTCATTCTCCATGGCTCATTTTATGAGACCCTCAGGGCACATGCCCTACCTCAAACAGGCTGTGATTTAAACAAACAAATACCACAATTGAGCCAAATTGATCCTGAAATTCCTTTGCTGTCCTGGTCTGTTTTCTTTTACATCTGAGATGAGGCATAAGATAACATTATACATTCCAGCCTTAGTTTTCTGTTTGCTTCTCCTTAAGACCAGGCAACTTATAATTGTCTAGTTACTGACTCTACTTTATCCTTGTCTCACAGGGTGGCCTTGAAGTGACAGTGTGCACCAAAGAGCCCCTGCTCTCTGCCACAGAGTTCTCAAGTGGGAGCCTCCTGAGTGTCACGCTGGAGGCAGCTTATTCTGTTCCTGAGGCATTTGCCGCTGAATCCCAGCAAAATTACATGGCTTGCTTGCAAGTACCAGCAGCTGGTGAGGTGAGAATAGTCCAGGCATGGTGACAGGGAATTTGGGTTGTTCTCCCACACCACAGAACCAGTGTCCAGGCACGTGGGCTGACAGCTCCTGTGCCTGTGCACCAGCAGCCTTTGTTGAGAGGGCTTAGGGTCTCTGTGGCATGACACGTTTCTTTAACAGAAAGCTCTGCTTGGAAAGATTTGGATTCAAACTGGCAGCGTTTTTTCCACAGGGCTCTTTATTTTTATCCCATTCTTTGTATGTGTGTGGTGGAGTGTGTTTTCTGAGCCAGGCCCTGCACTGCTGCTTAGCTTTGTTATCCCAGCTCTGAGCAGCTGGCTCTTGCTCCTGCTTCTGTTGGAAATGCAAATCCTTTGTTTCTCTTGTCTTTCTAGAAGGAACTCCCCTTGCTCTTCAGGAATGGCATCGTGAAGGCTGATGGTGAAAAAGAACCATTGCCCCGGCCCAAAAACTGGCCCCTTGGTAACATCCTGGCCCCTGGGGCCCTGAGCATACCCAACTCCTTCATTGTTGGAGGGCCCTATGAGGATGAGGATGGAGAGCTCACCAAAAGCGAGGTGAGGGAGGACTGGCAGGGTCACAGGTGGAACTGAACCAGCAGGGACTGAGAATGACTTGTTATGAGGAGGTGGTTGGTCAGTCCTCTGCGCAGTGTCCAGGCACGGAGATGGTTCCCCTGGGACAGCAGGCATGCTGACTCACTGCAGGAGAGATCCTGAGGGGCTGTGTGGCAGGTCTGGTCCCCAGAAACCACCCACCCTGAGCTGCTGGGCTGGGAGTTGTGTTCCATGCTGTGAGCCAGGCTCTTCACGCTGATGGTGTCTGCAGGAAGGGCTGCTGGCTTCTCTGCTGGGCTGGCCTGGCTATGGGGACTTGGATGCCTCTGTCTGACTCACGTGCTCTCCCAGGGAACATTTCTGGGGATGATGCAGGCTGTGGATTGCTGTCCTGGCTCTGGCTGCATGCTCTTTCTCACAGGACAGGGAATTCAGGACCCAAGCAGAAAGCACAAGGAGAATCGTCTGGGACGTGGAAAGGCGCTGTTACCTGGATGCTGCTGCAGTAGCTGTGTAAGGGACCTGAGGAAACCTCCCCAGAACATGCTCGGATGAGTGACCTGAGGCAGGGAGCAGCAACATGCAGGTGGTCTCAGACCTCATACAGGTCAAACTGTGGCTCTGCCTCACCTCCTGTGGCTCCTGTTGACCTGAGCAAGGGAGCAGCCTTGAACTGCCTTGAACTGCTGTGCTGGGATAAGGTGGAGAAGCTGGAGCTGCTGTCTCTCTAGGCCACAAATGCTCATTCCTGTTGCCAGCAACTGGGGCTGGGGGCTCTTTGAAAGAAGGGGCAGCAGTTATGGTGAACAGGCATGGAGTAGGCTGGGTCACACAGCTCTCCTCTGGGCTGCTGATTAAGTTTTACTGAATTTTCAGTACATCAAAAACTTTTCTTCCGTGTGGGCACTCCTCGTTTGCTTTTTTATTGGATAAGCATTACCTTTAGCAGCTCCATATATGCTCAAGATCAGTCTAAGTGTTCCATTTCTCTTTGAATCCTTCTATTTTCTTGGCCTCAGCTGCGTCATGGCTGTGAGTTTCACAGCCAAATTACTCCTTGTGTGGAAATACTCCCTTCTATCTCATTTGATTTTTAAAATTCTTTTCCCTACATGTCTCTTGGTTTCAGAGTCACCAGCCACGTTGAATGGGAGCTCAGGGCCTGCTTGCTTTGTGCAATTGAGGGTTTACACCAGAGTAAATCACACTCCTTCTCGCTTGTTTTATTTCTGAAGCAACCAGGGGAGAGAGAAAACCGAGTGTGTCACTCTCTCAGTTGTTTTACAGCTGGTTGTGCCATGAATGAAAACAGCAGTGGGTGGAGGGGAAAATGTCCCCAGCTGCCCCAAAGCACACGTGTTCCTGTGGCCTGAGGGGTGTTTGCTGTGGGACTGGGTTGAAGCAAACCCAAGAGGGGCTGCTGGGGCAGGAAGGAGGGCGGTGGGGCTCTCCAGCTTGGTTTGTGCATCTCCTGACCCCTGCTCTGTGTCCAGGCTGCAGAAGCGCATCGCGGAGTGTCGGTTCTGGCCTGTGGAGCTCTGCAGGGTGTCCTCGGCCCCACCCAGCAAGGGCAAAGCCAGCAAAGCTGACAAGGTACCAGTGGGGAGGGGTCTCTTTGATTTTCCTTTTGATGCCTTTGCGATATCAAAACCAGCCTTGAACCAGCCAAGGCAAGTCAGAGAGCAGGAGGCTTTGTAAAAAATCCCCTTTGTAGAGCTGTTAAATAGAAAAAGGGTCATGTTTTTTCCCTATAGCATACAGAGCTCTCACTGGTGGTGGTCTGTGGCAGCTGGGTGGAAAGAGGTCAAGGGAAGGGTGCTTTTTAGAATCACAGAATGGTTTGGGTTGGAAGGAACCTCAAAGTCCATCTCATTCCATCACCCTGCCATGGGCAGGGACACCTTCCACCAGACCAGGCTACTCAGAGGCTGGTCCAGCCTGGCCTTGAAGAGAATGAAGGTAATTCACTGAGCTTATCTTTGGCCAATGGCATTTTGCAACATCTTGAAGAAGTTCATGCCTTCTGTCTTGGGCTGTAGGTAAGTTATGATTTTGCACCTAAACCAGGCTGATTTAACAGAGAAACAGCCCCTTACCTAATGGTTCTGTTCCTGGCAGCTGGTAGTGTGAAACCTTCTAATCTGTTCCATGGTAAAGTCATATAAATTGGTGTAAATTCTTTGCAGCACTCACCAGTGCCAAGATTTTTGCAGACACCCTGTTTCTGTCCAACCTGAGATGCACAGGATAGGATTTCTAACCATACAGCTGCTAATTTTGCAGCTGTATCTCAACAAGACCATCCTGAGGACTGGCGGAGTGCAGGAGGTAGAGAGAAAAGCTGCCCCACAGGGATTGGGATGAAATTAATATTCTACATATGGAATGACTCCAGTGTATTCATCCAGGTTGCCTTGGCTGTGTGCCGGTGACAGAGAGCCACTGGCTCATCAGGTGCTTTAGTTTGCTGTGTGCCCTTTGTTAATAGGATCAGTTGTCCTGTTTCCCTGAGGAGAATTACAGCCTGTTCAGGATCTCAGTCCCTTGCTCTGTGTTTCCAGGGAGATGAAGCACAGATTTCCTTCCATGGTGTGGCATATGTCAACATGCTGCCTTTGCTGTGCCCTGGTGTGAAGGAGATGCGAGGAGCTTTCCGTGTCTTTAGCTACCAAGACACTGAGGTGTTGGAGAAGGTGAGAGCAGCCAGAGCTCCAGCTCTGCAGCTGGGTTTGCACAGAGAGGTTGGGAGTGGACAGCTTGGGCAGGGGGGTGTTTGGGTGCAAGGAGCATGGGCAGTGGGGTACTTGAAACTGGATCTGAACCTTCACTGCTCTTCTGGTGATGGAGAAAAACAGTGATAAAAGTTCTTGGGTGCAGATTTCTCCAAGGCAGGGAATTTCTGGGGGTGTGTGAGCAGGTCTGGGGGCTTAGAAGGGCTTTGAATCTCACTCCACTCCCCCCTCTGCCATCAGCTCAGAGCTGTAAGAATGCTCCTCTCTCCCCAGTCTGGGCAAATGAACTGTGTTGCTGGGAAGAGCAAACAGTGGCTTTAAAAGGATTGCGTTACCCCAGGCAACCACCAAAAAAGCTGTCACTGGAGCTCTTTCAGCTCCAGCTCACCGAGGTTTTATTTTTCTTTGCATTTCTCCCTCTCTGTTACCAAGAGTGACAGTTACATCTCCATTTTCCCACCCTCCTGGAACAGACCTGAGCTTGTTTCAGGAGGGCAGATGCACAGCCTGGTTTTACCACCCACGTTCCCTGTGGTGCTGCGGTCCAGGCACAGGAGGTGGGTGAATTCCAGCCCTTCTGCCGTCTCCCTGCTCCCACTGGCTGCTGCAGAGCAGGGCTGGGCACACAGCTGTCGGCTGGGCTCTGCTTCCCCATGATGGATAACAGCATCGTGGCTGTGTGGTGCTGCTTGTCCTGTGGCATCTGTCACAAGTGAAGTCCTTCTCATTCCCTGGCGTTATGGATGCTTTTGGCTGCCTCGTGGTGTAGGCAGTTTCCATACAGCTGCTCCATCCCCGCCCCAGGTTCCCCATAATTCTTGCAAGCCCAGTTCCTATAATCCTGATGGGGGGAACAGCCTGTCTAGGTGGTCAAACGCTGTGTAAACACAGAGTCTGACAAACCTGTTTCTTGCAATTCCCTGCTGTGTGTCAGGGAAGCTGCTCCACACTCCACACCAGGTGAGCTGAGAGTTACTGCCAGGCAGGTGGGGGCACCCAAAAGCTTGCAGAGCAGATGTGGTGAGGGTGGCCAGATTCCTCTAACAATCCACATCACCAGGCAAGTCCATAGCCAGGAGTCAGGTCTAGGATCCAGCCAGGAGTTGTGGCCAGTGGGTGAGGATCATGGAGCTGGGTTCCAGCATGTCTATCACATAGCTCAGGCAAGGATCAAGGGTCAGTCCTCAGTGAAAACACCAATCTTGAGAGAAGGTGGAAAGACCCTGCTGAGTCTCATTGTCCAACCTGAGGCTTCACAGCTACATGGGATCAGGGCTGGCCTGGAGCATTGGCAGCTGAACTTCCATGGGAGGAGAATGAGGTTGCAAAGCTTCTTAATGCATTTAAGACCCTGATGATGTGGTTTGTGATGTGAGAGGTTAAGGGAAAGGAGGTGAGGAAGCCTACTTCGTCCCTTGATTCCCTCTGTTCCCTCTTTTTTTTCAGACCAAAAGTCAGCACAGCATTTTCTGGGAACTCAGGCCGCATCTCAGTCTGATCAAGGAAGGGCTGGGGACCCCTCCCCTTTCCAGACCTCTTCCCAGTAAGACTCAGAAGGAAGACAAAGATTCCAACAGAACGGTAGGGTCTTGGGAGGCACACTGCACTGTGATTGCTCCACCTCCAGGGATAGTTGGGATATGCAGGGGTAATTCAGGGGTAGTTGGGGCATGCAGGAACCAGGGATGGAACTGTGTTGCCTCAGCCAGCTAAGAGATCCTGTCATAGAATCACAGAATCTCCTCCATTGGAAGGGATCCTCAAGGATCATTGAGTCCAACTCCTGCACAGGACACCCCAACAATCCCACTCTGTCCAATCTCTCCTGGAGCTCTGGCAGCCTTGGGGCTGTGCCCACTGCCCTGGGGAGCCTGTTCAGTGCCAACCACCCTCTGGGGGAAGAACCTTCCCCTTTATCCAGCCTAACCCTGCCCTGACACAGCTCCAGCCATTCCCTCAGGTCCTGTCACTGGTCACAGAGAGCAAAGGTCATTGCTGCCTTTCCCTTGTGAGGAATCTGCAGGCCCCAAGGAGGTCTCTCCTAACCTGAAATCTTAGCACTGAACAAAGGTACCATCTCACACCCTGAAACTGCAAAGATATGAGATCTGTGGAGACTGAAACAAGAGACATCTTTTCCTTTTCTGAACAGCTACAAAGCCCATCCAAAATCCAGTTGTCAGATGGCACTGGAGGACCTGAAAATACCAGAACTTGCAGCATTGAGGGACAGGTAATTATGTTTCTCCAAAGAGAAGGAGATGCTAGAGCATCACTGTGCTAGTGTCTCACACCTTCCACACAATTAAATTCCTTCAGAGTGAGTTGAACAAGGGGTGTTTCACATAGATGTTGCCCCCAGAGTTCTTCCAGTGATGTCCAGCTGGAGATCAGACAAGCATTGGGCCAGAAGGTCTCTCTAAATAATCAGGCATTTAATTAAAAGGGTTCCTTCATATTTTGGCTTCTTCTTCAGAATGCACATTCATTCTGCAGGCAGATTGATTATCTGAGCTCTCTCCTTTTTCCTAACCTGGTTTCTCGAGCTGAATTTTGCTGCTGTAACTCATTCTGAGGGCGGGTTATAAAACAAGCTGTCTGTCTGCAGTTTGGAGATCTGTAGCTGTATGCTCAGTATTTCATTGTGCCAGGATGGCCCCAGACAGCACGACAGTGAGAGCAATGTTTATCTTCACAGCAATACAGCGAGGCAGGAACATTCCTGGTGTTGGAGATAAAGCTGGACAAGGCCTTGGTCCCCAAGCGGCTGCGAGAGGAGCTCACCCGCCGGTGCGTGAGGAGGGGCTGTGGCTCTGGGGCTGACACCTCATTCCTGCAGGGTAGGAAGAGGGTTGTGCAGAGAGCTCCCCCCTGGAATGCTCTGCAAGGACCAACCCAGGCCATGAGACAAAGCCCACGGGAATCAGGGGGAGGATCTGGCCAAACTGCTTCAGAGGTGGCATCTGGTGTGTTGGGAAAACACTTGTTCATCCCAGCTGGCATCTCCCTGCCTTTCCTCTCAAAACAAGAGACAGCAGAGCAGCACAACAGTGTCTGGTGTTCCTGTCTGGCCTTTGTTTCCCACTAATCCCTGTGTGCTTGCCTTTTGCCTGTGATGTTCAGCAGCTTGGTGAGTCCTGGCCACCAGCATGGACTATCCCAGGTAGTGCTGCTGTAACTTCACCAGAACATCCTGTCATTTTTACCTTTTCTGAAGTTTTCTCACAATGTTTTACCCAATTCTTGGCTTTTATGTTAGTTTTCATGTTGTTCTGCTGCTCTTTCATCTCTGCTACTTTGAGTCTTCCACTGTCTGTTTGATTTGAGGCACTTCCTTCCTGTCCAGTGGTAGCCCTGCTGTGTTATGGGCTGGGAAAGGACCAGCACATCTCATTTACTGAGTAAAAAAAGAGTGAATGCAGTGCAGGGAATGAATAAAGTATAACAAGTGCAGATCTATGTCTCTCTAAAACAGAAATATCAGCCATTCTTTGAAGGGAGAGTATGTGTGTTGTCCTCTGTGCTGCCTATTGTCTTCCAGGAGGAACAGTTTTGAGGAAGGTGAATCCCCCTTAGACCTTTCCTGGCCTTTTTTTATACCATTTCTACTGCAATGGATGTGAGTTCAGGGTAACTCCTCATTCACCTGCTGTGTGCAGCTGAATGAGGCATGTGGCACCTTGGCTCATTGGATTGTAAGGAGTGAGAGTGTTCTCATATCCAGTAAGCAGGAAATGTTGATAACATCTCCATGAATTAAGGCTGTTCTGGCACCAAGGATTTTAATCCCACAATGGTTCAGGTTGGAAGGGACCACTGGAGGTCACCTAGTCTGACCTCCCTGCTCAAGCAGTGTCTCCCAGAACAGGTTACTCAGGGTCATGTCCAGATGGCTTTTGGATATCTCCAGGGAGAGAGGCTCCACAGAAGCTTCTGTGCCAGTGCTCAGCCACTCTCACCCTGATAAAATCTTAGTAAAAATTATGGTAATCCTAATGAAGGGTGTAATGCAACTGATGTAACTCCAGTGGTGGCCCAGGCAGGGTTGGTGTGGTGTCAGGGGTAGGTGGTCTAAGGTTGGTGTCTGGGTGCCAATGTGTGGCCAAGGGTGATGTTGGGAACTGATGGATCAGGTGATTTGTCCTGTACAGTGATCAAATTTTTCAGAGCTTTCCTCAGGTTGGTTCCTTCCTCACAGCTGTTCTGGCAGAGCAGGAGCTCTGAGTTACAGATCTGCTGTTCCAGGAGAGTGGTTTTGATTGCCAGTAATAACTGTTAACCCTGCTATGATGAGCTACAAGCATCACTTGTAGGGATCTGGCCTTGACAGCTCAGCCTTGGTTTGACTCCAGTTTTCCTCCCAGGTCCCTGTGAGGTGTCTCAGGGACACAATGGCAGGTTGGAGCCCTCACTCTACACGCTGCCTGTGCCCACAACAAGCCAACTTCCCTGGCAGTGTATCTGGCTGATGTCTTCTGTGCTGTCATTAACAGGGTCAAGGAGATGATTCCTTCTCGCCCTGCACTGCCTGCCCGGACTGAAGGAGCCAAGAAGGTACGTGCAGGAGTGTGTGACCTTGCCACCACTCTGCCATCCATCCTGCCCTGGTTCCTCTCCCACAGGAGAGGTTTCATTCTCAACCCTGCACCAACATGTAGATGAGGTTTGAAGAAGATGATGGTGCAAGGCCACAAAGATGGTGAAGGGTCTAGAGGGGAATAGAGCCATATAAGGAGTGGATGAGGCCACTTGGTGTGTTCAGTTGGAGAAGTGGAGAGGTCAGACCTCTTCGGGGTCTGCAGCTTCCTCATGAGGGGCAGTGGATGGACAGCTCTGAGCTCTGCTCCCTGTGACAAGTGACAGCACCCAGGGAACGTCTGGAGCTGTGTCAGGGCAGGCTCAGGTTGGATCTCAGGAAAAGGTTCTTCCCCCAGAGGGTGGTTGGCACTGAACAGGCTCCCCAGGGCAGTGGGCACAGCCCCAAGGCTGCCAGAGCTCCAGGAGTGTTCGGACAACGCTCTCAGGGACAGGGGGGATTGTTGGGGTATCTGTGCAGGCTCAGGGGTTGGACTCAATGATCCTTGTGGGTCCCTTCCAGCTCAGGATATTCTGTGATTCTACAGTTCCATGAAATACCAAGAAAAGAAAACTCCTGGCTGTGTTATCTCCACACTAGTGTGCCTTGGGAATTCATTCCTGGGCTACATCCCTCGTGTTCACAGCCCATACGAAGGGAAGAGATGGAGCAAAGGGAGGGAAGGCAGCAGTGAGGGGATGTTTGGAAGGAAATGGGATGCTGGGGAAGGAGGCTACCAGAGCCTAATGTTTACCCTGGGCAGTGCCAACAGTTTCTTGTCTCTGATTAGCCCATGTACTTCATCAGACTCTGACAAACATGAATCAGCCCTGACCACTCTCAGGTCACCTAGAATTCTTGAGGACCATGATTATGGAGATTACAGGCTCTGCTGAAGAAGGCTGGCTCCTGGGTTTAAAGGCTTCCAGTAAATGAGATACATTTTACTTACAGAAAATTATATTGCTATAGAAGAGACAGCAATGACTGAAATACTGGGCTCTTATTAAAAAATCTTGCAGGAAGGAGCTCTTTTGTGTTTACCTGTAGATATTTTCTCAGCCCTCAGGCGTGGACAGGAAAGGATGTGTGACAGACTAATTGAGTCAGGTGGAGTTAATGGGAGGCATGGGCTGTGCCAAATCAAATACATGTCAAGGCAGATTGCATAAGTGACTTGTGAAATTAATTAATTAATTAATTTCCTAGGTGGTGGAAGATTATCACAAACGTGTAACGAGCGTTGCCAACGCCATCCTGAGCGAATACCACGAGCTCTTTGGGAAGCAGCTGCCTGGCCAGGGAGCAATAGACCACCAAACCCTGGAGGAACAGAAGCGTCAGCTCAACTATGAGCTCAACACCTCTGGGAAATATTTTGCTTTTAAGGAACAGCTGAAGGTGTAAAGGCTCATTTGTGCCTTTTGCTTCGCTACTTGCTCTGTCCCGACAGTTTCTCAGTGAGGAACTGCTGCTCCATGGTGGTAACCCAGGATGATGGGGTGCTTCAGAATCCCCTCCTGCCACCCAGGGCTGTTGCAACAGGCATTAAGGGGACAGGATTCACCTCTGGTGGAGCAGGCACCAAGCTGCTTTGGTCCCACACCTGCAGAACACTCCCTATGAATGGGAGATGGTCACATCCATGTGCCCCATGCTCATAACCTGAGGAAGGCAAAGCTGGTATCTCACACACCCACAGTCTGCCCTGGCAGGAAAAGGGAGTTCCCCTCTCTCAGCTGCTCAGTCCTGGCTATGCTCTGATCAAAGACCCCCTCTCTGTGCCACAGGGATGAGGCTTCCACATGCTGTCCCTAAAGGGGCACTGGAGTTCAGGGAGGTGGGGAAGGAATTCCACCTGCTTGCTTTTTTTTACTTTTAACAGTGCTGGGCTGGATTTAATCCTCAGAACTAAGTTGGAGCTTCAGGAAAAATCAGTGTGTTCTGGCTCTTTCTGATGATGGAGCTGGTGGGGGGCACAGGGAGGATCTTCCTCATCCAACAGTCCCATATCTCCACAGTATCCTGTGGTGAAGATTGTGAGGGAGAAATACCTGAAGACCACAGCATTTGAGACCCAGGAGCAGCTGCAGGCATTCCTCAGTGAGCTCTATGTGTACCTCATGGAACAGATGCATGTTGCCTTGAACCAGGTAAGGAGAAACCTGGGGCACTTGGGCCACCACTTCGCTGTGAATCCAGGGCAGGTGAAGGACTTTTGCCCTCCAGACAGAAGCAGGCTCATGTTTCCATTTCTGCAGTTATCACACGTGGGCCCCAAGCCACACTCAAGGCAGGGTCCAGTGCATCTGTATCCTGCTGCTACAAAATCCTGAGGGTGGCAGATGTGTGAGATGCCACTTGTAAAGCTGCTGTAGCTGGCAAATTGTGAGGCTGGCCGGGTTTGTGCCTCTTGCCACTCACCTGGGCAGAGCACAGACCTCCAGCATGAGCCACCAGTGAGTGGCACCACAGAAGTTTGACATCACCTTGATCTAGGGAATGGTGTAAATAGTCATAGAAACATGGCATAGTTTGGGTTGGAAGGGACCTTAAAGCTTGTTCTAGCCCCTGCCATTGGCAGGGACACCTTCCACTAGACTAGGTTGTTCCAAACCCTATCCAACCTGGCCTTGAACACTTCCAGGGATCCAGGGGCAGCCACATCTTCTTTGGGTAACCTGTGCCAGGGCCTCACCACCCTCACGAGGGAGAATTCCTTCCCAACATCCCTTCTAACCCTGCCCTCTGGCAGTGGGAAGCCATTCCCCCTTGTCGTGCCTCTCCATGCCCTTGTGAAAATGGATATTGCCTCGTTCCTGTGTGGCAGAGGTACCTCAGAATGACAGGAGTGTGTCCCACCACAAAGAGCAGCTGGGACAGCTTGCCTTTCCCCGGTGTCCAGCCCCAGCCATACTGGTCTGTACTGGGTGCAGTGCAGGACTGGGATCACATGAACCATTCTTCCCCTCCCCAGTAACACTAGTCTTGCTCCCTACCAGCTCCTCTCTGAGGAAGGTGCTTCTCTTGCCCCTCCATCCCGCACCACCCAGGAGCAGCTCTGGCTCTTTGCTTCGCGAAGCTGAAGCCAGCAAGGACTACAAACTGGCCTCTCTGTACCACCAGCAGGTAAAGGAGCCCCTGTCCTTCCCTGCCCATGTCCCCTGTGTCTGTGCTGGCAGCAGTGTGGGGCTGCTGGTGACAGCTCAGCCAGCCTGGACTGTGATGTAGGGACGAAGGAGCTGGATGTGACCAGGATACTCAGGCTGAAACGGGAGGGATTTTCCAGGGAGGTGCTGCTCTCTGCAGGATGTGTGGCTATCCCTGGCCAGGTCGCTAGGGACTCATTATATACGAGCATTGTCCTTTCTTGAAGCTTGACAGAGCTTGGGACAATATTCTTGGGCACAGGGTGTGACTCTTGGGGATGGTCCTGTGCAGGGCCAGGAGCTGGACTCGATGATCCTCGTGGGTCCCATCCAACTTGGCATATTCTGTGAGTCTGTGACTCCTGCCTCAAGGCCAGGGGAAATGGGATGAGCTGGTCCAAAAGGCTTGCTGGGTCAGTACTGGGGACACTGGGCCCTTGGAGGGGGTGAGCTGGAGCTGGAGGGTATGTGTTAGGTGGAGGAAGCTTACAGGAAGTGGCCTTCCAGCACTATCCCAATTAAGGGACACCCTCACATGTGACAGGCAAGGGCTTGACTGCTGCTAAACTGGGCTGGGGTGGTCAAGAAAGCCCTGATCTCTGTTGCCTAGAGGATAGCTCAGGACCAGCGCAACATCCAGTCCTGGCTGGACTATGGAGCCTTCTGCCTCCTGCACGAGGACACCACCAAAGCCCAGGAATGCTTCCAGCAGGCTCTTTCTGTGGACCTCCAGCACATCCAAAGGTGCTGAGTGCTCCCAGTGGGTCGGTGGGAAGGTGGGGGGTGTCCCCCACACCGCTACCTGGGGCCTGCAAGGCTGACTGGCCCCCCTTGCCCCAGCTTGCTGCTCTGTGGGATTGGGGCTGTCATGCTGCAGCACTATGAAGATGCAGAGGTTTTCTTTGAGGATGCCTGCTGCTTGGAGCCATCCAGCACCGTAGCCTGGACCCTTTCAGGTAAAAGCCAAGCCCCCCTGGTCCTCCAGGTGTTCCCATAAAGCCAAACCTTTGTCCTGCCCCCAATCCTTTTCTCCCTGCTGCAGTCTGAGAGCCAAGGCAAAGCTTTTGCTAAGGGTCAGGTGTCTGCTTATGCTGCTCTGCCTGTCTCCCACAGGTTTGTTTTATGAGCTGCAGAATAATAATGTTCAGGCAGAAAGGAACTTCCGTGAGGCCAAGAAGCTCCTGCAAGCACAGCTCAGCGAGGAGAGAAGAATGCCCGAGGCTGCTGAGGGAGGAGAAGGGAAAAAGGGCATTTCTCCCAGCACAGACCCAGAGCAATTCTTGCCAGGTAATGCTGGGCAAACCCAGGAGGTGCCCTGGCACCAGCAAAGAGGGGCTTGGAGCTGTGTGGGACGTGGTAAATGGTGGAAGGAGGGGAATTTCTAAGAGGAGGAATACAAAGGGCGAAGGAAGAAGATGTGGAATGTGAGCTGGAATAGAATTCCATGGAAGCTGTCGCTGTGAGTTCCCAACACAGCTCGGAAAGCTCTGCCTCACCAATTCAAAGGGTAAAACAGCTGCTGAGCAGTGACCCTGAACTCAGGGCTTCCTCTGGAGCCTTTCTGAGTCCAGCCTGAGCTGAGACTGTCTGTCCTGAATCACAAATGTTTGGCCAGGCTGCAGGAAATGCTGGCTTTGTTTTTAACGTTGTCACCCCTCCATGCACAGTGCCTCAGGCTGGCAGCCTCATGTCATGTGTGGGTTTTGGTCCCTTCTGATTGAGGGAAGGGACACTCATAGACTCATGGAATCACCAAGGTTGGAAAAGACCTCCAAGATCATCAAGTCCAACTGTTAACGCAGCACCACCATGTTCACCACTAAACCTCGTTCCCAAGTGCCACATCCACACGTCTTTTGAGCCCTTCCAGGGATGGTGACTCTACCACTGCCTGACCATCCTTTTACTGAAGAAATTTTCCCTAATATCCAACATAAACCTCCCCTGGCACAACTTGAGGCCGTTTCCTCTCATCCTGCCTCATTTATACCTGTTCCTGGCTTTACATGGTAACCTTGTACTCAAAACCCCAGCCCCAGGTATTGCCCCCTGCGAAGAAATTTCTTCCCACCTTTGAAAATCTGATAGATCTTTCATATTTTCTCTCTTCCCCATTTCCTGTGGAATCATGCTCCCAGCTGGGCAGTTTATGGCAAACCCTTTCCACGTAATGGTTGTTGATGGTTTCATTCCAGAGGGGGTTCCAGATGGCTTAGCTGACAAACTTTCAGAGGTGGTGGAGCCTGCCCTGGCCTGTGTGACATCTGAGGAAGAGGCTACAGCATCAGAGACAGCCCCAGAAGGTCAGGGAATGGGGATCTGGTGTGCAAGGGAGAGCCCAGTGCCGGGAGATGGCCTTGTGGGATCAGTGGGGAGGAATGTGGGAGCAAGGAGCTGTGGATGGCACAACACCAAGGCCAGGGAACCTCCAGGCAAAGCAGGTTCTTCCCGATTTCCAGAGCAGCACATCTCAGGAGGGACAGCCTGAATGCAGCTCTGTTTCTCATGTCATGCACCCAGTGGCCTTACTCTGCTGTTGGAATGTCTCTCTTCTGGGATGCCTGCTCTTAAAGTGTCCCTGTGGATCTCCTCTGGTCCTGTGGTGTGTGATCTGCCTCCTCCACAGCTCCAATCCCCAGTGGATGGTGGACATGGCAGTGCCAGGTGCTTCAGGGCCCCTGGTTGGGTTGTTTTGGGGAGGCAGGACCCTCACTGAAGTTGTTTTTGACAAGCATCATTCATAAATTCCCATCTTTTCCTCTGAGTTTGGACTGGAAAATCAGTGGGTCAAGAGCATTACTTCTTTTTAGATCTCATACAGAACTTAAGCCCTACAGAAAGAAATGCTGAGTTAATTTCCTTCCCTGCCACCTCCTGGGTTTTACACCATGTTACTGGGATCCCTCTGTCCCCACCAGGACCTCAGGCCCTGCTCTGCCTCCAGAAATAAACCCCCCACTTTGGGACTGACAGAGATGTCTTCTTGCAGCACCATCCCCTGGTTCAGGACCTCACCAACCTCCCTGCACAATCTTCATGAAGGCAGTGGAATTCCTGATGAAAGCCAATGCTGTCCAGGTCAGCTCAACAGGGAGTGGAGGAGTGGGAAGGGAGGTTGGTTTATTCCCACAAAGCTGGTGGCAGCTCCAGCCAGCCCTGTTTCCTGGGCTCAGGGAATGAGCTGTGGCCACTCCAGATGCTGAGCACAAGAGGGAGCAAAGCCACCACTGCCCAGAGATGCAAATCTGTGGCTAGGCAGAGTATTCAGCCCAAAATGCTGGTTGTAGACACAGCCATCTTGAGCAGATGAGGCCCTCAGGGGGCCTCAGCCCAGCACTTCCTGCTGCACAGGGAACAGCCAGCTCAGAAATGGTGCAGTGTGCTCTTCTCTGTACAGTCAGAGGCAGGATCCATTATTGTGGTATTTCCAAGATGCCAGAACCCCTTTGATTCAGACCCTTGTGTGTATCAGAGTAATTTTTGTTCACCTGTGGAACGTCTCTGTCCCATACAGTTATCTCTGGGGTCTCTCTGATTGTCATGTTATGCTGCCTGCCTAAATTTTACACGGCAGAATGAGTTGCTTAAAGCAAAACAGAACCAGAAGTAATCATGGAATGGTTTGGGTTGGAAGGGACATTAAGGTTCATCTCATTCCACTCCCCTGCTATGGGCAGGGACACCTTCCACTAGTCCAGGGCCACCTTTCATTAGACCAACATTCAAAGGAGGGGAAAAAAAAATCTCACATGTGTTTTGTGTTCCTGGAAGTCAAACAGGTTGTCTGTCAGCCCCCCTGCCCTGTCCTTCTGGTGTGCCTGTGGTTTCCCTGCTGCCCTAACCCCCACCTGTGCCCTTCCTCCCCAGTTTGTTCACAAGGCACTGGCCCACGAGCTGCTGAGCCCCCAGGGAGGCCCCAGCTGTGGGTATTACCTGGCACTGGCCCGGACATACCTGCTGCAGGAGGATCTGCCCAGGTGTGAGGAGTGTCTGCACGAGGCCGTTCGCATTGACTGCACGGTAATGCCGCGTGTGTCCCTGGGGGGCTGCAGCAACCTGTGCTGGGGTGTGTGTGAACCCAGAGCCTCATTTCCACTTTACAATTCAGTGTTAGTCCACAACAGTTTGAGCAGGGAGGGCAGTCACACCAGGCTGTGGCTGCAGCACTGCCCTCCCTGTTATCCTACTCATTCCTGGCCTCCTGTCCCCTCCTGCACGGACAGGCGGCACCTCTGAGCCCGTCTCTGCCTTTCCCTCTGCAGTATCTGCCTTTCTTTTCCCTTTGAATGGGTATATCCTGATCTCGTTTCTCTTTGTGCATGAGCCAGGCTCTGTTTGGTGAGAAACAAGGCTGCTATTCAGCAGAGAGGGAAGGTGGCTCTGGGGAGGCAGGTTCAGCAGGAGGAGGGAGGAAGGTGACACCTGGGAATGCTGTGTGACTGCTGACTGTACCTGGGAGCCTTGTGCAGGCCAGAACTCTGGGCAGGGAGCTGGAGGGGGGGTCCCATGGCTGCTGTCCTGCAGGCAGCCCCCTGACTTCAACTCTGTATGTAAAACATTCCTGCTATCATAGAATCATGGAGTTGTTTAGGTTGGAAAAGCCCTCTAAGATCATTGAGACCAACTGTTCCCCCAGCACTCCCAGATTCACAACTAAACCATGTCCCCAGATGCCACATCCACATGGCTTTTAAATCCCTGCAGCGATGGGGACTCCACCTCTGCCCTGGGCAGCTGTGCCAGGGCTGGACAGCCCTTTCAGTGAAGAGATTTTCCCAATATCCGATGTAAACATGTGGTGCAATTTGAGACTGTTTCCTCTGGTCTTGTCCCTTGTTCCCTGGGAGCAGAGCCTGATCCCCCCAGCTCCCTCCTCCTGTCAGGGAGTTGCAGAGCCAGAAGGTCCCCCCTGAGCCTCCTTTTCTCCAGGCTGAGCCCCCACCAGCTCCTTCAGCTGCTCCTGCTGCTCCAGCCCCTTCCCCAGCTCTGTTCCCTTCCCTTGAGATGCTCCAGCCCCTCCATGGCTTTCTTGTTGTGAGGGGCCCAAAACTGCCCCCAGGACTGGAGGTGCCCCAGCAGTGCCAGCACAGGGGGAACTCCCAGCTCTGCTCCTGCTGGTACAGCCCAGGTCCCATGGACCTTCTTGCTCACCTGGGCCCCCTGGGCTCATGTTCAGCTGCTGCCAACTGGCACCTCCAGGTCCTTTCCCCCTCTCCCCTGGAAAGCCTGGAGCGCTGCAGGGGGTTGTTGTGATAATATAATTAAACACTGCTCAGCTCCTCCTTTCTGCTGCTTACAGGTGTCCCAGCCCTCCTCCCAGGTGTTTCTCCTTCCTGTCTCCCATCCATGTCTCACTCCTGGTTTTGTGTGCACAGAACCCAAACGTCTGGGCCCAGAAAGGACACCTGTGCTACCTGAAGGGGGACTGTGGCCAGGCAAAGGAGTGCTACGAGCGAGTGGTCAGTTTTGTGGAGGATGCTGTGGATATGCACTTCGTCTACCTGCGCCTGGGCTCCATCTACCTGGAAGAGAAGGAGGTGAGGAGCCAGCAGGGGTGGTGGAGGGGAAGTTACCACAAAGCAAGTTGCTCCCCCAGCAGCTGTGGGAGAGTGGGTGTTTGAGTCCCGCTGGAGATGGGGTGTTTGGCAAATCCCTGAGGAGGGGGGCTGCCTGTGGAGGGATGTGCTGATGCAGCAGCATGGCTCTCTCTCCCCTGGCAGTATGGCCGGGCCAAGCAGATCTACCTGCTCGCCTGTGACAACTCTGCGTCCTGTCTCACGTGGCTGGGGGTGGGGATCGCCTGCTACAGGGTGAGTGTGACTGCCTTCATGTCATCTGTGCTTTAATTAGTGCCATGGCGTGGGACACGGGGCTGGCTTCTGCATGATGCCCTTGATTTAAGTAAAGCTTGGCTGGCTGTGACCCCACAGGCCATCCTGTCCTGTGCACTGTCACAGTCCTAGCGTGGCACCCGGGCTGTGTCACTGCTCAGCACCTGCTCTGGGAGCAGCCAGCCTTCCCCCTCAGCCCAGCTCCAGCCAGAGCCTCCTTCCCCAGGGCGTCATGGCAAGCAATCTGGGCTCTGCTCCCAGTGCCTGCCTGCACATGGCCTGCATGTCACCACCGAGGAACTGAGTGGGATGTCAGCAGGGAGGAATCTCAGTGCTTTCCCAAGGGAATCCAGCACATCTGAGGGGCTGCCAAGGACACCCAGTCACCAGCAGCGTGGTGTCTCCCCAAGGAACACCTCACCATGTTCCTCCAAGGGAGTTTGGCCAAGGGGAGCAACCAGGGAAGGAACTTGAACTTCTGTTTCCCCTTGGGCCAAATGTGCAGTTCCTGGGAGGCTGTGGAATTGGGCCAGGGAGGTGCAGCCCACCAGGCACCAGCAACCCCTACCTGCCTGGACCTGCTGCACAGCAGGAATAGGGAGCAGGAGCACAGCCTTGTTTCCTAGTGGAGCTGGATCACTCAGTTCCTGGAGGTGAAGGGGTTTGTGCTACTTTCCTTACAGCTGGAGGCTGATTTGAAAATAGTGTGTGATCCCATGGGGGTCAGCAGTGGGAAGTTTGTGCTCCAGGCTGGAGAGCTGGATGCTGGCACTGAGGATAACTGCTTGCCTCTGTCCTAAATCCTTTCCCTGCATCCCTATCAGGGGAACCCTGCTAGGAGCTTTTGATGCACTGATTTCTTCTGCTGTTAGAGCAATGGCTGTTCACTTCTGAAGCCCCTTCTACCTGCTCTCTGCCTTTTGTCCATGCCTCTCCTTGTCTCCCTCAAGCTGGGAGAGCTGCTGGAAGCAGAAGATGCTCTCTCTGAAGCCAATGCCCTCAATAACACCAACGCTGAAGTGTGGGGATATCTCGCCCTCATCTGTCTGCGGGTGAGTGCCCAGCCCCTGCCAGCCCGATGGGGAGGGGGATTTTCAGGGCTTTATTGGCATCTACTCACTAACCTGAAGATTATGGTGTGGAGGTCAGTGGTAAAAAATCTGGGGGCAGTGCTTGGGGAAAGCAAAGTGTTCAGCTGGCAAAGGCAGAGCCCTTCCTTGCTTCTTGTCATCCCCTGGGGCACGTCCTCCCTGCTGACATTCTTACAAATGTCCCTTCACTGAGATCTGGTGCCTTTCCTGGGGAAAGGGAGGTGCAGAGGCACCTCCAGTCCTGGGGCAGTTCTGGGTCCCTCATGACAGGAGACTGGAGCCCGGAGCGGTCGGGCTCTGCTCCCAGGTAACAAGGGACAGGACCAGAGGAAATGGCCTCACGTTGTGTGGAGGTCTAGACTGGATATTGGGGAAATTTCTTCCCTGAGAGGGTGGTCAGGCCCTGGCACAGCTGTCCAGGGCTGCGGTGGGTGTCACCATCCCTGGAGGGATTTAAAAGCCGTGTGGATGTGGCACTTGGGGACATGGGTTAGTGGTGGCCTTGGCAGTGCTGGGGGAACGGCTGGATTCGATGGTCTTGGAGATCTTTTCCTGCCTAAACGATCGTACGCTTTCCTCCCCGGCGGCTCTGTCGCTGTCGCAGGGCGGGCGGGAGCTGGAGGCAGAGCAGTGCTACAAATACACCGTCAAGGTTCGTGTCTGTTCCCCAGAAGGGACCGCCCGCCCTGTCCCCTGCACAGCTGCACGCGCGGCTGGAGCACGGGCAGCTCCGCGTCCCGCGGGTGTCCCAGCGGGGCTGACCGCACAGCCGTCTGTGTGCCGGGGGGCCCGGGGGGCGGCGGAGCCCGGCCGTGACCGCCCTGCCCTTCCCCGCAGCTGGGCCTGCGGAACGACGAGCTGCTGAGGGAGATCCGCGCCGCCCAGCGCCGCTTCGGCTTCGGCGACCCGGCCTTCTGAGCCCCCGGTCACATAAAGTCCCCACGCACCGAGCTCTCAGCCCGCCTCTGTCGCGACCCCGTCGCGACCCCGGGGAGGGGCGGGGGCTGGGCTGGAGGGGGGGCGGGTCGCGAGTCACGTGACGGGCAGCAGCGCGCCGCTGATTGGCTGCGGCCGCGCGGGACGGTTGAGCCGGCGGCGCGCGCCATGGCGGCAGGTTTGGAGGACCGGGGAGGGGGACAGGGAGGAACGGGGGTGTCAGCGGGGATCGGGGGACATGGAGTGTCAGCAGGGATGGGGAGTCACCGGGGCTGAGAGGATCGCGGGGAGTAAGAGAGTGTCACAGGGGACAGGGGGGCACAGGGGCACCGGCGGCGTCATCGGGCGTGGGGAACATGAGGGGACCGGAGGCATCACTGGGGATGGGGCGCTGGTCTCCAGAGGATTCGGAGCACGGGGGTCACAGGGGTGTCACCGCAGGGGGAGGTGGGCTCTGCGGACAGTGAGTGTGGAGCACGGCGGTACCCGGGGCGTCGCTGGGGTCGGGGGGACTCTGGGGACGGGGGGGCTCTCAGAGCGTGGAGGTAACGGGGTCATCGCTGGGGCTGGGGCAGTCGTGGCACCGTCACTGGGCACGGGGGACTCGGAGTACGGGGGCAATGGGGGTGTCACCGGGCGCAGGGGCAACGCTGGGTCTGGGGGGCTCTGGACACGGAGATACGGGAGTGTCACTGGGCCTGAGGGACTCGGGGCATGGGGGGCTCTGGACACGGAGATAGTGTGGGTGCCACCGGGGCTGGGGGGCTCAGTGTGGGGAGGCTTGGGGGCCGGAGATACCAGGGGTGTCACTGGGGTGGGAGTGCTTGGAGTATGGGGTTAATCATGCTTGGGGCACAGAGATGGCACTGAGGTGGGGGGTCATCAGGGTTGGAAGGACTCAGGGCATAGAGGTACCAGGAACTGAGGTGACTCAGGACACCCTGATAACGGGGTGCCACCAGGACAGGGGACCTTGGGACATCGGATTCCAGGGGGTAATAGGGGGCATCCAGATGTGGGTTCTGTCCCTTCACCGATGCCGGTACCAGCAGCCTGGCAGCGTCCCTACCTGAATATCTTCAAGCACTTCCGTGTGGAGGAGTGGAAGCGTTCGGCCAAGGAAGGGGACGTGGCCGCCCTCACGGTAACGGGGGCACCATGGGGTGGGGCCACTGGCCAAGGGTGAGCAGTGCTGACCCCTCCTCACCCCTTTCCTTGCCTTCACAAGGACACGAGGCTGAAGGGAACAGTGTACCGGATCCGGGGCTCCAACCCTGCCAGCAGTTACCTGCAGCTGCCCCGGGCTGGGTCACAGTCACTGGGGCTCACGGGGCGCTACCTCTACCTGCTCTTCAGGCCCCTGCCCCGCAAGCACTTCCTCGTCCACCTGGATGTCACCACCGAGGTACGTGACACTGAGTGGCCTCATTAAACCGCCTTCATTAGCGTTGTGATTGATTGAAGGGCTGAGGGTGGCAGTGGTGGTCTTGGGGGATGAAGAACTTGGCTGGTCTTTGTTGCTGCTGGTGAGTTTCCCTGGGCTGGAGTTGGCTTCTGTCCTCATGGAATCTCTGCTGGGGACAGGGGACACTGAGGGGACAGGAGACACAGCCACGTGCAGCACTTCTCTGCCCAAGCCACCAGGGTGACTAAAGCTCTGTGTGTGTGTGTGTGTCTCTTCCCAGGAAAACCAGGTGGTTCGTATCTCCTTCTCCAACCTCTTCAAGGAGTTCAAATCCACAGCCACCTGGCTGCAGTTCCCCTTTGTCTGTGGAGCAGCCAAGGACTCAGCGTGTGACTCTGTGTCCCGGCGTGGTGAGCAGCTGTGTGGTCGGGGCTGGGCTGGCACATCACCACCAAAATACATTGTTAGAAAATAAATCGAGTTCAGAAGTTGGCTTCATGCCTTTGGGGAGGGTGAAGAGAAGCTGTAGCTGCCCCATCCCTGGAAGTGTCCAAGGCCAGGTTGGACAGGGCTTGAAGCAACCTGGGCTAGTGGAAGGTGTCCCTGCCCACGGCAGGGGATTGGAACAAGATGGTCTTCAAAAGTCCCTCCCAACCCAAACCATTCCAGAATTCTGTAAGAGTTGTGGGCCTGAGAAGGAGCTCTTCCATGTTCAGAAGCTTGGAACTGTAGCTCCTGGGAGGGCTGTCAGCCATCATTGTTCTCCAAAGCAATGGGGTGCCGTGTCAGGCCGGGCATGAGCCTGTGGGAATGATGGGACTCCCTGTCCTTCCCCATCCCTGAGCTACAAGGCCTGTTTTCCCATCTCCCACTTGGCACAGGCCTGGTGGGAATCTTGCCTGGTAAATACATTTCACTGAACTGTGTGAATCTCGTGTCTCCCGTTCTGCAGGGTCCAGTGTCCCTGTCTGTGGTGTCTTTTCTCACCATCCCCATTCCCACCTGCCGCTCTCCTCCCCAGGCGCCTCCGGAGCAGCCCCTGCCGACGCGCGCTGGACGTGCCTGGTGCTGGACCTGCCCTCCATCCTCTCCCTGTACCTCAACCGCCGCTACAGCCACCTCAGGGCCGTCAAGCTCTGCTCCAACCTGCTCGTGAAGAACCTCTGCACCAGCGACTTGCTGTTTGACCCGGGTGAGGAGCCTCAGGTTTCTCCTGTGACTCCAGCCCAGCCTGGGGGAAAGTCCCTGGGGGTTCAAAGCTGAGGTTGCAGCCCTGGCAGAGCACTGGGCTGCTGGTGCTCTATGATATGGACAGGAAAGGCAAAATACTTGCTGTGATGTTAAGTTTCCACATGGGCAGGGACACCTTCCACCAGCCCAGGTTGCTCCAAGCCCCATCCAACCTGGCCTTGGACACTTCCAGGGATCCAGGGGCAGCCACAGCTTCTCTGGGCAACCTGTGCCAGGGCCTCCCCACCCTCACAGGGAACAATTCCTTCCCAATATCCCATCTAACCCTGCCCTCTGGGAGTGGAAAACCATTCCCCCTTATCCTGTCACTCTCTGACCTTGTCCCCAGTCCCTCTCCAGCTCTCCTGGAGCCCTTTTAGGCACTGGAAGGCAATCTGGAATGGAATATAGTCTCCCAACCTCTGGAGGAAACTATCGTCTCATTTTTCAGCTGTAAAGTGAACAAAAGGAGCAAAGTTAAATATCTTTCTAAAGTTAGAATTTTTTTCAGGGGGAAAGAAACAAAGAAATAAAGGTGTCAGCACACCTTGCTTCTCCAAGACCTGTACTTTTATCTGCTGGAAGAGCCTGTGCTTTTTTTTTGTGTCAAAAATCTTCCAACCAGCTTTTTTTATCCACTTTCTCAGTGTGGCAGAAATACTTTGGTCAAACCCTTTGCTTCTGTCTTTCTTTCTTTGTGCTGGAATTCTGCCTGAACTGCCTGGCCCGATGGAAAGCATCAGTGGGAGGGAGGTTACAGAGGCTGCTTTGAGATTGCTGAAACTTATTATATTTTGAAAAATTTCCTGTATTTACAAATACTTGAAGAAAAGAAGACAAGAAAAGGGGAAATGAGTCTTAAATCATGTTAAAGTGCTGAATCAATGAACAGAAACTAAGTGAATCTTGAGCCTGGGGGTTTATAACTCAAATCCAAGTTTTTGTGCTCTGGGCTCTTCTTTGGAGGTTTAGAGTTTCAGGAATCCACCTGTGCAAAGGTGTGTTAGTTTGTTCCTCAGGCTTGGGACCTTTGTTTCTCAGGTGTTCTCAAAGAGAGGAGGGGTCTGTGCCCGTGTCCCACAGGGAATGTGGTTTCAGCCCCTCCACAGGCCTGGAGAACTCAGTGTCTGTCTCTGTGCTGCCAGGTGTGACCTTCTCCGAGGCCCGGCACACCGACCTGGCCTGCCGTGGGATCGCTCCCATGCCAAGGGAAATGGCGTTCCCTGTGCCCAAGGGAGAGAACTGGAATGACCTCTACGACTACATCAGGTATGGCTGCTCCCCATCCCACCACAGCTCCCAGATCTTCCCGCTCCCTGGGGGAGGGCAGGATGGGTAATGCCACTTGAGGAGTGACAGAGCCGGGTGAACCTGGGGCCTGAGTGGGCATTTTGGTCCCCTCAGCTCCAGCATTTATGTGTTGTTAACACTTCTGTCCTTTAGTGCCATCTGCCTTTGGTATCCCTGTATTTGGGGGAGCATGGGACAAAAGGGGGGATCTTAGAGGAGACTGAAGAGGTCTTTGTGCCAGGCCTGAGCTGGCAAGGGATATTCCCAGGTGCCAATATGATTACAGTCCTAATGACATGGTGCCTTCCTCTGACGCTGCTCAGGTTCCCATCCGAGGGGCCAAAGCTGCCGTACGACTCCATCCAGAGGAGCTGTCCCAGTCCTGCGGCAGGTGGGAATGCTGGGGGCGGCAGCCAAGGCTGTGCCAGCCCGGCTGGGTGCCCTGGGTTCTCTTTAGAGCCCGACCTGCTGCTCTCATCCCGCAGGTGACCAAACCTCGAAGGAGCCCGCCCGCCAGCCACCCCCACCGGTGACGCTCACCAGGGCAGTGTGTGACCGCCTGTCCCTCATCCATCACATAACCAGTCCCAGAGCTGTGAGTGCACCATGGAGGAGGCTGCAGCTCCTTCCTTTCTGCTTCCCAGGGAGTTTTCCCCTCATCTGTGCCTTCAAGATGCTTCTTGTCCTCAGCAGCTCATGTGGCATGGTCTGGTGACCACAGTTCTGTCTTCAAATTATTGATGGGAAATGAGGTCTGGAGACTAAGGAATGGGATTGGTGCCCTCGAGGAGCAGAGCAGTGCGTGGAGTTGGGATTGCTGGGACTGCAGGCAGCTGTCCTCTTCCTGGTTTCCCCCTTCCTGGTGGTGCTGATATGGGAGCTGGTGTCACCAGTGTGGTGATGGGTGTTTGAAGAGGGGCTGGGGGAAGCCATCCTCACTGTGGAGAGGGAGACAATGAGGAGTACAACTTCTCTTTATTAGAACGCGTCCAAAGGCTGACCATGAAGATGGTGAAGGGTCTAGAGGGGAATAGAGCCATGTGAGGAGCAGCTGAGGGCACTTGGTTTGTTCAGCCTGGAGAAGAGGAGATGGAGCACAGACCTCATCAGGGTCTGCAGCTTCCTCCCAGGGGACAGTGGAAGGGCAGCTGAGATGTCTGCTCCCTGTGAGCAGTGACAGAACCCAAGGGAATGGCTGGAGCTGTGTCAGGGCAGGCTCAGGTTGGATCTCGGGGAAAGGTTCTTCCCCCAGAGGGTGGTTGGCACTGAACAGGCTCCCCAGGGCAGTGGGCACAGCCCCAAGGCTGCCAGAGCTCAAGGGGTGTTTGGACAATGCTGTCAGGGACAGGGTGGGACTGTTTGGGTACCTGTGCAGGATGGACTGGATGCTCCTTGTGGGTCCCTTCCCACTCAGGATATTCTGTGATTCTATGACCTGGAATGAGCTGGGGTGGGCTGAGCTGGCTGACTGGGTGCTTTAGACCTCCTCTGCTCAGTGGAGAGAGGGCAGCTCTTCCTGTTCAGGGCTGAATATTTTCTGGGGCTCTGATTTTCTGTCTGGAGGAGATGAACTGTGCCTGGACAACACTGGGAGCGTAGGGAGAGGGGCTGGTTAACACACCTGGCCAAGCCAGGGCTGCTCTCCCTCCACGTTGTGCCATCCTTGTTTGCACCACTGTGAAGAGCCATCAGGAAGACATGGGGGTCTCTCTGCCTCTGCATTGGGTGGAGGGTGTTGGGAGGAGGACTGAGCTCTGTCTGAGGCTTTCCTCATTCTCAGGTGCCACGCCGGTCTCCTGTAATCCCAAAAAGCATCCCTGAGGTTCACCTGACAGCCCTGAGAGCTGTGCCTGCTGGGCACTCAGCTCCAGAGGAGAACCAGAGACCGCCCAGTGTGGGGGACACAGGGCAGCCACCATCAGCCATCCGTGTCTGTGCTCATCAGAGGGGTGGACGGAGCACCCGAGCTGTCCCTGCTGGCTCAGAGGAGGTGGGTGAAGCACTGAGGAGCTCAAGGTGGCTTTGCAGCGCTTATTTCTGATTCTTGTGAGCCCAGAAGTGAGAAAGGAAACACAAAGTTCAGGCTGGAGTTCCAGAGTTTAAAAGGTGTTATTTTTTCTGGCTAACAGTTCTCTTCTCTGTTAGTACCTTACTTGCCTTGAGAGAGGAACCCTGTGTTCAAACACGCTGACCTTAAGCGAGTAGCATGTTTACATCTGCCCAGAGTGTGCACAGAGAGGGCTCTGGCCCAGGAGTGCTGTCCCACCAGTAGGTTTCAGCCTGCAGGATAAGAGAACAGCCCTGGAAGTGTTCAAGACCATGTTGGTTGGAGCTTGGAACAACCTGGTCTAGTGGAAGGTGTCCCTGTCCATGGGAAGGGCTGGGTGGAAGAGCTGGGAAACCCCAGCTCCTCCTGCCTGCCAGGCTGGACTTGAAATACTATGAAGTTGTCCCCTCTGACAGGAGAGACCCAAAGCTGCCTCTGTGTTTTTCAGAGACAGATGAGCACTGGGGGCAGGGTGCCCTGTGGGTGGAGGACCTCAGCACAGCTCTGGGCATGATGGTGCTGTTTTTTTTCCAGAGGCTCTTACCGGATCCCATCCTGAAGCTGAGAACAATTATTGGCTTTGGAGGCTGCAGCACCAAATGGGTCAGTAGCTCAGATGGTTTGGGGAGTGGATCTGTTCTCATGTGACTGGGGTATTGATTTTTAGGAGGTGTGAGATACAGCTGAGTGTGGCATTGCTGGATGTGAGAAAGGATCCCAAAGCAGAGGGGGACAAGTGTTCATGCACAAGTGTTCTGCTGTTATGATGGTGAATTAGAAATTATGGGGCCTTTTAGACAGAATCATAGGATGGAAAAGCCCTCCAAGATCATCAGGTGCGACCGTTCCCCCAGCACTGCCAAGGCCACCACTAACCCATGTCCCCAAGTGCCACATCTACACATCTTCTAAGTCCCTCCAGGGATAGTGACCCTACCACTGCCCTGGGCAGCTGTGCCAGGGCTGGACAACACTTACAGTGAAGAAATTTCCCAATATCCATCTAAACCTCCTCTGGCACAGCCAGAGGCCATTTCCTCTGGTCCTGTCCCTTGTTCCCTGGGAGCAGAGCCCGACCCCCACCTGGCGCCATCCTCCTGTCAGGGAGTTGCAGAGAGCAAGAAGGTCCCCCCTGAGCCTCCTTTTCTCCAGGCTGAGCCCCCCCAGCTCCCTCAGCTGCTTTGTATCAGACTTGTGCTCCATTCCCTTCACTAAATGTCATGCCTTCTTTTTAATACATTAAAGCTCCTGTGCTTTGTTGGAGGCTCGGAAGGAAGGGCTATGTTTTGGCTTGTTTCTGTGGGGCACTGGGCCTTGCTTGTGGTCTGTGTTAGGATAAAGAAGGGGTTGTTTTGGTTCAGTCAGTTCAAGGCTCTGCCAACAATGTCATTTTCCTTGGATCTCCTGTTCACACAGTAGGGAAGGGATCTTAAAACTCATTCAGTTCCAACCCCTGGCCATGGGCAGGGACACCTTCCACTAGACCAGGTCGCTCCAAGCCCCATCCAACCTGGCCTTGAACAATTTTAGGGATGGGAAAGAAACCTCTGCCTAGGAGCTGGGGCACTTGTGGAGCCCTGTGCCTCCTGTGTCGGTGCTGCAGGCGCTGTGGACGCAGAACAACGCCGCGGTGGTGTATCCCTGCCACGCCGTCATCGTCACCCTGCAGCTCCGCACCGGCGAGCAGAGGTTCTTCCTTGGCCACACAGATAAGGTGAGTGTGACCTTCCAAAGCCTGATGGCAGTGCTGTCCTTGCACCCCAGATGTCCCCCTGGTGCCCTCTCAGATGGTGATTCCCCACAGGTGTCAGCGCTGACCTTCAATGGGAGCAGCACCTTGCTGGCCTCGGCGCAGTCTGGGCCCCGGGGCGTGGGGCGCCTCTGGGACTTCCGCGCAGGCACCTGCCTCTCCGTGTTCAAAACCCATGTCCACTCCCTCTGGTCCCTCAGGTGGGTTTCAGCTGGGTGCAGGTGGGTGAAGTGTTGCAGTATGGCAGCTTTTCCGTGCTGTTCTCATGTGCAGGGATGAATTAGAGCTGCCTGGGTTTGTCACCTAGACCGGCTGGCAGCTGGCCTGGCTATGCTGCCAGCTCCCTCCTGAGCTTATCCCTCAGGTCTTGCTGTCTCCCCATCCCTACAACTTGTCCCCTTTTATCCCCCACTGGGGTACAATCAGGGTACAAGGAGCTGTGTTTCACCAGGTGCCTCTTGCAGCTTTTCCCGCAGCGGAGCCGTTCTGTGCGGAGTCGGGAGGGACGGGCATGGCAAAACGGTGAGAGCTGAAACTTGGGTTGGGAGGTTTCCCTGAGATGGCTGTTCTCCCAGATTGTGTAGTTATTTTGCAGACAAACCTCTGCTCTGGGCTTTCCTAGACATGTTCTTGAGGGAGATCCCTTTCTCGTTAGCTGCCTAGAAAATACTTTTCCTGATGCTTGTGGGTGTTCGCACACACGTTCCTCAGCTGCAAGCACACAGATCCTTTCAGAAGCATCCAGAGAGACCTGCTGGGGTTGTGCTTTGAGGCTGTTGTGTTCCTGGTGTGTTCCCAGCCAGGAGCACAAGCAGGGTGATGTGATTGTGCCGTACTCTGCAGGGATCACCGCAGGCTCATGTGCCACATTCCCACCTCTGCAGCCCTTCTGAGGGACTCGTGCTTGGGTGGCATTTCAAGCTGGAAGCCTTGTGAGCACATAGGAATTGTAATGGGAGGTTCAGCACTGACTGGAGCCCCAAACCCCTTTATTTTCATAGCATTTAGGGCAAGATGTGAGGTTTCATCTTTCATCACCGAGCATCTCCGCGGGAAGGGATGCCGGGTGCTGGAGCTGCCACCCACCGATGTAGCTGGGGGATGACGCAGAATCCCACATGGAGCAGTCAAAAATAAACCTGTTTCGTGGGACTGGGTGTTTGTTTTGTCAGTGGAAGTGTTTTCATCCACTGATCCCTTACTGACAACCACCAGCAATTAGCTGTGCCATTGCTAATTGCAGGAAAAAACACACGGTGCTCCGTGTTTTTCTCAGCATGTGGCAGTGTTCTCTGATCTGGGTGGGAGCTGGTGAGCTGAAACTGGGGAGGGGGGAATCAACGGGGTGAAAGGGAGGGAGAACAGGGAGTGCTAGGGGGCACCTCTCCCACGGTGATGCCTCAGCCCATCCTAGCCTCTGAGGTGATCCTGGGTTTGGTTTTAATGCTGCTCTGGAATGCAGAGCATCCACCTCCATTTCTTCAGCCATTTGACCCTTTCCTTTGGGGAGAGAGTTTGACTCTTGCCCCTGGTGACAGGCCCTGAGGGCACACAGAGCAGAGGCTGGGACAGCCAGAGCAGTGGCTGTGTGCTACCTCTCACTCCCTCAGCCCTGGTACCGCTCCTATATCCCAGCAGGCAGAGTTCTCACTCCTCTGTTGGTTTTCTTTCCAAGTCTGAGTCCCGTTGCCAGGCAGCCCTGGGATTTAGACCCTATAATTATGGATTGCAGACAAGGATATTGCCATGAAGCTTTGCAAAGCTGTTGAACTGTCCTAAACCCTCTGGGTGAGAGGTTTTATTTCCCCTCCTCCAGCTCTGTTGTCGATACTTCGTGCCCAGCTCTGGAGCAGCTGCTGGATGAAAAGCTCTTCCCCTGCCAAGGTTTTGAGCAGCTCTTCCACTGTGTTTTTGTGTTTCAGTTGGTGGTGGTGTGGAACACTGCTCAGGTAACCCGTGGTGGAGGGGTGGCAGTGCTGGCCAAAGCACACACAGATGTGGACATCCAGGCCTTGAAGATTGCTTTCTTTGATGATACCAGGTATGTGCAAAGAAAATAAATCAGTAACAGTGATTCTTAGATGTTGGGAAGGGTGAGGGTGGGCAGGCCCTGGCACAGGTTGCCCAGAGAAGCTGTGGCTGCCCCATCCCTGGAAGTGTCCAAGGCCAGGTTGGACGGGGCTTGAAGCAACCTGGGCTGGTGGAAGGTGTCCCTGCCCATAGACTGGGTGGGCAACTAGGTGGTCTTTAAGGTCCCTTCCAACCCAAACCATTCCATGATTCTGGCTTGGCTGCAGGGGGAATTGTGGTGCTGCAGCCATCTGGTCGCTATTCCTGTCCTTAGTCTGTCAGGTGGCCCTTGGGACACTGGGCTTGGGACACCAGGGGCTCGGGGAGCCCTGCCCTGCTCCTCATGCCATGTCTCCCGGGACAGGATGGTGTCGTGTGGCCGGGACAACATCAGGCTGTGGCGAGTGCGGAGCGGGGTCCTGCACTCGTGTCCCATCAACCTGGGCGAGTACCATTCCCTGGAGTTCACTGACCTGGCCTTCGAGGAGGGGCCCGTGGCCGAGCAGGAGCCAGAGGACCGTGCGCTGTAAGGGGCCAGCACCATCACCAGGGGAACCTGCTGGGAGGGAGCTCTGCTTCAGAACAGCCCCAGAAATGGCTCTTTCCTCTCGCTATAGTGATGTTTTGCCACATTTAGTGATTTTCTCCTCACCTGAAGCTTTCTGTGGCAGCAGGAGGAGCGTGGAACACATCTTCTTGCATACAGCCAGACACACGCTTTGTTGTTGTTTTATTTTAATCATCAGAGCCAGGGCTTTGTTGCCACCACATATGGTCCCATCAGGGCAGAGCTGTGGGCTCAGCCGGCCTGTGGCAGAGAGAGGCTCCTTTCTGGAGTCTGTGCCAAGCTTTTTGGCTCTCTTGCTGATCTCTGTTCCAGAGGGTCAGGAAATAAATAGGAAGCTCTGACTTGGTTAGAGATGTGTAGTGCAGCACACGGAACACTTGGACACCTAGCTGACCTGTTACATTACTGGGAACCAGGATTGCTTTCCACGGGTAAGCCAAGCTGATTTTTTACTAAAACCAGGTCTCTCTTCTGGTTTTTTTTTACAGCTTTGTGTGCAGCAAGAGCGGCCACGTGCTGGAGGTGGATTACAAGAACATGTCTGTGCGGAGCGCGCGGCGCCTGCTGCCGGCACAGCCCCGGGAGCACAGGCAGGAGCAGGCAGGGAGCAGCTCAGGTGGGAGCACCGGTAGGGAGGGAGGGGGAACCAGCCAGGGGGCACCTCAACCATGGCTGGGGTCAGAAATGAGCTCAAACTCATCCCCGCTCAAACCAACCAGCTCTTTACCTACTGCTACCGGTTATTTTGGGTTGATTAGATCATCGCTATTTGCCTCTTAAGGACTGCAAATAATCTTCCTTAGTGCAGCAAAGTATCGTTTTAAGAAAGATTTTAGCATTTTAAATGCTGATTGCACTTTCAGAGAAACACCACTTTTAGAAACATGAAACAAGGTCTTCATTTGCTGATGGGAGGCTTAATGGAGAGATGGAAAAAGAACTAAGCAGATGAACGAAAAAGATGAATTTGGGGATTTTTTCATTATTCAGCCTTTGCAGAGCATTTGGAGAATCTTTGGTGCTGTACATTAGTCCAGCTTTCAGCTCTTCCAGTGACTTCAACAGCGGGAAGAATTCACTTTCAAGTGGGAATGCCCTGATGTTTTGAAGCTTAGTGCATGGTTTGCTGTATCAAATTGAGCTAATTAATCAAGAACATGCCCTTTGAGAGGTTTGTAACTGCAGTTCTCACCTCACGGGCAAGAAAGGGTCCAAGAGGAGATGAAACAATGTCCTTGGTGTCCTCCTGATAGCAGTGCTGGCTCTGACCAATGGCCTTTATACCCGCATTTAGATTGGATATTGGGGAAAATTCCTTCACTGAAAGTGTGTTCAGGCTTTGAAACAGCCTCCCCATTCCATCCCTGGAAGTGTTCAACACTGTGGATATGGCCCTTGGGGACATTGTTTAGTGGTGGCCTTGGCAGTTCTGGGTTAATGGTTGGACTCGATGAGCTTTTCCAACCTTAATGATTCTGTAAATCAAAAAAATCCCATTTTCTGTACATCTGTATTCTTCTGCAGAGAGGATTTGGGACATGGAAATGGAAGGGCAGTTATCTGAGACATCCCTTGCTGTAGGATCCTATTTGAGGCAAAAATATGGTAGGGTTTAACAAGGGGCAGGGATTTTCTGAGCCTTGCAAGAGTTTCACGATGGTAAAGAAGTTTTTAGCCCTGGGAAGGGCTGCCTGAGACCCTTCAGCCTGATCTGTCAGTCAGCATGGGATTGCTGGCTCCTCCTGAGACTCCAGCTGCAGGTGTGGGTGGAGCACTGGCCTCATCTCTTGGATGGGGCAACCCTCAGGTTGAGTTTTCTTGTTCCATGTGTATGAGGAGGTGTCCTTTTTGGGGTTTTCAGGCCCTGGGATTGCTATAAACAGTATCAGCATGTCCTTGACCTTCTGTGCCACGGGATCAGAGGATGGCTACGTGCGGCTGTGGCCGCTGGACTTCTCAGCCGTTGTCTTAGAGGCAGGTGAGTAGGGCTGGGAGTGGTTCTTCTGAGCTCCACTCCTGCTGCAATTCCAGAGCTCCACTGCCACAGCTCCTGCAGCAATTCTCATGAACAAGGGCATGTTTTATGTGTGCTGTCTCCAAGGCTGACTGGCTTGGAAGTCTTCAATGGCTGTTATTGGTGTTTATTCTTGTAACTCATAGGAGAAAGGCAGGGTCTCCTGGGAGAGAGCAGATTTCCATCTTGATTTCTGTGCCCTTGAACCCATGGCTCATCTGTCCATGAAAAATTAGGGGAGAGGTCGAGAAGTTCTTGACTCTTTTTGAAACAAACAGCTTAACTGCAGAGCCAGAGCCCTTTAGATAGGGCAGAGACTAATCTGTCAGTAAACTCAACTGCAAGTGTTCAGTCTCTAGGCTGTGGGCTGCTCATTCCTGGGATCACTGCTTTCCCAAGCAGGAATCTGGCTTTGTAGCTGTATTCCAGCTGCTGCCTCTCCTTTCCCAGGGGATTTGTTGACCCCTGTGCGTTTCCCCAGAGCACGAGGCCCCGGTGAGTTCCGTCTGCATCAGCCCCGACAGCCGCAAAGTCCTGTGCAGCACAGCTGCTGGGAGCCTGGGCTATGTGGATATCCAGTCCCGGGACTACAACACCCTCATGCGCTCGCACAAGGACGCCGTGCTGGGCTTCTCGGTGGGGGGCATTCGGAAGCAGATAGCAACAGTGTCTCAGGACAGCACCATCCGAGTGTGGGACCTCGTCTCCATGCAGCAGGTAGGCGAGACAGGAGTTAGGAGGTGTCTTTGTCTCTGTTTGGTCTAATTATCAAAACCCCACGGTTCAAGAGCCCTGAAGTCCTCCCTGAAGCATGAGGGGGTGCCACGGGCAAGGAATCCTTTGAAAGTGGAGTTCTGAGGTATTGTTAAAACAAAATTATTTTCTTTTCCTCCATCTTCTGAATAATGCTTTTTAGCACAAAGCATAACACCCAAGGGCTTTATCTAAATGCCCAAAGACCCAGGACTTCACTGGGGTTTGTATCCATCCAGGCAGGAATAGCAGTGTGCTCGTGGTGGAGGTCTGAGGCTGTTTAGTTGTTGGGTCCAGCTGGAGCTCCAGCTTTATCCAGCTGCATTCTCTTCCCTGCAGCTGTATGACTTTACAGCCACAGACGAAACACCGTGTGCCGTGGCTTTCCACCCCACCTGGAAGATCCTGGCCTGTGGATTTGACAGTGGGACAGTGCGGACCTTCAGCTTGGCCGCCTCCAATCTCCTGGTGGAGCACAAGTGAGCGTTTGGAGTGGAACTACACTGGGTCTAGCTGGGTGTCCTGGTGATGGAAGAGAGCCACAGAGATGGTCATGGACCTTGACAACCCTCAGGTCCCAGCTGGGTGGGGTTTGGGCAGAGGCTGTGCTGAGGCTCTGGGTGGTGAAAGCCTGATCTGTGAAGGCCATGAGGGCTTTCTTTGTGACTTCCCAGGGGAGAGCAGTAGGAAAGAGCTTGTCCTAGAGGGCAGCTGAGCAGGGAGCCCTTGCAAGCCTTGATGCAGAAAGCAGAGGATGCTCCAAGCAGAGAAGGGAGCATGTTCCATCCAGGCTGGAGCACTGCTCGTTTGTCCAATAAATTGCAATGTTGGTTGTCCTGGGTTGCTGCAGGTGTGAGCATGGTGGAGTCCTACCCTGCCCCTGATTATTTTGCTCTGGGTTCTTCACATTTCACTCCATGTCAGTACTGTTTCCTCTGCCTCTGATTTTCTCCTCCCTTCATCCGTGTTTTCTGCCTTTCAGGCAGCACCGCGCTGCGATCACCGGGCTGACCTTCTCTCCGGACGGCAGCTTCATGTTCAGCTCCTGTTTGCAGGGCACTCTGGCTCTCTACAAGTGTGTGGCACAGAAGAGCCACGTCCTGAGGGTCCTGGGTAAGACTCTGAGATTGGGTGTTGCCTTTCTTCATTTCTTTTATTATCACAGACACCAAAGCCAAACCACACTCAGTCTGCTCAGAGAGAGATTTCCCAGTGAACCTGAGCTGTGTCATTTCCCCCTGTGCTGGGCATTGCTGAGCCACCTCCAATCCTGGGGGCAGTTCTGGTGCCCTTGTGACAAGAAAGATCTTGAGGGGCTGGAGCGTGTGCAGGGAAGGGAACAGAGCTGGGGAAGGGGCTGGAGCAGCAGGAGCAGCTGAGGGAGCTGGGGGGCTCAGGCTGGAGAAAAGGAGGCTCAGGGGGGACCTTCTGGCTCTGCAACTCCCTGACAGGAGGGGGGAGCCGGGGGGGTCGGGCTCTGCTCCCAGGGAACAAGGGACAGAACTAGAGAAAACAGCCCCAAGTTGTGCCAGTGGAGGTTTAGATTGGATATTGGGAAATTTCTTCCCTGAAAGGGTGGTCAGACCCTGGCACGGGAGTCCTGATCCCTGGAGGGATTTAAAAACCACGTGGATGTGGCACCTGCGAACGTGGGTTAGTGGTGGTGCTGGCAGTGCTGGGGGAGCAGTTGGACTCGATGATCTCAGAGGGCTTTTCCAACCAAGACCAACCTATGATTCTATGATTCTTAATGATTCTGTGATTTTATGATTCTGTGATTTGTGTTGGTACCTTCTGTGTGAGCAAAACCCATTGAAAAAACCACTTCCCTACCTGTCCTGGTTCAAACCCCGTCAACCTGCTTGGTGTAATGATTTCATGAATGTTCTGGAATCACAGAGATTTATTCATGCCCAAGCCCTGGCTGTTTTCATTCTGTGCATGTGGAGTTTAATTTATTTAAAGTGGATTTTTGCCCTAACCCTGCCTGCAGCAGAGCTGCTCTGTGCTGGTGGAGAGCTGGAGGCAAGGCAGGGGCCAGGCAGTTTGGAAAAATTAGTGTCAAATTTAATGTACACTTTGGAAATGAGCTGTGGCAGCACAAGCTTGGGCAGGGAAAGGGAGCTCTGCTTTTTATACAGTGCATTTATTTTTATAAAGAGGAGGATCCTGCCCCAAGAATTGTGCAGGAAAAGGAACAGGGGCTCAGAGGGATCAGGGAGTTTGTCCAAAGTCACCCAAATTTGGGGTTAGTGCTGCAGCCGGACCTTCATGTGTTGACTCTGCTCTGAAACTGTGTCACTACCTGGTCACATTCCAAGGACAGACAGTGGAATACTGATAGTGGAATAAATACAGGGAATTGCTGTGATTTCAGCCATTTTTAGACCTTTGGGTCTGTGCCCTCTGGACTGACATCAGTGTGGTGGGGTTCAGCACTGACCTCATTCCGCTCAGGGTTCAGCCAACCAGGCTGCAGCTCAGATCTTGCATTCATAGCTCTGTGTCACGTTAAAAAATAAGCTCTAAAATCAATTTTATTCCCTTGACTTTGTTCCGCTCTCCTTGAAAACACCACACCTTCGGTCAGGCAACAAGTTGTGCATCTAAGCCTCGTGTTTTAGGTGTCCACGGCACACTTTGGGTGTGCAGATAAATTTTGTAGCATCTACAACACAGGTTGCTTCTTTCTCAGGCCAGAGCGTTAACCTTAACAAAACTGAGTTCGGAGGAGAAGCTGCAGCTGCTGCCCAGCAGCAGCATCAGAGTGAGGGTGGGCTTTGCTCCTCTCCTCACTGTCCCTCGTGCTGTGTCCCCCAGGAAACGTGGTGGCCCAGGATGCTGGGAGCGGCTGGGATGCGCTGGTGGTCAGTGGGGACAGTCACCTCCTGGCCTTCGTGGGGCCCTCCAAGTACGTGGTGACCGTGATGGAGGCCTGTTCTCTTGATGAGGTACCAGGGGCTCCCCTCCTTCCTGGGGAGGCTGGGGAGGGCAAATCCCATAGGCTGCATCAGGTGAGATGGGTCAGGGCACTGGGCACCAGCACTGCTGGAGAGGGCCTTCCCTGCAGAGCTTGGAGTTTACAGGGAGGTTTGTTTTCCATTCTTAGAAATAACAAAGTCAAAGTTTCTTCTCCTCTGGCTTTGTTCCCCTCTAGAAAGATAATTTGCAGGGGTGCTGTGTAGACTGTCAGCTCCCACCTCTCTCTCTGAGCTGCTCTCCCAGGCATTGCCTGGACCTGAAACCTTCATTAGGTGGGAAGGGTCTGGGGAGTTCTGTGGCCTTGTGTTAGGAGCAATCCTGAGGCTCCTGCAGTGTTTGTTGATAGCTCCTTGTTTCACAGCTGCTGAGGGTGGACATCTGCGTCCTTGACGTGCACAGCACTGACTTGGACTCTGCAGTGAGGCTCTGCTTTGGTCCTGTGTCTCGGGGAGAGCTCCTGGTATCCACCTCTTCCAACAAAATCCTCGTGCTCGATGCGAAAACAGGACGACTGGTGCGAGAGGTAGGATGCTGAAATCCATCCACTGAGCTCTCATGTGGGGTTTGGGCATTTCATGTCCCTGTGGGAGGTTAAATGAGAGAAAAGCTCATCCTGGAGCTCACAGGCTTCAAAGAAACATGAGTGGGAAGCCTACAGTTATCCTAGTGTGTTTGGGCTCAGGATGAGCCTCAGCTTGTCCTTGTTTTCCATACTGTCACACCCCTGTTCTCTTGCTGAAGTGTAAATAAGGGTATGAACTAACTCAGTTAAAGCTGCTGGTGCCTCTTCTTGTCCTCAGGTGTCCCCCATGCACAAGCTGACCTGTTCTTCCTTGGCACTGAGCAGGGATGGCCAGTACCTGCTCACTGCTGGTGACAAGGTTATCAAAGTGTGGGACTATCGGATGCGCTTCGATATCAACTTCCAGGTACCACCCACAGAGGGAGGGAAGGGGTTGGTGGTGCATTTCTGAATCCCTGGAGAAAAGAGAAGCAAGAGGTGTCTGACATTTGTCCCAGTGTCTCTAGTCCCAGTTTGCCCAGCAGAGAAATGCAGCCCTATGGCACTGGGTACTGGGGCAGCCAGACCCTCTGCAAAGGACAGGGGTGGGTGATACCTCTGTGTTAGGGACAAGACCACACAGAGAAGAAAATGGCTCCCCCAGGACTTCAGGGGTAGCGTAAGACTTTGTACTCTTCAGCTTTTGCTCCCTTTCCCAGAGGAGTGTGTTCAAGGTTCATCAACCATAGATGTGAGCACTGTAGGTGTGGCAGATCCTCTGCTGGATCTTGTGCTGAGGCCTGTAGACACTGGCCATGCAGGGCAGAGAGCGGAGTAACCCCCTGCTGCCAGGACAGGTGTGGGGATGGGGAAGTTCAAGGTGTGCTTTCTCCAGGTGTACGTGGGCCACTCGGAGCCCGTGCGCCAGGTCGCCTTCACCCCGGACCAGCAGCACGTCGTCAGTGTTGGAGATGCCATCTTCCTCTGGGATTTCCTAGCTCCAGTTGGAGCAAAGTCACCCCCAGCCAGGTAAGTGCAGCTGTTGGGCACTGCCTTCCCTGCCTCCCCCTTTCCCCCCAGCCCCGTCCCTGCTCGGTGTAACACCAATCTCCTCGCCTTTCCAGGGCTCGTTCCCCCGCATCTGCTGGGCTGCCACGACCAGGTGAGTTGTGCTGGTTGGCAGGTTGGCAGCTCTTCCAGAATGTAGGGCCTGGGCAGTTCAGTTCCTTCCCTCAAGGAGTTAGGTGTTTGGGGCCAAAGCAGCTAATTAGCCCCAAAGGACAATCTCAAATTAATTAGCGCCTCTCAGTGTGCTTAGGTGGGGATGTTCTGAGCAGAGCCACTCTGGATTTTCTGGTAGGTCTTTCAGCTTTTGTCTTCTGTCTTTTGCTGCCTCTATCTCCTCTGTTTTCTTTCTCCCTCAGTGTATTTCTCTCTCTCTGTCCCTCTGTTTCTTGAAAGACAGAGAAGTGGCTTCTGCTGTGTAGGAGGAAGCTGGAGAAATGAACTTGGAGGCATCACCATCAATTGAGGAGGATGAGAGGAGCTATAAGGGGTGAAGGAAGTCACACAAAGCCTTTTCTTTTCCCAGAAGGCAGCTCTGAGAAGCCAAAGGATGTCTCTGAGACCCCTCGGCAGACAGTGCCTCTCCCATTGCTGTCCTCACCCCCGTGTTTGGATGTCAGCTCTGCCCACCAAGCAGGGTATCAAGGTAAGAGGAACTGTTTGCAGGAAAGGGAGACCTTTGGTTTTGGGAAAAACTCCTTGCCTAGTTTAGCAGCATTCTTGGAGCCATCCCTGCCCTTGATCCCTTCCAGCAGACTGACAGACCAGTCTGCAATTCGTTCCCCTAAGCTGGAAAAAGCCCAGAGGTGCTGGGATTGAGCACCCCTTTATCCTCTGCTCTCCTCCACACACTGAGCTGCTGGCACAGCTTCTCTGAGGGCTGTGGTAAACACCCTTTTGGCCATTCCCAGTGGGAATTGTCTGCTTTGCCCTCCACCCTAACAGCTGGACTGTTCCACAGAGCAGGGGAATGACACGGCCAGAAATCAAAGGGTCAGGCACACATGAAGTGGTCCTGAGGGACAGGGATGGCTCCATCTTCCCACTGATTTTTCTCTTCAGGTATTTTCTCTGAGTTGGATGAAGAGGAGGAAGCAGATCTGCCAGGCAGCAGCAGGATGGGGGCAAACAGAGACAAAGATGCCTCAGTCTTTGTGGTGGAGTCAGACAGGAGCAAGGAGCTTGCGAGGCCCAAAGTGAGGCAGGAGAGCCCAAGGTCTCCTGAGAAATCAACAAATGGTAAATCAGGGTCTTCCCAGCTTGTGCAGAGCTTATCTCCTTTCTTGTGCACAGGCCTGCATGGCAGCTTGGTCTGTCCCAGCAAATGAAGGAAGGTCATCATTAATATGGTCCAAGAGACCCAGACACATGCTCTGAATTGTGATCTGAAGGGCAGCAACACGTTCCTCAGGGCTCTTCCTTGGGCATGACCTACTGAGGGAAATCAGTATTGAGGGAAGCTCATGCTGGTGGTGCCCAAAGCTGCCTGTTTTCCTGGCTCTTTCCCTGCTGCTGCTTCCAGGCACACCAGAAGCCTCTCTTCAGCTTGGAGCCAGTATCATCTCTGAGAGGCACGTTCCATTAAATCCAGCTGCAATTAAAGCTCCTAATGTCTCTATTAATAGCAGCACAGCCTCAGAGCTGCAGCAGAGCGTGGCGACCTGCCAGGAGCAGCAGCTGCCTGTGCTCATTCCCAGCAGGACCTGTTGGAAAAGCTTCAGCATAAAACTGTGCCTCCAGTGCTCCTTTGAAGTCCTTTTTTGGGGCTGTGGGGCTTGTGGTTTCACAGCACGTGGCTTGGGTGCCCTTAGGATTTTTGCAGTGTAGGGAATGGCTGGAGCTGTGTCAGGGCAGGCTCAGGTTGGATCTCAGGGAAAGGTTCTTCCCCCACAGGGTGGTTGGCACTGAACAGGCTCCCCAGGGCAGTGGGCACAGCCCCAAGGCTGCCAGACCTCAAGGAGCATTTGGACAACACTGTGTGGGACATGATGGGATTGTTGGGGTGTTTCTGCAGGGCCAGGAGTTGGATTTGATGATCGCTATGGGTTCCTTCCAACTCAGGATATTTTACATGTGACACTGCAGGTCTGATTTTTGCCTCATGTGTGCACCATACATAGCACCTGAATGGACAGCAAGCCACAGCCTGGGTGCTGCTCCCAAAGCACTCCCAGGAGCAGTGTCCCATAGGTCCCTTTTTCTTCTTTGCATGGCAGAAGCCAGGAAGGGAACCAAAACTCCCAAGTCCCAGTGCTCCGTCCGCCCGGATTCCTACCGGCATTTCACTCCTCGCTTCAAGGCATCGGTGCTCCCCCAGGTGAGAGCTGTGCCTGGACTGGTTACCTGGTAAAGAACGGGCATTTGGGGGCTGAGGTTTTCCAAATAGTTCCCATTTTGTTCTCTGCTTGGAGGCAGTTTGGAAAATAAACCCCTGGGCTGATGTTCAGTGAGAAATCCTAACACTAATTCCCAGTTCTCCCCTACGTGCAGCTCTTTCCAGACTAGTAAAAAGTGAGTTGCGCTCAACTCTGTTTCTGTTCCCTGAATCTGCATACATTTTTATTCAAAAGAATGGGAATGGCATGTGCTATTGAGAGTGAAAGATGGGTGAGCAATGGAATGATTCATCATATTTGTGAGCAGCTGCGTTGGCAGAGCAGGCTGGAGAAGGCAAATCCACAGAGCGTAAGCGAGGAGAGACACGGCACAGCTCCCGCTCTGTTAACAAACACAGCAGGAATGAAACAGAAACTTAGCTCGGCCTTTCTCTAAGCTCTGCTGTTACTGCTGGGACAAGAACTACGTCCAGCTTGCCCGCTCAGTTCTCTCCTCTGTCCTCCCACCTGGCAGCATTTTTTCCCCCAGTTCTCTTCCTACTGAAATATCTACACATCCAAGCCAGCAAAACCCATGGAGCTCTTTCCCAGTGGGATCAGCAGCTGCTCCTCGGCTGGGCACTTGCTGCCAGCCTGTTCTATGCCCCATCTGAAAGCATCTGTGCCTGGCTGTGCTGGGGCAGTATCTCTTTTGGACGTAGAATTTTGCCCTTCAGTACTCATCAGTTATGGAATTGTGTGAGGATTGGTATGAATCTGTGTGGGGTGTGTGTGTGAGGACGTGTGTGTGTTTGCACACTCACTTTTTCCTACATGGGTGCTGCTGCACCTGCCCAGGCCATACTTCTAGAGCTTATTTTAAGCCAGTGTCTGTTTTTCTTGCAGAATTTCCTGTCTCCTCCAGCAGGCAGTGAGGTCTTGAAGCTGAAAGCAGTGATCGGCTACAATGGAAATGGCAGAGGGAATATGGTGTGGAACCCAGATACAGGTACCCTGAGAATGCTCTGGGGGGGTGGGATGTGTTACCCAGAGTGGTTGTGGCTACCCCATCCCAAGAAATGTCCAAGGCCATGTTGGATGGGGTTTGGAGTGACCTGAGATAGTGGAAGGTGTCCCTGCCCATGGGAGGGGGTGGAATGAGATGAGCTTTAAGGTCCCTTCCAACCCAAACCATTCTGGGATTCTGTTATGATTCTAGGAGTGTGTACTGAACAAAATTATGATCTTCTGGCTGTTGGGATCTTTGCTTGAACACAGGGGTTCTTTGTGTTGATAAAATCCAGTAACTCTTTGCTGTTGGTGAGCGTTAGTTGGTGGGGCAGACTTGGGTTCAGTTGTTGAGTGGAGAGAGCAGGAGAAACGCTCACAAAGCCCATTCTGGCTCCTTTCTCCAGCTGGAGCGGTGCCCAGCAGCTTTGCTTTGCTCAGGTTAGGGGAAGTGAGATCTAATCCCACTCCCAACCTGACGCTGACGAGCCGTGCAGAAGAGTCAGCTTTTACGTATTAATGAATCATAGAATTTTCCACGTGGGTTGTGGTGGGAGCTGGATGTGCAGCCTTTCCATGAAAACATCCCCTCTCCTCCTCTGCTAGGCTTCTTCGCCTACTCCTGTGGCTGCATCGTCGTGGTTGAAGACCTGCACTCGGGGTCCCAGAACCACTGGCTGGGCCACGCCGAGGAGATCTCCACGCTCGCCCTCAGCCACGACGCCCAGGTACGAGGCCCTGCTGCTGCCCAGGGCCTGGGATTAGCCCTGTCACCTTGGGCCAAAGGGATGTCACAGATTAAAATCCCATTTGTCAGTTCTTCCTGCTGCCTGGAGGCTGTGGAAATCATTTTGGAGCGTAGTTATCTGTTGTGTTGGCTCAGCGTGGCAGTGCCTCACCTCAGGGAGGGGCTGGAGTGGGTCCAGAGAAAGGAACAGAGCTGTGAAAGAGGCTGGAGTGTCAGACATATGAGGCAAGACTGAGGGAGCTCAGCCTGGAGAAAAAGAGGCTCAGCAGGGACCTCTCACTCTCTTCAACTCCCTGGCATGAGGGGGAAGCCAGAGGGATTTGGGCTCTGCTCCCAGGGAAGAAGGGACAGGACATGGAGAAACGGCCTCAAGCTGTGCCAGAGGAGGGTCAGGTTGAGCGTCAGGAGGAATTTCTTCCTGGAAAGGGTGGTCAGGCAGTGGAAGGAACTGCCTAGGGAGGTGGTGGAGTCCCCATCCCTGGAGGTGTCCAAGGAACGACTGGATGTGGCACTCAGTGCTCTAGGCTGGGTGACAGGGTGGGGATCGGACACAGGGTGGACTCGATGACCTTGTGATTCTGTAAAGGTTGCTCCCTTCCTCTGGGTGATGCTGCCATTCCCTCCTGCCACCAACTGAATGGTTGTTCTCACAGAATTCTCCATCTGCCAACCATATCCCTTTAATTTGGGGCTAATCTCGCTAAGACTTGTTAATGAGTATTCTCTAATTACTCACTGAGGTCTCAGTGACTATGCACTGTTCTGTTAGGTTCTTGCCTCTGCCTCAGGGAGGAAGGATGGAGACTCCCACTGTCAGATCTGCATCTGGAGCATCCCGGATGGGGCCTGCACGGCAGAGCTCTTCCACCACGAGACACAAGTGCAAGCCATGGCATTCTCTCGGGATGACAGGTTCCTTGTCACCATAGGTGAGCACACCTGTAACACCAGCTGTGGGTGCAGGAGACAGCTCATGGGAGCACTGAATACCTGCCAGATGTGTATGAGGCTCGTGGGTATGAAGCTGTTTTGTGGTGTCCTTGGGACAGTGGGTGAAGCTGCACTTCCCTCTCCTGACTCACTAGTGCTTCTTAAACCCTGTGTGAATGGTTTGTGGTTACTGTATTTACTGCTCAGAGGGGAGAGCCGCCTTCTGGGCTTGTTATTGCTGCTTAGGTGGAATTGGATAGAAGTTAGCAAGGCTTCCAACTGTGAGCCTCCTGCCAGGCAGCCATGCCAGCACAGGATGGACACTCAAGCTGTCTGTTTTGTTTAGGCAGGGGACATTTAAAGGACAACATGCAATTAGCAAGCCCTTATTTTGCATGAGATGGGACCTGTGGAGCAGGCAATAGGCTTGCTGTGGGCTGGTGAGCCTGCCCTTGGAAAAAAAAAGCAGGCTTTGCTGGAGAGAAAGAGAGCTGTGTGCTCTCCATGGAGCATCCGGGCAGAGGAGCCCTCCTCTTCCAGCTCCAGACTGGGCTGCAGGAAGGGAACAGCTGAAAGTCTCCACTGGGCTTGTGGAGCCTAGGAAAGGCAGCAGGAGAGTGCTGTCCTCCAGAGCTGTTTGGGAGCTGGGGAATTTGCCATCACCAAGGCCAGTGCCTTCTGCTCCCACCCAGCTACAGTGTCCTCCACTAAGGTCAGCTCCCACCTCACCTGGCACCTGGCAGAGGTGACATCCCTTTCTTATTCAGTACCTGGTTAGCCCTGAGTGCCCAGTGTCACTGGAGGGTTTGTTTGGGTGTGCAGTGTCTCCTGAGGATGTAGAAGCAGCAGAAAGGTTGCTGTGCCTGCTGCAATCCCAGCCCACCCCGCTGCCAGGACAGGTCTGCTACAACCTCCAGCATGAAGTACTGGGCCAGTTCTGCCTGACCTTGACTCAGTCGAGGATCTGTCGTGTCATGCAGCTTTTGCTGAGCACATGAGGAGTTGTGTCCGTGCCTGGAGCAGAGTTTGGGACAGCTGTGACCGAAGAGCTGGATGAGGAAGTGACACAGCCGATGTGTGTGTGCAGTGTGGATGCTTTTGAGCATCTCGAGGCTGCAGGATTCCTCCTGTTTTTTACTTCTCCTCAGGGGACTACAGTGACCAGACCATTGCTTTGTGGAGCACCTACACTTACCAGCTCCTCCTGTCCACTTGTGTCTCGGAGCCAGTTCACGACGTGGCTTTCAGCCCTGTGTCTCACCAAGACCTAGCCTGTGTGGGGAGAGGAGCCGTGATGTTTTGGCTGCTGGAGCAGCAGGGAGCTGCTGTCAACCTCAAGGTTAACCTCTATTTGACGTTTCAAAATTTATTTTTAGCATCTCTGACTTCTTTTCCAAGCCCCTGGTGAGAGCAATGGAGGCTCTGCCCCCACAGCTCTGTGAGAGCTGAGGATTTCACGTGGCTTTGGCTGTCCATGAGAGCCTTTTGGTTGTCTTTAAAACATTAACTACATGTATTGAGGGGAGGAGGAGGGGTTTCTTTCCTGATGTAGGTAAGAACCATATTTTCTTTGACATCCCTGTTGTTTGTGCTCTGGCAGGTTCATCAGGCCCCTGCCCCAGACGTGCTGGGGCTGGTGGAGCTCACGTCCCTCTGTTATGGGGCCAACAATCTTCTTTACAGTGGGACCAACTCAGGCCAGATCTGTGTGTGGGACACTGAGATCAATTGCTGCTTCATGACGTGGGAGGCCGACGAGGGCGAGATTGGTGGGTCAGGGAGTCAGGGAGGTCAGGGAATGTGTTGGGAATGAAGAGCTGTGAGCTTGCACAGCTCAGCTTTCAGCTCTGCTCAGAAAACCAGCTTGCTGTGTCAGATGCAAGATGGGTGGGGTGGCAATGGATCTGTGACCTGGGTTTCCTTGGGGTCCTGGGTTCCCTGGGGAGTTCACCTTGTTATATGTCATAGAATCATTAAGGTTGGAAAAGGTCTCTAAAATCATCGAGTCCAACCATTAACCCAGCACTGCCAGGTCCACCACTGAACCACGTCCCTAAACACCACATCCCCATGCTTTTTGAACACTTCCAGGGACAGTGATTCCACCGCTGCCCTGTTCCAAAGCTCCCACACACCCCTAGTCTGTAAAACACTGGGCACTGGCTGTGGAACCTCAGGGGCACGCTCGGGGTGATGGCTGAGGGCAGTGGATGCTCACGGGTGCCCCCCATTCCCCTGTGCCCCCCAGGTGTGCTGCTGTGTCGGCACGACCGGCTGCTGAGCGGCAGCAACACGAAGCGCATCCGCCTGTGGGCAGTGGGCAGCGTGCAGGAGCTGAGGCTGAAAGGGCCCGATGCCAGGTAGGCGGTCGTGGCCCCTCCCCTGGCAGGTGTAAGCCTTTGTGCACCTCCCAGGACCTGTCTGAGAGGTGGCTCTTCACAGACAGACGTCGCCCTGCTCCTGTGCTCTTCATCCTTAGCTTTTCCTCTCCATCCCGCGGCTGCTGATTCTTTCTCTCTGGATCTTTTGACTGAATTTTTGCCACAGGTAGCTGGGCCCTCTTAATACTGGAAGTGGGTGGAGTTTATCGTGCCTGAAATTTGTGTCAGTGGTTTGTAGGAATTCCTTTAGGAGAATTAGGGAAAATACATTGCCTTTGTTTCTTCTCTCACGTTTATTGCATCCCTCGTTTTCTTTCTTCCCTATAAAAGATGGTTGCAGTGCAAATCATAGAATCGTGGAACGGTTTGGGTGGGAAGGAACCTTCAAGACCATCCCATTCCAAACCCCTGCCATGGGCAGGGACACCTTCCACTAGCCCAGGTTGCTCCAAGCCCTGTCCAGCCTGGCCTTGGACACTTCCAGGGATGGGGCAGCCACAGCTTCTCCTGGGCAACCTGTGCCAGGGCCTGCCCACCCTCACAGGGATGAATTCCTTCCCAATATCCCATCTAACCCTGCCCTCTGGCACTGGGAAACCATTCCCCTTTGTCCTGTCACTCCATGCCCTTGTCCCCAGTCCCTCTCCAGCTCTCCTGGATGCCCCTTTAGGCCCTGGAAGGAGCTCTAAGGTTTCCCCAGAGCCTTCTCTTCTCCAGGTGAAACCGCCCAGCTCTCCCAGTGCAATGGGAGTCACCGATCCATAGACAGGGGCCCTTCACTGAACTGGGCTCACTAGGAAATTGCATTTAAAGGAGGCAGGATGGCTGTTCCAACATCTGAGCCAGTCCTTCTCCCATCCTCCTCCCCTGCAGGTCCAGCTCAGTCCTGCTGGAGCACGAGATCACCCTGGATGGGACGATCGTCAGCGCAGCCTTTGACGACTCCCTGGAGATGGGCATTGTGGGCACCACGGCAGGAACCCTGTGGTACATCAACTGGCTGGAGAGCACCAGCATCCGGCTCATCAGCGGCCACAAGAGCAAGGTCAGAGGGGCTGGGCCAGCTCTGAATTTTGCTGGTGCTTTGGGGTATCTTTATGCTACAGGAAAAAGTGTTCAAATGGTAGAAGAGAAGGAATTTTATTTGACCTGCGGTGCACAGTGCCTGCTCCTACCTCTGGGTTAGGTTTGTTAACCCCTTTGGGGTTAGGTTTATTAACTGTTTGGGTTTCCTGCTTTCCATGACAAGCTCAGCTATCATAGAATCATAGAATTTTAAAGTTTGGAAAAGACCTCTGAGATCATCAAGTCCAGCTGTCAACCCAGCACCATCACCATGTTCACCATGAAACCAGGTCTTCAGGTGTCACATCCACACAAGTTTTGAGCACCTCCAGGGATAATGACTCCACCACTGCCCTGGACAGCCTGTTCCAGTGCTTTGCAACACTTTCAATGAAGAAATACTTCCTAATATCCAATCTAAGCCTTCTCTGGTGCAACCTGAAACTGTTTCCTCTTGTCCTGTCAGCCCACAATTTAAGCCCAAACTCAAAGCACCCACCTTCCTTTATGTTCCATCTTGTCTGATGTCTCCCAAGGGTGGGTAGAAGGGCAGAGGAGCTGATGTGCTCTGGGCTGTGGCACCTGTAGAGCCCCTGTTGCCCTCTTTGTTCCTGGTGCAGGTGACTGAGGTGTGCTTCAGTCCTGACGAGACTCACTGTGCCACGTGCGGGGAGGATGGCAGCGTGAGGATCTGGGCTCTGAGCAGCACGGAGCTGGTGGTCCAGTTCCAGGTGCTCAACCAGGTCAGTGTTTGTGGGACATCATTCCCTTCCTCTTGGCACAGGGAAGCATCCACTGTGTCACCTCTGGTTCCTTCGCAGAGCTGCCAGTGCCTGGCCTGGAAGCCTCGTCCCGTCGGGGTGTGGGGAGCTGAGAACCAGCACGTGGTGGCAGGGTACAGTGACGGCACCATCCGTGTGTTCAGTGTTTCCAGGACAGAGATGGAGCTGAAAATGCACCCCCACAGCGCTGCACTGACAGCAATCACCTACTCCACAGATGGTGAGACTGCCCAGGGTCACAGCAGGGACGTGACCCTCGGGGAATGTGGCTTGGTGCTGCCTGGGTTACCCTGACCTCCAGCTGCTCTGTGTCCTGGCCACCTGCCCAACACCCTGGGGCCAGGGAGAGCCACAGAACTCGTCTCAGTGAGCTTTGGTGGCTCTGCCAGCTGAGCATGTGGTGAATAGGAGATGGGAGGTGTATTGGCAATGGAATAACAAAGGGGTTTGGTACAACAAAGCCTTTTGTGCCCTCCTGCTTACGATCTACCACGGGTCTTCTTCAGTGTGGAGGTTTAATGGGTGTCTGAGACATCTCATCTTACCCAGCCCTGGACTGGGATGTTCCCAGCCTTTCACAGTGTTTTGGGACACTGATATCCCATGATCTTGGACCTTTCTCCTCGTGGCTATTCTTCCCAAGCATCCCATTCTTTTGTCTCCTTTCAGGAGAAAGGATCTTATCAGGGGGCAAGGATGGGCTGGTGGCTGTGAGCAGCCCTCGCACTGGAATGACTATCCATGTCCTGGCTGACCACAAAGGCTCCCCCATCACTGTTCTCCAGTGCACCAGGAAGCAGGTGAGACCCCACAGGAGCAAATCCTCGTGTGTCACTGCACAGCTGTGGGAAGCAGAATGGTCAGTGTCTGCTTCCTTGTCCCTTGCTTTTCAGACTCCCATCCCCTCCAGTAACTCCTGATCAGTTTTTCCAGGGATATATTATTTGTGCACCAGTGGGATGGTTTTAGCACCTCCTTTGTCTTCCTCTTCATGAAGAGTTTTTTCCTTTGTGCAGCAGAATTGTTAATAATTTTCCCCAAGTTCTCAGGCTGTACAATCATCCATGCTGTAAGGCTGTGTTCCCTGGTAATTCAGACCAAGGAGATCCTTGGTTCTAGGTGAAGGACGTTGTTAGGGCACACATGGTATTGAAAAGAATTCCCCTGGGAGATGTGCACATCCACACATTGTCCCAGGGAAGAGAACTGTGTCGTTCAGGCCAGGGTTTGGGTTGGAAGGGACCTTAAAGATCATCCACTTCCACCCCCTGCCATGGGCAGGGACACCTTCCACCAGCCCAGGTTGCTCCAAGCCCTGTCCAACCTGGCCTTGGACACTTCCAGGGATGGGGCAGCCACAAACAGGCTAATCCTGGTGTTGATTCCCTAAACACAAGACCCGTGTCCCCACAAGCTCCTGCCCCACTCTCTAGTGTCACCTTGCTTTGCAGCCTCTGTGCCTCCAGCGTGCCAGTGTTGTGTTTGTGTTCCCCTAGTACCACGACTTCGGGGTGGAAGGTGGGGGAGCTCTGGCTGGCCACGAGCTCGGACCGCCGGGTCAGCGTCTGGGCCTCCGACTGGCTCCAGGACAAGTGTGAGCTCCTCGACTGGCTCAGCTTCCCAGCTCCTGCTGACCCCGAGGTGAGCCTGGCTCCTGCCAGCCCCTGCCTGCTCCTGGCGTGGGGCTTGGCACCAGCAGACACAGAGGGGGGATGCACAGGGCTCTGGCAGAGACAGTGTGCTTAGGAACGTCATCTCTGTTAGTTCTGCTCGCGGAGTATCTTGTTAACAAACCCTCTCTGGTACTGCTGCAATTGCTTTCCACACACAGCTGTCCCCAAGCACTGACTTTTAAGCATGAGGAGCCCAAAACTGCACCTGCAAAGAGCTGACAGCCCTGTGCCAGCAAACCAGAGCACAGGCAGCCATGAGCACAGTGTGCAGGAGGGGGAGAGCTAATTAGGAGCGTGCTGCTTGCTCTGACACTCTTGAGGAGCATGAATATTCCAAGCCAGGAGCGCCACGACAAGTTCACAGAGCCAAGTACTCAGCCCTGGGTGTCTGTGCTGCTTGGCAGAAGCCTCTGGCTCCAACCCAGGGTGAGGTTTGGGCAGCAGGACACCTGCTAGCAAGGGAGGAAGGATCTGGTTGGAGAGGATGTGGACATGGTCCCTGGTCCAGGTGACACTGGCAGGCAGAAGGAGCTTCCATACAGCAGCTGGGTTCTGTCAATGTTTCTTCTTTTTCTTTTGAAAACGTTGGATTTTCTCTGGAAGGAGAAAATCCCCCAAGGCTCTCCCCAGAGTGAGAAGGATTAATCTTGCATCCACCACTCAAGATCTGTCTTCTGGGCCCTATTTTGTTGTGTTAAACCAATCCATAACCCAATCCCACCTTCAGGCCCCTGCAGCAACATCTCAGTAGAAATTCAACCTGCTGGACCCTCATGTCTCCTGCTCCTCTGACACCGAACAATTTGCTTCAGGTTTTCATGGCAGGGTGTGGGTGCTCCTTGCTTTCCTTGAGATGGGAATGCAAGAGGGAGGAAACACCCTCCATCATATTAACTTCCCACTGCTCAGACACTCAGAGCCCTGAAGATCCTCCTTTTGTCCCCATTGTATTGGGTCAAGATGGAGAATCCAGACTTTTCTTGCCTTTGGTTTCCCTCAGCAGGGTCTCGACCTCCCTCCCAGCCTGGCTGCATTCTGCCCTTGGGAACAAGGTGTCCTGGTCTACGTGGGGTTTGGGCTGCAGGAGGAAGCCTTGTTCTACAGTCTGCGCAAGAAGCAGGTACCTGTGCCCTGTGTTAACCCCTGTCACAGGGCTGGGCTGGGCTCAGGGAACCCTCCTCAGCTTGGAAACCCCCAGGGGAACAGCAGAGCCCTGCCCCTGCCTCGGGCTGTGTCCAGGCAGCCAGTCCCTGCTCCCACTGCAGGCTGCTTCCAGGAGACTGGCACACTCCACATTGCTGAGCCATCTCCTGGATGCCTGGGGCAGGTTTCCTGTTCACCCTCAGCCTCCCTTTACCCTCCTAATGACTCGCTGCACAGCTCTGGGCTGTCCCTTCCCCCCTGTGAGGAGCTGGTGTTTCTCTTGCTGGATGCAGGTGGTCAGGAGAGTGTCCTTGCCAGCCTTTGCCACCTCGCTCAGCCTGTCCCCGGCCGCGCCCTTCATGGCCCTCGGCTTCCGTGGTGAGTGCTGGGCCCCTCCATGGGGAGGGATCTCCCCTTCTCCTGGCAGGGGGGGAACAAGGGTCCTTGTTCCATAAAATGAGACACATGCACACACCCCATATCCTCAAACCCTGGGAGCTACAGTCCAGGGTAAGGAGAAACCTCTGGGGGAGACTCCTAGGTCAGAAATGAGATGCATGAGCTCAGTCCTGCTTGTCCAGGGGCAGGATTTGTCACTGGAATGACTTCCTGGGGTTATGGGCTGCAGCCCAGGAGGCAGCAGACACCTTCCCATAGCAGGGGACAGTCACAGCCCTGCTCCTGACAAGGGCACCTCGCGCCTGGAGTGGTTTGGATCTGCCTGTCCAGTGTCACTCAGCTCAGCAACTCCCAGCTCAGCAGCAGGGAGAGAGCCTGGAGAGGGCCCAGGGAAGGGTGGTCCTGGCAAGGAAAAGCCCCAGGGAGCGGGTTTGTAAGTGGTCAGGAGCAGTGCCAGCCCCCAGCCCGGCCCTGACCCTGCTCTCCCAGCGCGGCTCCTGCGGCTGCAGCCGTGCCCGGCCGGGGACCCGCAGGACTACGCCGGCCATGACGACACCGTGCACCTCTGCCGCTTCGCGCCCTCCGGCCGCCGCCTCCTCACGGCTTCGCACAGCGCCGTGCTCGTGTGGGAGCTGACGGGCGGCTGAGCAGGGCGGGCCCTGGACTGGACTGGCTTCTCCAGCGGGGAAAGAGCCCGGAGGGGCCGGCCCTGGCTCCGGGACAGGCCCCGGCTCCGGCCCCAACCAGGCCTCAACTACCGCCCGCACAGCTGCAGGGCCCGGCGGCGGCGGGCCGGCCCCGCCCGGCCCCGGGATGTGTTTCACGGCCCTGTTCGCCGTTTGTTGTCGTTAAATGTTTTGTTTTCGTTAATAAACCATCGACAGACGAAACCCTGGAGGTCCCAGCGTGTTGCCCTCGCCAGGGGGCGCTGTGGTGTCTGGCGCCGCTCCGCGCCGCCGCTCGGTGGTGCGGCCGGAAGTGGTGGTGGGGAAACAGGGAGGCGGCGGTGCCGCCATGAAGCGGGACGTGCGGATCCTCCTGCTCGGGGAGGGTGAGAGGGGTCCTGAGGGGCGGGCAGCGGGTCCTCCTGCTCGGGGAGGGTGAGGGGGTCCTGAGGGGCGGGCAGCGGATCCTCCTGCTCGGGGAGGGTGAGGGGGTCCTGAGGGGCGGGCATCGGATCCTCCTGTTCGCGGAGGGTGAGGGGGGTCCTGAGGGGCCGGGCGGGCATCGGACCCTCTATGAAGGGAGGGTGAGGGGGGTCCTGAGGGGTCCCGGAGCTACTCGAGGTGGCCGAGGGCGCACGGGGGTCCCGGGTAGGCCGAGGGTGCAGGGGATCCCCGGTACCGGCAGGGTGGGGGAGCGGCCGGGCCCGCCGGTGGTCCCGGGCCCCGCGGGTGTCGCGGTCACCAGCCCCCGGCTCCACTGCCGCTGTCCCCCGCGGGTCTGCCGTGCCCGTGCCAATGTCAACGTCCTCCCTTTATTTCCTAGCCCAGGTGGGGAAGACGTCCCTGATCATGGCCCTGGTGGGCGAGGAGTTTCCAGAAGAGGTGAGCGGGGAGGGGACACACACACACACACACACCCCGGGTGAGACAGCTCTGTCCCCATTTTGGGGGGTCGGGGTGCCTGGGTGTACTCACAGCTCTGGGCTGTGACAGCCACGGGAGTCCCCAGCAATCGCCGCTAAAGCTCAGGTGAGGTCGGTGAGGACCATAGGGAGCTCCAGCTGAGGTGCTGTTTTCCTGTTTGTGCTCTGATGTGGGGCTCTCTCTGCCCTCGGGAGAGTGTGTGGTGTCTCCCAGGCCCCGGCTCGCTGCTGCTGGGGGTCTGTGTGTTGTGTCCACCAACACAGCAGGGCCCAGCCTTCCTCCCAGATCCAGCCTGGCACTGGCACAGAGCCCTCAGAAGGGGTCAAACCACATTCCCCGCCCTTCTGTACCCATCTGGAGTTGGCTTTGGTGCTCTGAGCCAGGCCAGCTGCCAGTAGCAGATCCATCGTTCCTCTTGGAGCCTCCAGCAGGGCGGCTTGCTGTCCCAGCACAGCTGGAATGGGAAAATGGGATCAGTCTGGCCACATTTTCCCTGTGCCATCAGCTGGCTTCTCCCACTGCCTACGAGCAGCTGGTGCCCTGTATGATGCTGTGCTGGGAAGCATCAGCTCAGGGGTTTTTGGGGACCAGCCCTGTGGCCTGTCCCCTGCTGCCAGCCCAGCTCAGTCAGCTCAGCACTGAGCCCAGACAGCCAGGGAGTGCCCAGGCCTTATCTCTGGAGTGCCCAGGCCTTATCTCCAGAGCCTGAGGCTGTGGCTGAGGGAGGCCGGGCTGGGCAGGGCTGGCTGTGGCTGAGGGAGGCTGTTCCTGGTGGACAAACGGAGATTCCACCTCGGGGACACGGGCTGTGTGAGGGGTGGGGTGCAGGGAGCTGCTGCAGCCCAGGGGGGGCCAAAAGCCATCCATGATCCGTAGCCCATCCCCCCCTGGCAGGGCGGGCACTGGGCAGTGCCCATGTTGGGATGTGAGGTCCCTTGTCACCCATGCTCTCGGCTGACCGTCACCTGGCAGGGCTGGCTGTCACCTGGCAGGGCTGGCTGTCACCTGGCAGGGCTGGCTGCACAGCTGTGCTGGCTTTGCAGGTGCCCCCCCGGGCGGAGGAGATCACGATCCCGGCCGACGTCACCCCTGAGAAGGTCCCCACACACATAGTGGACTACTCAGGTAGGGCCCCATCCCACCTGGCTTTTCCCCTTCCCTGCCTGTCTCAGGGGACCGGGAAGGGGTCCTGCTGCCAGGGCAGATGGTGACAGCTCTGTTCCCCTTTCAGAGGCAGAGCAGACAGAGGAGGAGCTGCAGGAGGAGATCTCCAAGGTGAGCAGGGCTGGCTGGGACAGGAGCGTGTGGTTCTGCAGCTCCCAAGCTGCTCCCCTCCCTTCCCGTTAACCACCCAGAGGGGCCAGGCAGTTGGTTATCCGTGGATTAATGCTGTGGTTTGTTTAGAGGCTCGTTTAATCCTGCTCTGTCTTGTAAGCTGTTGTACGTGGCTTGTCCTGGCCCTGGGGGGAGCCTCCAGAAGGAGAGCAGCGGGGGGCAGGAGGGGGCTGCAGAGCAGATGATGTGCTCTCAGCCTGGGGATGTTCCTGATGGACTCGGAAGAGGGGAGAAGCAGTTGCTGAGCTTGGGCAAGACCCCCTGCTCCTGCATTAGATCCCTGTGGCTGCCTGATGAAGCAGTGGCACAGAGAAGTTAATTGGGGAGCTGGAGCCCCCGGGGAGCGCTGGGCAGGGAGAGATGAGGAAGCCCTTGGAGCAGCCGTGGAGGAATAATTGGGTTGTCTGGCTGGGATTCACCCAGCTGCTCTTTGCCCTGGGATTAGCCTTGGCTCTGCAGAGACAAGGACCTTTTAATTGTGGATAATAAAACTCTCTCATGTGAGCAAAGCTATTTAACTTCCCCACCCCGGTGGTTAAGTGCTGAGGAGGTGGGCACAGGGGTCCTGCCCCTTCCACCCAGACAGCAGGAGTACACAGAGGCTTTAAACAGCCCCAGGAAATCCTGCCTAAACCCTTGTGTGTCCTCAGGATTAGCGCTAAACTCTCTCCTGAAAGGACCAGTGATCCCTCCTGTCTGCTTCCCATAAAGCCTCGGCGCCGTCTGCGCGGGGTCGGGAGGGGAGGAGGGCATGGCCGCGGCGTGGGAGGGGGATCTGGGCGGCTGTGGGGCGGCAGCTCCAGGGGCACAGGAGCCAGAGGAGCCGGCCTGTGCTCCCAGCAGCTGTGGGACTGTGTCGGGGGCTGTGTGTGTGAGGAGGGCTGTGTGTGTGAGGAGGGCTGTGTGTGTGAGGAGGGCTGTGTGTGTGAGGAGGGCTGTGTGAGTAAGGCTGTGGGGATGGCTGTGAGGGGGGCTGTGTGTGAAGGGGGCTGTGTGAGGAAGGCTGTGTAAGGGGGGCTGTGGGGATGGCTGTGAGGGGGCTGTGTGTGTGTGGGGGTGGGCTGTGTGAGGGCTGCTGTGAAGGGGGCTGTGGGGATGGCTGTGAGGAGGGCTGTGTGTGTGAGGGGGGCTGTGTGAGGGGGGCTGTGTGTGTGAGGAGGGCTGTGTGAGGGGGGCTGTGAGGAGGGCTGTGGGGGCTGTGTGAGGGGCTGTGTGAGGGGCTGTGTGAGGGGCTGTGTGAGGGGCTGTGTGAGGGGGCTGTGGGGATGACTGTGAGGAGGGCTATGTGAGGGGGGCTGTGTACGTGTCCACTCTCACGTGCACTCGGCCGCTACGGCCGCGTTTCCGTGACATCTCCACCGGCATTCCCTGCTGCTGTGGGTGTGCACAAGGACCCCCTCACCACCCTCTGCTGCTTCTCTTGCAGGCCAACGTGGTCTGTGTGGTGTACGATGTCACCAAGGAGGCCACCCTCGACAAGGTAACAGGTCCCACCACAGAGCTGGAGGGGAAGGGGTTCCCAGCACTGCCCTTGCATAGTGTGAGCACATACCAGTGCTGTGGGGGATTTGGGGTCTGAGACCCCTGCAGGCATTGGCTGAGCACAGCACAAGCTTGCTCCCACGTTGGTGGTTGCCCTCACAACAGGCTGGTTGAATCCTCACGCTGGCATCCAGCATCCCTGGGTCTGCTCTGCCTGCTGGTGTGGGGGAATGCTGGGGAACAGATGGCTGCAGGGCCCTGCTGTCTGCCTGGGATCTGCCTCTCCCTCCCCAGGCTGTGCTGACACCCTCTGCTCACCTTCCAGATTCGCACGAAGTGGATCCCCATGGTGAACGGAGGGCTTGAAAAGGGATCCAGGTACCATGTGTGGCGTGATGTGTGGGTGCAGATTTGGGGAGTTCTGAGGGCTGTGGGGAGCTCACCACCCTCCCTGAGGGTGCTGAGACCAAACCAACTTTGTGTTTTGATCCAAATCAGGTTGAATGGAGCTTGGAACAACCTGGTCTAGTGGAAGGTGTCCCTGCCCATGGCAGGGGGTGGAGTGAGATGATCTTTGAGGTCTCTTATGACCAAAACCATTCCATGACTGTGGCTTGTGGATAGACCACTTGTAGCATAAGAACATGTGGGCTTTTCTCCCTCAGAGATCCAGCTGAGGCAGGGGGCCACTGGAGAGAGATCCTTCTTTCCCCTTGATCTCTTCTCAGCCAGACAGGGAAAGGGGGCTGCCAAGGGAATCTCTGAGCTGCAATCTGTGTGTGGATCACTTGGGCAGAAGGCTGCTGTGCTGGATTAAAGGCTCCTGAACATATTGTTGCTGGGTGAAAGCGTAGGCAGGATCAGGCAGTTTGTCTCTCCAGATGGATGCTCCTGGCCATGGGAGGAAGGAAAGCTGCTCTGTCCTTGCAGAGGAGGGGGGGGGCTCCCCAGCCTGCCCCATGAGAGCACCAAGTGGCTGGGACAGTGCTGGGACCAGGGGAGGGGTGGCCTTACTCGTGCTCTGTGTCTTTGCCAGGATCCCCATTATTTTAGTGGGAAATAAGTCTGACCTGCAGATGGGCAGCTCCATGGATGTCATCCTGCCCATCATGAACCAGTTCTCGGAGATTGAGACCTGTGTGGAGGTGAGGGAACTGGAGGGTGTCTGCAGAGCCTCCCCGAGGGGTCGGAGTGCTGGTCTGGTGTGAGTCAGGGAGCCTCTGTGCTTGTGGAGGGCTGCCCTACTGACACTGCTCTGCAGAAGTCCCCATGTCTGGGGGTTGAGAGCCTGTGATTTGGGCTTTCTGTCCTTTGTGTATTGGCTCTGGGGCTGTGAAAGCAAAACCAGAGCAAAACCCAGGGATTTTTCCCTTTTGATTTTTCCTCACGGTGGACAAACTTTACTCTGTGCTTTGATCCACAACTTGTCTGGCTCAGGGAGCTTGTATCACCCTCCTCCTACCCTTTTAATCAGCTCCCAGGGCTGTCTCTTCCTTTGAATCCCCAGTGCTCTGCCAAGAACCTCAAGAACATCTCCGAGCTCTTCTACTACGCCCAGAAAGCTGTGCTGCACCCCACTGCCCCGCTCTACGACCCGGAGGAGAAGCAGGTAGGCTCCTGGAGGAGTCTGCTTCCCATCACACTGCTCTGGTGTGCAGCTTTTGGAGGGAAGGTGGAGGGTTTGGGCTGGCACAGGCAAGACAAGGGGATGGCATCCATTCCTTGTGCTCAGCACAGCCAGCTGAGCATACCCAGGCCAGAGAGACCTGCAAGGACCAGGGTGTGTTGGGGCAGAAGCCCTCGTGCTCCAGACCATCTGTTAGCCATGATGGGAAGGGGCCAGAAGAAAAATTCCCTATGGACTGTCATTTCTCACTCTAGATTGGATATTAGGAAAAATGTCTTCACAGAAAGGGTTGTCAGGCCCTGGCACAGCTGCCCAGGGCAGTGGTGGAGTCACCATCCCTGGAGGGGTTTAAAAGGCTTGTGGATGTGGCACTTGAGGACATGGGTTAGGGGTGGCCTTGGCAGTGCTGGGGGAACAGTTGGACTTGATGGTCTTGGAGAGCTTTTCCAACCTAAATGATTCCATGATTCCCACCTCCAAGGGTGCTTAGCTGGTCTGTGTTCCCAGGCAGTGCAGGAAGGGAACCCACTGTGTATAGGATTGCAGGAGGAAGGGCCAGGCTGAAGCTGGTGCCATTTGTCACCATGATTGGTCCCTTGCAGCTGAAACCCACCTGTGCACGAGCACTGACCCGGATCTTCAACCTCTCGGACCAGGATAACAACCAGATCCTTAGTGATGACGAACTCAACTACTTCCAGGTAGGGCTGGCTGCAGAGGGGAGATATTCCCCAGTCCCTGGGCTTCCCTTTCCATCCAATAACAGGCAAAAGCCACCCCTCTCCTGACACAGCCATCCTGTTCCCATTCGTACTTCTGTTCCACAGCTAAAGCACCACAGGGTGCATCTCTGAGCACATGGGGTTCCATCTTCCTAAGCTTGGGTTGAATTTACTCTGCTGTGGTTAGACCAGGAGGCTCTGGAGATGTACAGAGTCCCAAGTTACTGGGATGCTGAAGAACAGGGGTTTGGTCAAAGTCTAAAGCAGAAATCCCTGAGCTGGGTGAATTACTCTCCCTGAAACCCCATCCCTTGCCAGGGGAGGGGGAAGCTGGTGAGACAGGGTTGTTCTGTCTGTGTGCTTTGCTGACAGTGGCCTTCTTTCCCTTGGGAGGCAGAAGTCCTGCTTTGGAAACCCACTGGCTCCACAGGCCCTGGAGGATGTGAAGATGGTTGTGTGGAAGAACACGACAGACGGGGTGCAGGACAATGGCCTGACCTTGAATGGTAACAGCACAAGGACTCCTGCTTCTTCCCAAGGGATGGGGGGGACCCATCTCCTTCAGCACATCCTGAAGGGCCCTGTCTCCAGCCTCCTGCCTCTCATTGCAAGCCTAATTAGTGCCTCTTGTTAAAGCAAGCTGGAGCCTGGTAGAGATCTCTGTGTCCAAGCAGCCTGTTTTCCCAGGCAAAGCACAGTCCCAGGGCGTGGATCCCTGACGCTGAGTTGACCCTGCTGTGTCTGAGCCCCTGATCTCTCCTGCAGGCTTCCTCTTCCTCAACACACTCTTCATCCAGAGGGGCCGGCACGAGACCACCTGGACCATCCTGCGCCGCTTCGGCTATGACGACGAGCTGGAGCTGACGGATGATTACCTGTACCCACAGTGCGTGCCCTGCCCTGGGGGTGGGCAGGGGGTCACGGCCCGGTGGTGCACGGCTCAGGGGTCCCCAGCACCTCAGCTGGATCCTCCCTGCACCCTGGGGCTGCTGTGGGCCCTGAGGTCAGGGTCGGGTTCACAGCCCTCACCTTCCCCTGCGGGCAGGAGCTGACACATGGGGTTGGGAAAAAATACAACAGGCCTTGGGGCTGCTGGCTGTGCTGCTGGTTCTGATCATTCCCTGCCTGCCTAGAAGTCCCAGACTTCCCTTGACATCAGTCAGGGGCTTTCAGAGGCTGCTCTGTCGCTGCCTGAGCCGAGGCAGAGCAGCGCTGTCGGGAGCAGTGAGCTGTCAGCACAGCCCTCCCGGCTCAGTCTGCAGCTGCTGTCTCGTCTCTGCTCCCTGCCACCCTGGAGGTGGGGATCTGGCAGGAATGGAAGGGCTTGGCTTGGAGCTGCCTCCTCCTCTCCCCAGACAGCAGGCTGCAGGGAGGTGACAGGGACGTGCTGGTGGATGGCACCTCAGGGCAGTGCTGTGCCCTGCTGGAGCCCTGGGCACAAGGTGGAGCAAGGGCACAGCACCACTCTGGCTGCTTGGGATGTGCCAAGGAGAGGCCTCTGTGCACCTTCAGGGGATTCTCCCCACAACAAGGGGACTGTGTCAAGGAATAGCCAGGCCTGGAGGCAACAGCTGGCCTTGAGCAGGGAGGGAGTGGGGAGCTGAGTCCTCTCAGATCTGCTCACACACTGCCCATTGTTCAGGGCTTGAGGAGGCTTGTTGGGGTATTTGAACTGAGAAATAAGATATGAAAGGTCCAGGGGAGGTTTGTGTTGGATTTTAGGAAAAACTTCTTGATCAAAAGGCTTGTCAAGCACTGGCACAGGCTGTCCAGGGCAGTGGTGGAGTTCCTGTTCCTGGAGGGATTTAAAAGCTGTGTGACTGTGGCACTTGGGGACACGGTAGCGCCATTGGCAGTGCTGGTGGAACAGTTGGGCTCAGTGATCCCAGAGGGCTTTTCCAATCATAATGATTCCATGATTTTTCCAACAGGTTCCGCGTGCCCCCCGGCTGCTCCACGGAGCTCAACCACTTGGGATACCAGTTCCTGCAGCGGCTGTTTGAGAAGCACGACAAGGTGGGGCTCTGGGGGAGGGTTTGCTCTGCTGGGCCTGCACACCTGGGCAGAGCTGCTCCCCTGCACACCCCTCTGTGCCAGGGAACCCACCAATGAAGGGCTTTGCTCTGACACAGCATTCCCTTTAGGAGGCTTTGGGAGCAGGAAGTGGTCACAGCAAGCAGTTGGTAGTCTGATGGCTTGTCAGGGCACATGGGTGCTGGTCACTACCCTTGACCAAAGGGCAGTTTGGGCTTTCAACGACTTAATCTGAGTGAGGATCAAGCTGGCATGGCCCCTTGTAGTGCCTGGCTACAACAGGCAGGGTGGCAGGGAAGCGGGCACAGCTGTTGGCCTGCAGCCACAGACCAAGCACCAGCATCTGCACAGCTGCCAGCCCTGTGGAGGGCTGCCAGGCCCGAGGGAGGGAGAGAAAACAACCCATTTGTACCATGCTCTGGCTCTTGGAGAGTGGGGGGATGGGATGTATTGGATCTGCATGCACCTGCTTGGAGTGGTTATTCAGATGTTGATGTGCACCTGGAGTATGGCAGCTCTGTGGCCGTGGGGAATGGCTTGGGAATGGCAGCACTGAGTGGACACACGTCCCTGTGTGCCCAGATCAGCTCTGTGGCCACAGGGAATGGCACAACTGAATGGATGCACATCCCTGTGTGCCCAGGTGCCAGCAGTTCCCCTTCAGGCGCACCAGCCTGAGGGTGCTGCGTTGGCCTGTGGTTGCTTAGTGGCCGCACACCTTGGGCTAGATACCTGCAGTGTGGAAGGCCAGGCTGGCCCCAGGGGAGCCAGAACAGCAGCTCAGGGCTGCAGGGTGCTCAGGTTGTGCCTGGTTCCAGCTGTGATCCCAAAGCACACTGGCTTGTCTCTTGTGCAGTGGTGGCAGTCGCTGGGGCTCAGGCTCTGCACGCTCGCCCAGCTCTGGCCGTGCTGTGATCGATTCCTGCCATTGACAGCATCCCTGTGTCATTCCACAGCAGCCAGCGAGGTGGCCAGTGTGCCAGGGACCCCTCTGGGCACGGGCTGTGTCCTGGCTCTCCTGCTGACTCCCTTTGTTTTGGCAGGACCAGGACGGAGCCCTCTCACACACAGAGCTGCAGAACTTCTTCAGCGTGTTCCCCTGCGTGCCGTGGGGCCCCGAGCTCTCCAACACGGTATGCACCACTGATAAAGGCCTGCTTTCCCTGCATGGATTCCTCTGCCAGTGGACGTAAGCTCAGTCCCTTTCCCCCGCCCCTGCTCACATCACTCAGCCCTTGCTGACCCTCCCGCCTTCGCTCTGTCTCTCCAGGCTCGTGGCCTACCTGGATGTGCGGCACTGCCTGGAGTGCCTGGGCTACTTGGGCTACCCCATCCTGTCGGAGCAGGACTCCCAGACGCAGGCCCTCACGGGTACGGCCATGCCCTCCCCTCCTGCCACCGCTCGGGTCCCTCCCTGTGCTCACCCGTCCTCTCTCCCGCCAGTGACCCGGGAGAAGCGGATTGACCTGGAGAAAGGCCAGACCCAGAGGAACGTGTTCCTGTGCAAGGTGCTGGGAGCCCGGGGCGCAGGCAAGTCCGCCTTCCTGCAGGCCTTCCTCGGCAGGAGCCTGGCGGTGAGTGGCTGCTCCCTGTCCGGCCACGCTGCGCAGGGCAGGAGCAGGAGGCAGAGCCGGAGGTCCTGGAGTGACCTATCCCATGATGGCATCTCCCTGCCCCCTGTGTGGTGCTCTCCCTGCCCATGCTTTACACCCCCCTGCGTGCTGGTGGTTCTGTGGCTGTTGCATCCTTCATTTTGGCTGAGGCAGTGGGCCCACGCCCCTTGCTTGTCCCGAGGATCTGGAGGAGCTGTGCCTTTTCCAGGCAACTGTATTTCCCCAATCTGACCACGGCATTGCTGACTTTCCCTGCCTGTTAGGAACGGCCCCACATCTCATGGCAGGCCCTGGCTGCCCTTCAGGTGGCTGTTAGGGCACTGGAGCTCAGGGCAGTGTGAAACGCTGTCCCCCAGCGAGCACTGCTTGTGTCCCCACCGTCTGACAGCATTGTCCTTGACAGGCCCAGAAGGAGAACCCGGGACAGCCGTCCCCCTACACCATCAACACGGTGCAGGTCAATGGCCAGGAGAAATACCTCATAGTAAGTGTGGAGGAGGAGGGAATTGTGCAGTGCCTGGCTCACAGCAGGGCTGGCTGTGTGCCCCCATATCCCAGCACCCCAGGCTGGGCTGTGGCTGCAATCAGGCAGCACCATTCCTGTTCTGGTGTGGGGAACAGCCCTGAGGTAGTGACAGGCGCTGTGTCCATTCCCCTCCTGCTCCAGCTGTATGAGGTCAGTGCCGACGCGACGTTCACGAAGCCGTCGGACACAGCCTGCGACGTCGCCTGCTTCATCTACGACCTGAGCGACCCCAAATCCTTCAGCTACTGTGCCACTATTTATAAGGTAACTGGCTGGGACCCCGGGGGACTGCACAGGGTTCCCCCAGCCTTCGTGACAGCGCCGTGTTCCCCAGGGGCTGGTCTCATAACCCCTCGCTGGGCCCTCTCCTGTCCCTGCAGCAGCACTACATGGACAGCCAGATCCCCTGTGTCTTCGTGGCCTCCAAGGCGGACCTGCCAGAAGCCAGCCAGCAGCCTGGGCTGACCCCAGCTGAGTTCTGCTACAAGCACTGCCTCCCTCCACCCTTCCTCTTCACCTGCCACTGCCAGGGACCACCCAGCACTGCTGTCTACACCAAGCTGGCCACTGCTGCCACCTTCCCGTTAGTATCCTTCCTGTGGAGTGGGCTCTGCTGGGAGCAAAGCCTGGGGAGGGGGCTGTGTCCAAACCTGACCTCTGACACATTGCTTTTGCTTTGTTTCTCTCCAGCTTTTGGTGTCATCTAATGATTTTGGTGTCATCTAGGGCATGAAGTGACAGGACGAGGGGGAGTAGCTTCCCACTGCCCTCAGAGGGCAGGGTTAGGTGGGATATTGGGAAGAAATTCTTCCCTGTGAGGGTGGGGAGGCCCTGGCACAGGTTGCCCAGAGAAGCTGTGGCTGCCCCAGCCCTGGAAGTGTCCAAAGCCAGGCTGGACGGGGCTTGGAGCACCCTGGGCTAGTGGAAGGTGTCCCTGCCCATGGCAGGAGAGCGGAACCAGATGAGCTTTAAGGCTCCTTCCAACTCAAACCACTCAGTGATTCTGGGATTCTGTGATCTCTTTATACAAATAATTGAAACACAAAGGCCATTTCTTCCTCTGTTTGCAAAGTGGGGAGGTTTTCTTCTGCCTCATGTTTGTTTCTGACAGATTTATTAGATAGATCCAGCCACAGGAGTGTTTATTTTTGAAGCCTAAGATAAAAAACGCTGGAGAGGAGTAGCCAGCTTAGTTTGCCAAGGCCCGCGGGGGGCGTGGCAGCAATTTTCTCCTGATGAGATGGATCAGACTGAAAAAGAGGTCAGTGAAGCGAGACCTGTGTCACACAGCCTCCCTCTGGGAGGAGCTGCACCCCACAGGGGCTGGGAAGGGGGTAGGAACAGCACCAGGCGGGTCATAGGAGGTGAGGGGGGGATGTGGGAAGAAGGAGAACATGGAATCTCTGCTTCAGGGGTGGGAAGAGCGAGCACAGCGCCGGGGGCCGAGCCCTCGCAGGGAAAAACATGTGGGAGCACTGGAAGGCAGGATGGGATTACTACTGAGTAGTTTTCCCTCTAGCTTCTTTTCAATAAACAACTTTATTTTTAGAGCTGACGCTTTTTTTTTTTCCCCCCCTTCTCCGCAGTATTAAAATTTAAATATTCTTAATATATCTTAGGGTATGTGGTATAAATAAATAACAGCGTAATGGAGGGCCGGGGATTGGCTGTGCTCCCCCGATGTAGTGGGGAATGAATAATGGATGTGCCTCTCTCAGAGAGGAGCAGGTTGGTGCAGGACAGCACGTGCTCAGGAAGGGAATGTGTACGCTGGGCTCCTTCCCTCACTGCCCCTCGGTCGGAGTCACCGGCTGTGCCGGCATCTCCGTGGCACCCGCTCCTGCATCACTGGGGGTTGGAAAGGCAGCCTGACCTAGAAAGGCAGATACCTCCGTGCTCCTGCTAATTATTTAGGTGTTGGTGTGCTGTTTCCAGGCCAGGGGAGGGGACAGCCACATCCATCCCACCAGCCAGCCCTTGGCTTGATGATGATGCCAGGTGACGGGTACTCCGGCACGTGGGGCCGGGAATCTCTTGGAGCCTCTTTTTCAGCTGGGCTGTATCCCCCGGTGCTGTGCTCGCCCTGTGCCCCCCAGGGGCCCCCCAAATCTCCCTGTGTGGGGTGGGAGCGCTGTGGGCTGGTGGGGAGCTCTGGGACAGCCGAACTCACCAACCTCTTCTCCCTTTCCTTGCAGCCACCTGAATACCGTGGAGTTGGGAGTCGCATCCTTCTGGCTCCGGGTGGCGCTGGGGGCAGCAGTGACGGCGCTGGTGGGGTTCGCACTGTACCGTGTGCTGGCCAAGAACAAATGAGAGCCACTCTCCACCCCATCCCCCTGCAACACCAGCTCCCTGTCCCCAGCACACCCTGGTGAGAGGCCGTGCCTCAAGCTGGTCCCTGGTAGGAAATCCTCCTTTTCCCCCAGCCTGGATTGCAGGGCCAGTGGAACCAGACCTCCCAGCACCAGCAGGACAGATCCCTGGCACCAGCCAGCATCACCCTGTGGCCTCCTGGCTTCCCTGGCACCAGGGCAGGCAGCTCTGCTGGGGATCTGCCTCACCAGCAGCTGGAGGATCACCCTCAGCTTTTATTCTGTTAAATTTTTTTAACGTTTGTTTTTAAGCTCAAACATGAGTGTTTCAGCGTCTGTTGGGCCGGGCACGTCCCCTCCCCAGAGGGCTGTGCTGGTGCCCTCAATTCTGTGGGGGGGGGTCAATGCTCTCAGAGCCCCTGGGAGCTCCAGCAGCAGCTGAGCTGTCAAATGAGCTCATGGCTCCAGCTCCCTGGGGCAAATCTCCTTCTCCTGTCCTGGTTTCCCTCAGCCAGTGCTGGGAAAGGCAGCTGGGGATGGAGGGCCAGGCACTTGGAGCCCCCAGCCCTGGTGTTTTGGGGTCAGGCCTGGCCCCTGTTGCTGAGATGCAGTGGCTGCAGCCCTGGGCCGTGAGGGGGGACAGTGATACCCAGGGTCTGTCCCAGCCTCCTTTGTTTTGTTTCTGCACAATAATGTTGTGAGTCCCGCAGCGTGCTGGGCTCTGGGTCCATCTGCCCTCCTTTCCTGCCGCCTGCCCGTCCTGTCCCCACCCCTGCCCTGGCCACCAGTATTCATGGCCACCAGTATTCACAGGGCTCTGGGAGCCCTGGTGAGGGTTGTGAGGGCATTGGGTGCCCACAGTCCTTCCCTGGCAGTGCCATCACTGAGCTGGTGCCACGCTGTGCCCTACAGCCCACGTCCTGGCAGGGCCCTGTCCAGAGTGAGGCTCCTGGTACAACTGGAAGCTCCTTTCCCCTGTCCCCTGCCTGCACCTGAGCTGGCATCAGCTGCTGGGGCTGAGCTCAGCACCAGTCTGGGGTCAGAGCTCCACAGTGCCCGTCTCCCAGTCCCAAAGAGCAAGGCCAGCACCCATCCCTGGGCTCCTGTCCCTCCATGGGGAGCCTGGATGAGCCCCTGGCTGAGTGACACCAGCCTGGGCTTCCCCAGCACACTCAGGGTCGGTCTCTTTGCAGGCAGCTGGGTGGGGGCAGCTCTGAGATAGCACCTGGAGCTGCTTTTTAATGTGTTTTGTCTATTTAAACGTTTTACTGTGGCCTGGAGCCAGTCAGGGGCATGAGAGGTGCCACCAGCATCTCTCACGGGGACTGTCCCAGAGTGGTGCCCACGGTCCCCAGCACTGGCCAGCTGGGAGGTCCCTGCGTGTGCCAGAGCTGCTGTGCCAGTCGGGCAGCCACGTGCTGCTGGCCTCTGGTTCCTGGCACTGCCAGGGCCGTGTCCCTGCTGTTTCTTTATCCCTCTCTGTGCCCACCGCCTATGGCTCTGCCACCCCGGGCCCGTGCCTGGTGTCTGTCCCTGCTCCACGTCTGCTGGAGCTGCAATATTTTAGGTTTGTTCTCTACAACAAAATAAATTTTTACACACCTTCCCGTTGCACACCATGTCCTGTGTCACCTGGGGCAGCAGGACCTTTGTCCCTGACGAGGCTGCACGAAGCCTGGGGCCTCCACAGACTGGGGTGGGAACAGGGAGACCCCCCCAAGGGCCTGGACTGCCCTGCTTGGGGGTGGTTACAGGGATTTAGGGCAGAAGTTGAAGCCTGGCATGGTGGGACAGGCTTGGGGCTGGTCCAGGGATCCTTGGTGCTTGGGGACACAGATCCCTGTTCAACAAGTGCCAGCCAGGGGCAAGAGAGGGGGAAGGAGGTAGTGGATCCCCGTGGTGCTCTGCCAGGATCCCTTGGGGAGCAGGAGGCTTGGCTGCCCCAGGAGTGGTGGCTCTCTGTGCCCATCCCCATGGGGGGTTTAGGGCTTCCCCTTTCCCTGCAGCTCGTTGGGCCATGCTTCCTCCCCTTCCTGCTTCTGTTTTCCTGTGGCAGCTTTTCCCTTGGCTATTTCTGTCTGCAGGGTCAGCCACAGGCGCTGGGCACAGGGAATGTGGGCACAGCCCGGGAAAAGGCTTTTTCCAAGGCCCCTGCACTGAGGCTTCATGGGACCAGACTGCTCCCACACGTGTGGGGGGTCCCTCTAGGCTGTGGGGTGGGAGAGGAAGCCCTTCCCACGTGGCAAACCAGGGAACAGGGGCGGTGGGGAGCACAACCGATGCCGTGCAGGGCGGAGGAGGCGATGCCAGGGCGGGCGAGACACGCGGTGCTCCCTGGTGACTCCAAACCAGGCTGGATCCCATGGGAGCCACGGGCCCACGTGCAACCATGTGTATTAATAGCACTGGTGTGCCAGAGCCAGGGCAGGCACGGGTGTAGGACAGGGTACATGCATGGCAGGGCTGTGGGAGCCCACCCGTGACCACACACAGTCCCCAAGGAAGGTGCCTGGCAGGGCTGGGGAACCCAGAGCTCCCTGGACACCCCCAGTGGGGCTGAGCCGTGGCCCAGGAGCGTGGGGAGACTCCAGCACACTGTGGGGAGCCAGGGGAGCCTGGCCTGGGTGACATCACGTAAAGGGGCCAGTTCAAGGGACCCAGTGCCAGGCTGCACCGTGAGACAGCCCCATGTCCCCCGTGCCAGCGGGAGCACCCACCAGCCTGTGGGTCCAGGGTCAGGATGGAGAGAGCATTTGTAGTCACCTGTGCCGGATTCAGCAGGCACCTGGAATGCTGGTCTTGGGATGAAGGTGCCTATGCTGGATGCAGGTACTGCACCAGGATATGGATTCCTGTGTCAGGATGCAGGTGCTGTACTGTGATGCAGAAACGGGTACTGGGAAACAGGTACCTTACTGGAATACATGAACGTGTGCTGGGATACAGGTACTGGAAGGGGAATGTGAGTCCCAACATGCAGACTGTGTACTGGGATGCAGGTACCATACCAGAATACGACTCCCAGTACTGGGATTTAGGTACCCCTACCAGGATGCAGGTACCTATACCAGAATGTGGGTGCCAGCACCAGGATGTGGGTGGCATGCTGGGATGTAGATACCACAGTGGGATGCAGATGTCATACCGGGATTTTGCAACCGTATTCGGATGTGGGTACCAGTACCGAGATGCAGGTCCCCGTACCGGGATGCACACAGCCATGTGGGGATACATTTTCCAGTACCGGGATGCCCGCAGCTGTACCGGGATGCCGCTTCCCGGTACAGCGAATGTTCCATCCCATGCTGCGAGCGCCCGGTGCCGGCTCCCTCCCGGTGCCGCGTCCCGGTGCTGCCTGCGGGGCGGGGCGGGACGGGTCCCGGTTCCCCTGGCGGCGGCGGCGGGGGGTGCGGGGAGGGGGGCGCTGCGCCGCGCGCTGCGGCGGGGCGGCTCCGCTCGGCTCCGCCTCCGCCCCCGCCGCCGCCGTCGCCCCGCTGCCATCGGCGGCTCCCGGCGCCGCCGCTCGCCGCTCGCTCCCGGGCCCGCCGCAACGCGGGGCTGGCGGGAGAGCCGCCCCCGCCGCCGCCCCCTGCCGCCCGCGCCGCTCCCCTGCCCGGCTCGCCGGCCCCGGGCGCGGGGGAGCGGCGGAGCCCTCCGCCCGCCGGGTGCATGGACAGGAGCTCCCTGCTGCAGCTCATCCAGGAGCAGGTGAGGCCGCCCGGGCGGCACCGGGCACCGGGCTGCGCTCGGGGGTGGGGGTGCCGGGCATCGCTCCCGGCGGGAGATGCTCGCACGCACCGGGCTCGGCTGGAGCGCAGCGGGCAGCGCTGCCCGCCCAGGGCGGCGACCGCGGCCGTGCCACCCCCTGCGAGAGTCCCCCGCTGCCCCTCGTCACCGCCCCGGGGGACCCGCCCCCCCTCGTGCCGCTGAGAACGCGCAACTCGGCTCACTTGTGGCCTCTCCCTCCGCCAACCCCGGGCCGGATCCTGCCCGCTGCACCCTCAAGGACGGGGGGTGCTGGGCACCGAGCCCCGGCGCCGCCCGTGGGCTCTGGGTGCAGGATGGGGCCCCGGGCGTGCCGTGGATCGGGCACCCCGGCGAGGCGGGGGACTGCACCCACCCCCGTGACCTGATTGCGGGATCGGGCCGTGGAGCATCAGCGCTGCCTGGCGTGGGGCTCCGCTGGCCGCAGGATGGGGGTTCGAGGCGATGCCACCCGCTGCCCATCCGGCCCCCAGGAGCCCCCCTTGAGCTCCGCCGGCTCGTCCCTCCATCCCCACCCACCCCGGGCCCAGCTGGCGGCTCTCCCCTGGGCACGGGGAGAGAATTTACTGGGGATCACAGAAATTAACTGTTTTCCCCCTCGCCCCCGGCTGGCTCCATGACCTTGGCTGAGTCCCCCAGCCCGGGAGCTGTGGTGCTGTCCCTCGTGTCACCCCACCCTCGGGCACTGGGGCTCTGGGTGTCCCCGAGCAGCTCGGGGATGAGGAGCGGCTTTCCTGGGAGACAGAAGGGCTTCGGACAGCCCAGCAGGACCAGGGGGCTGGGGGACTGGGGATCGGGCCCTCTCGGGGGGTCCATAGGGGGCCAGTGGGGTTGGGGTGTGGGGAGTTGCACCCCAAAAGCAGAGAGGGACGTCCTGGCTGCTGCCGGGGCTCCTGAGGCCGGTGAGCTCAGCTGTGCCAGTGTGGGGACAGCGTGTGCCAGGTCCCGGCGTGACACACACACACGTGGCACCTGTGGGGGATGTCTGTGGGGCAGAGGGGACAGGGCGTTCCCAAATCCCGATGGCTCGGGCTGCTCTCATGGGCTGGTGGTTTCTCTGAGGATGCAAGTGCTGCCTGCACCCTGTATCCTACACCCTGCACCTCGCACCCCTCATCCCACCCTGCATCCCACTCCACGTGTCCTGCCCTGCCCCCTGCTCTGGGGCAGCCAAACCCCTCTCGGGAAAGAGGCTGTGGCTGTTCCCTGGTGGGGCTGGAGGGACGGGGTGTCCACCTGGGTGTGGATGTGACCCCGTGCCCCCAGCATTCCCTTTCCTGCCCATCCCATGAGGACGAGGTTCCTCTCCGTTTTATTCCCCGCAGAAGCGAGGAGCAAACCTAACACGATTTCAGGGTGATTGTGGGGTTCAGGGTCCCAGCCACCCTGTGCTCCAGCCGTGGGTGCCCTCTCCCAGTCTCCATCCTCCTCGTGCCATGCTGGGCTCTGTCTCCATGGACAGCACCACATGGGGTGCCCCGGTGCTGGGTACCCTGTGGTGCGCTGTGCCTGGAGGGCTCAGGGTGCCCAATTCTCTCCGGGAGCCCCGAGGATGGCACAGGGTGCCCCAGCACAGGGTGTGGTGGATCCCAGCGGCAAGGGCGATGGGAGGAGCAGGGGAGGAGGAGGAGGAGGAGGAGGTAGAGGAGGAGGAGGAGGAGGAGGCTGGTGCCAGGGCTGCGCGTGTGTTTAGCTTGGTGGCTTCCTGGCTGGCAGGCTGCTGGTGGCAAGAAATAACTGAGTGGGAGAGTGTTGGCTGCTCCGCGGGGAGACGGGGACACCGGCACGGCACGGGGCACCCGCGTGGCACGGGGCACCCACAGGGTGCGGGGTCTGGGCCGGGGGAAGGTTGTAGTGCCCCTGGCAGAGGCACAGGCTGGTGTTATGGAGCAGCACGAGGCCACCGGGTGGTCTCTCCAGCCAACCACGGAGTCACAGCCCCGGTATCCCAGTAATGCCCCTGCTCTGCCCCACAGCTCGACCCCGAAAACACCGGCTTCATCGGGGTAGAGACGTTCGCCAGCCTGGTGCACAGCCATGAGCTGCCCCTGGACCCCGCCAAGCTCGACATGCTGGTGGCCCTGGCACAGGGCAACGACGAGGGGCAGGTCTGCTATCAGGAGCTGGTAGACCTGGTCAGTGCCGGAGGGCCGCGGGGACGGGGGCGAGCGGCCGGGTGCCAGCCCGGGGTGGGCGCTGGGCACCTCCTCGTGCCCCTGGGGAGGGGGGCAGGCGTCGGTGGTCCCCCAGGGGCATGGGATGGTGGCACGGCCTTGAGGCGGCTCGTCCGGGCTGTGGCGTGAGGGGGTGGCTGGGCAGGGGGTGGCCACAAGCCCCGCGGCCCCCGTGGCCCCCCGGGCTCTCCCCGCAGATCAGCAGCAAGCGCTCGAGCAGCTTCAAACGCGCCATCGCCAACGGGCAGCGGGCGCTGCCCCGCGACGTCCTCCTGGACGAGACCGGCCTCGGCTTCTACAAGCGCTTCGTCCGCTACGTGGCCTACGAGATCCTGCCCTGCGAGATGGACCGGCGCTGGTACTTCTACCAGCACCGCACCTGCCCGCCCCCCGTCTTCATGGCAGCCGTCACCCTCACCCAGGTGCGGGGCAGGGCTGAGCCCGGCGGGAGCGCCCCGCTGACCCTGGCGAGGCTCGGACTCGGGGTGGACGGGCTGGGCTATCCCGGTTCCGAGATTTGGAGTTCAGATTTGCGGGGAGGGGATGGGTTGACCCTGGTTGTGGTGTCCCGGTGCCCGCTAGGGGGCTCGGGTCTGACACGAGGGGATGCGTGACGCTGAGTGTGACATCTTTGTGCCCATATGGGGGGCTCAGACACAGGGCAGGGAGGCGGGGTGACCCCCGTTCTGGTGTCCTGGTGCCCACACAGGGGTTCAGGTATGGGGTGAAGGGATGGATGACCTTGGTTGTGGTGTCCTGGAGTCCACGGTGGGGCTCAGACCCAGAGCAAAGGGGATGGGTGACCCCAGTTCTGCTGCCAGTGCCCACGGGTGGCTCAGACTCAGGGCAGAGGGGACGGATGACCCCAACTGTGATGTCCTGGTGTCCTCTGGGGTTCTCAGACCTGGGGTGAAGGGACCAGGAGCCCCCGACTCAGGACAGAGGGATGGGGAGGGGGATGTTTTGGCAGTGCTGGGGGGTGACAGCCGTGGGCTTTGTCACAGATCATCGTGTTCCTCTGCTACGGGGCCCGGCTGAACAAGTGGGTGCTGCAGACCTACCACCCCGAGTACATGAAGAGCCCCCTGGTTTATCACCCCGGGCACCGGGCGAGGGCCTGGCGCTTCCTCACCTACATGTTCATGCACGTGGGGTAGGTCCTGCGGGGGGGAGGGCGAGGGGGACACCCCGGGGGCTGCACGGGCTGAGCCCCCGCTGTGCCCTCCTGTGCCCGGGCAGGCTGGAGCAGCTGGGGTTCAACGCCCTCCTGCAGCTGATGATCGGGGTGCCCCTGGAGATGGTGCACGGCATCCTGCGCATCAGCTTCCTCTACCTGGCCGGGGTCCTGGCAGGTGGGTGCTGCCCCGGGGGGCTGCCCCCCAGCCATCCCCATCTGTCCCCAGCCCCCCGAGTCTGGTGGGGGTGAGGGGCTTTGCTGGGTACCACCCTGCAGTGCCAGAGTCACTTGGCCGGGGGCTGGGGGGCAATGCAGCCTGTAATTAATTAATATGGACAGTAATTAATTCATGTTGAGGATGGGTGCTGAGCGCTGTCTGTGCCCCCAGGCTCCCTGACTGTCTCCATCACCGACATGAGGGCCCCCCTGGTCGGGGGCTCAGGGGGGGTCTACGCCCTCTGCTCAGCCCACCTTGCCAACGTTGTCATGGTCAGTGGGGAGGGGGCACGGGGGGCACAAAGGGGAGGCAGCATGGGGGGGTGCCATGGGGTGGATGGCACTGCAGGGTGGGCAGCACGGTGTGGTATTGGGTGGGTGACAGCACGGGTGGGAGCTGTTTGTAGGGTGGGAAGGATGGTGGGACATTAGGGGGGGATGCCATGGTGTGGGATAGGCATGGGATAGGGGATGCCAGGGCACTGTGGATAGGCAGCCTTGTGTCACACTGGGGGGGAAGTGCTGTGGGGTGTCAATGTCCTCGTGTGACACTGATGGGGGTTGTGCCATGGGGTGGGTGGCACTGTAGGGTGGGCAGCACGGTGTGACACTGAGGATGCTGAGGGGGGATGCTGTGGGATGCCATTATGGGGCGGGCACCATCACAGGGGACAGCACCTTGGGTGGCATCACGGTGTGGGTGGGAGGAGCAGGGACCTGGGGGACTCCATGGGGCGCACTAGGAGTATGGCACCAGCCTCCTCCCTCGTGCTGGGTCATCGCTGGTGCCAACCCCTTGTCCCTCCATCCATCCATCCGTCCATCCATCCATCCCTCTCCCGCAGAACTGGGCCGGGATGCGCTGTCCCTACAAGCTGCTGCGGATGGTGCTGGCGCTGGTGTGCAGTGAGTACCCGCCCCCGACTATCCTCCCTTCCCCGGGCGGGAGGGGCGTGCGGGGTGGGCTCAGCCCCTGCCGTGTCCCGCAGTGAGCTCCGAGGTGGGTCGCGCCGTGTGGCTCCGGTTCTCGCCGCCGCTGCCGGCCTCGGGCCCGCAGCCGTCCTTCATGGCACACCTGGCGGGGGCCATCGTGGGCATCAGCATGGGGCTGACCATCCTGCGCAGCTACGAGGAGAGCCTGCAGGACCAGTGCGGCTGGTGGGTGCTGCTGCTCTCCTACGGCACCTTCCTGCTCTTCGCCGTCTTCTGGAACATCTTCGCCTACGACCTGCTGGGGCACAGATCCCCCCGCCGTAGCCCACCCCCGGCCCCGGCCCTTCGGTTGGTTTGTTTTCCAGGCCCGGTGGAGGGGCCGGGGGGTCCCCGCGCGTGACATGGGGACAGGCCACCCCCGCCTGCCCCCTCGGTGCTACAGAACGCGCCGCCCCCGCCCCGGGCTGCGCCCCCGAATGTACCTGCCGACCCTCCGCGCTGTACCCCCGCCCCAAAGGATGCTTCAGCCCTGCCCTGGCATCGCCGACCCCCCCGGGGTGCCCGCAGGGCTCGGGATGTGCCCCCCGGAAGGAGCCGAGCGCGGGGACCCCCCCGCTGGCTCCTGTACCCCCTCCCCAGGGTGGGGACCAACACTCGTTGCCCCCCCAAGGACCTGCACTTTCACACGAAGGACTGGTGCCAAAATAGGAGCGATTTATTTTTCTATGCCAAAATAAATATAAATAAAAGAAAGAGAGGAATTAAAAAAAAAAAAAAAAAAAAAAAAGAAGGATATGGGGAGAGCCCGGCAGGAACCAGCTGAGACCGGCACAACTCGTTTCGGCAGTGCCCTCGGGGCGCAGCCCCCCCTTCCCCGCGCCCCGGCCCCCCCTGCTTTGCTGCCAGCGCCCTCCCCGGGGTGGGGGTTCGCCCAGGATGGGGGCGCGGGGAGTCCCCGCTCTGATTCCCCCCCAGACCTTTTTGGAGTATAAATAAATATTTTGCACACTGTTTGGCCGTGTGTCTCTGTTGGGGGGGGATTTTGGGCGTGCCCCCCATCCCTGCGGGAGGCCGTGAGGGCGCCGGGGCTGGCTGGCCCCGGGGTGGTCACAGCCGGCACAGGACTTACTGGAGCAGAAAACTCTGGGATAAGTGGAGCGGCACCCGGCCGAGCCCCGCGGGGCTGGCAGCGCGGGGGGGCGTGGGGGTGCGGGGCTGGGGGCTGTCTGCAGCACCGAGATCACCCCGCACCGCATCCAGCCCCGCCCGCTCCAGCGCACCCAAACCTCAGCCCTGCACACCCCCATCCAGCCCCCCAACCCCGCACCTCATCCAACCGCACACCCTTCCGTGCCGCCACCCCCCGCTGAAGCCCCTGCGCCCACAGCCCACCCTGCACCCCACAACCCTCTGTTCGCTCGCAGCCCTCCGCCGATCCCCCGAGCCTCCTCCGCACCCCCTCCGCAAGCCCCCAGGCAGCCCACACCCCCTGAAATCCCACAGCCCCTGAAATCCCACAGCCCCCGCAATCCCACAGCCCCCGCAATCCCATACCCCTCTGAAATCCCACAGCCCCCCGCAGTCCCACAGCCCCCTGAAATCCCACAGCCCCCTCGCATCCCCCAGTTCGCTCCATCCAGCCCCGCCTTCAGCCCCATGAACCTCAGCCACGCCACGCCCACCTCCTCTGACCACGCCCACAAACATTGCCCCCGCCCCTCCCGGTCAAGACCCCGCCCTCCAAACGTGAGCTCCGCCCACACATCAAGTCCCGCCCTCTCTCTGCCCCTCCCCTGCCTTCTGGCCCCGCCCATTCCCCACAGGCCCCGCCCTCCCTTGACTCCGCCCCTCCCCTCCCCATTGGCCGTTCCCGCGGCCCCAGTTTGGCCCCGCCCCGGCGGAGGCGCATGCGCAGTGCGCGGGCGCAGCGCACCGGGCCGCCCATCGGAGCCGCGGCCGCCGGGCCGGGCCGGGCCGGGCCGGCCATGAAGGGCAAGGAGGAGCGGGAGGGCGCGGCGGGGCCCGGCGCGGCGGGGCCGGGCGCGGGGGGCGCGGGGGGCGCCAGCCCCGAGAAGAGCCACAGCGCGCAGGAGCACAAGGAGCAGGGGAACCGGCTCTTCGGCGGCCGCAAGTACCCCGAAGCCGCCGCCTGCTACGGGCGCGCCATCGTGAGTCCCCCTGGGAAGGGATCAGCGGGGAGGGGAACGCACCGCACCCCGCCCCCCCACGGGCCTGGCCTGGGTGCCCCCGGATGGAACCCCGGCGATGGGTCACCCCGGCACGGATGGTCCCAGGATGCGACCCCCCCGGGGACGGGACACACCAGCCTCCCCCCGGCCCGGCCTGGACACCCCCGGGGCGGGCCCTGCCCTGGCCTCCATAACCCCGGGATGAGACTTCCCTTGGTCTGGGCACCCTCCCGGTCCTGGCCCAGGACGGGACCCTCGGGGCTGGGACACCCCCACCACGGGCCTGGCCGAGACACCCCTGAGATGGGACCTCCCCCCACCCTCTCAGCCTGGGCACCTCCCCAGCCCTGGCCTCAGTACCCCCGGGATGGAATCTCCTTGGTCTGGACAATGTTTTTTTCCCGGGCCTGGTCTGGATACCTTTAGGGTGGGACCCCCTTCGTCTGGACACTGTCCCCCTCCTGGCCTAGCCCCCTCCCTGGGCCTGTCCCCCCCAAACCCTGCCCCGTCCCCAGGCTGTGCTGGGTCGGGCAGACCCCCCGGGTGTGCTCCAGCCCCCCCAGCTGGTGGGGACTGTCCCCTCTGGAGGCAGGGACACGGGCTGCCCTATGGGAACCGGCCCAGCCTGTCCCCAATCCATCCTGGCACCTCCCCGCGGGGTGCACGCCCGCGCTGGCACTGCCGGCTGTCCCTGCGCGGGTGGCAGTGTCACCGAGTGCCCCGGCTGTCCCTGCCGTCCCCCCTCCCGTGACATGAGGCTGTCCCCGCAGAACCGGAACCCCCTGGTGGCCGTGTACTACACCAACCGGGCCCTGTGCTACCTGAAGATGCAGCAGCACGACAAGGCCCTGGCGGATTGCAAGCGGGCGCTGGAGCTGGACGGGCAGTCGGTGAAGGCCCATTTCTTCCTGGGCCAGTGCCAGCTGGAGATGGAGAGCTACGACGAGGCCATTGCCAACCTGCAGAGAGGTGAGCGGGCACGGTGCCCCTGCACCCAGGGGGAAGGGCCCAGGGCGGTGACAGGGACCCCGTGCTGGCTCTGACGTGGCCCTGCCCTCCCCAGCCTACAACCTGGCCAAGGAGCAGCGGCTGAACTTCGGGGACGACATCCCCAGCGCCCTGCGCATCGCCAAGAAGAAACGCTGGAACAGCATCGAGGAGAAGCGGATCAACCAGGAGAACGAGCTGCACTCCCACCTCACCAAGCTGATCATGGCGGAGAAGGAGAGGTAACAGGGCACCAGGAAAGGCTTTTTGAGTGTCCCCACGCTGTCACAGCTCTGTGTGAGGTGCCTCTGCCCTCTGGGACAGCAGGGAAGGGAACAGCAGTGTCCCTCCATGCTCCTGCTCTGCTCTATCCCAGGGAGCTGGCCGAGTGCCGGAAGACCCAGCAAGAAGAAAACACGGACGAGAGCCGGAGCCGAGTTCAGCTGGCCACCATCGAGGCCAAGCACGTGAGTGGGGCCTTCCTCATCCCCCCCCTCATCCTCATCCCCAGGCTCTTCTGTAGCTGCAGGGCTGCGGCTGTGCAGATGAAAGCCAAGAGACCCCAGGACAGAGAGAGAGCACAGCTCCTCAGACTTCATTCTGTGGCTGGAGCTTTTGTGTCCCCCTGTGACAGCTGCCCCTGCTGTGTCACCTCGTGTCCCAGCCCAGCAGTGGTGACGTCTGCTGGGCCTGTTGTTCCCTGAGGGAACACGAGTGGCTCTCGGCCACATGTGGGTCTGGGTGCTGGGGACTAATCCCTGATAAAAATAGCCCCACGAAGGAAGGTTATTTTTAAGCTGGATCACTCCTGCCAGGTTCAGCTGGGAGCTGCGTGGGCAGAGGGGCTGAGGAGCTGCTCCCGTGGGTGGGAGGCCTGGGGGCTCTCCCTGGGGTTTGCTCTCCCATGAGTGCTGGGGTCTCCTTGTCCTCAAGGGCTCTTCTTTCAGGACAAATACCTGGCAGACATGGACGAGCTCTTCTCCCAGGTGGATGAGAAGAGGAAGGTGAGTGTGCCCTGACCTGTGCTCCCATCTCTCCCCTGCTGTGTTCCCTGCTTCCCCCTCTGAGCCAGCACCACCTCCCACTCCGTCTTCCTGACCCAGCTGTGCCTCTCTCGAGCCAGAAGCGGGACATCCCTGACTACCTGTGCGGGAAGATCAGCTTTGAGCTGATGAGAGAGCCCTGCATCACGCCCAGCGGGATCACCTACGACAGGAAGGACATCGAGGAGCATCTCCAGGTACCACCAGGCCAGGGGCAGGGGGGTTTCCCAGCACCTTTCCTGCCTTGCTGTCCTGCCTGGGCAGGAAGGCAGCTCCCAGCTCAGGGTTCTGAAGGCTCCTTGGGTTTGGTCCCAGTTACGTGCCAGGGCAGCTCCCTGCGGAGCAGGTGCTGCCGGGCCCTGCCCCAAGCAGAGGCGGCTCTTGTGTCCTGCCCTGCCCTGTCATCCTGCTGAGAGGCACCTCCGCAGGGGGCCGTCCCTCCTTCCCCCCGGAGGCCTGGCTGCCGTGCCGGATGCCAGGGCAGATGCCAGTGGTCCCCGTGGGCCAGGGCTGAGCCCGGGCACGTGGAGTAACCGGTTCCCCCCGCCCCTCCCTGCAGCGCGTGGGTCATTTCGACCCGGTGACGCGGAGTCCCCTGACCCAGGACCAGCTGATCCCCAACCTCGCCATGAAGGAGGTGATCGACGCCTTCATCTCGGAGAACGGCTGGGTGGAGGATTACTGAGGGGCTGGGGGGATAGCTGAGGGGCTGGGGCAGCGTTGGGGTGCCCCAGCACAGCTCCCCGGGCTGGCACCATGCCTTACTTGTTCCCTGGCTGCTCCCCCTCCGCTCCGGCTGCCCCAGAGCCAGCGTGAGGCGAGGGCACATCACCATCTCCCCTTCCCGCGGTGGCTGGGTGGGCACCATGGCTCCCTGGGCTCCCCTCTCCAGCTCCAAGACCTGCCTGGGGGTTGGGAGAAGGCTGCCTTAGCAGCAGTGGCCTCACCATCATCTCCATGGCTCACAGAGCGGGGTCCCCCTCGGCCACGGCCGCTGGCAGTCCCCAAAGAGTGTCCTGCTCCAGGGAGTGCCACAGGGAGCTCGCCAGGATGAGCACCTGGAGCCCAGTCCCTCCCTGTGTATATAGTTGTTTCCTCCTCCTTCCACCTCCTGCCTGGCCAGGGCTGGGTCCTCTTCCCTGTAAATAGCCACTTGCCGGAGTGAGACCAACTCGCCCTCTGGCTTTTCCCAGGAAACAACAGTCCCAGTGGAAGGGGCTGGCTCCCGCCTCCCCTCTGCCTGTGGTTCCCTGCAAACAACCACCTGGGTTAAGGTTCTTACTCCTTTAATAAAATCCCTTAAAACACCACAGAAAATAACCAACAGATCTGTATCCAGCTGAGGTTCCAGCGTTTCGGTCGGCCCACAGCCTGCCTGGCTTTTTGAGCACCCCCCTGGAAGTTTGCCAATGTCCATTAAAAAAAAAAAAGTATATATAAAAATAATAAAAAAAAATTAAGCAATAAATGTGGAAAAGGAGCTGGAGTGGTTCACAGCAGCGATTTCTGGGGATCTCCTGGCTTGGGAGCCAGTGGGAGGGGGGATGTAGCAACACACAATGGCTACAGTAGAACGACTTTAATCCAAGGGGGAGGAAAAAGACCAGTAAAAACCCAGAACTTTCTGAGGCAGTTGGTCCCAACACCAGTTGCCTTTCCCTGAGAGTGGCAGGAATTCCTGCCGTGTCCAGGATGATGGTGACACATCCTTGTCCTTCCTGGCTCTACCCCAGGAAGGTGGAGATGAAGACACTGGTGTCCAGGTTGAGTGTCGCGTGCCACCAGCGGTCAGGGAAGTACAGGACCTATGGGAGGGAGCACGAGGGGGGGGGTCCCGTGGCTCTGGTTGGGCTGTGTGGGGTCCCCTCCACCCTCCCGGGGGTCCTGGGTTGCTGACTCACCTCCCCGGGGCGCAGGGTGCACTCGAGGGGGCGCTGGGCGGGGGGCAGTGTGGGGTATGTGTGCTGGAGCCAGGCCAGCGTCGTCTCGTTGGGGTGGAAGTGGGGGGTTTTATCCGGGGGGTACAGGAACCAGCGCTGGAAAACACCAAGGGGACACCCCACCCCCGGCCAGTTTCCCCTCCAGCCCCTCAGGCTCAGCACCAGCAGGGCTTCCCCGTGCTCAGGGACGCCCCTTAGGGGGCTTGTTGGTCTCCCTCGCCCCTCCAAATCCTTCCCTCAGGGCTCAGTTCTCACCTTCCTGCCAAAAATCACCTCGGAAAATCCGGGGCCGTGCCAGTGAAAGGGAACACCGGAGCCTGAGCCTGCGGTGGAAGGTGGGCGTTGGTGCTGGGGAAACCCCCGATCCCCCTCCCCTCGATCCCCCCGTGCCCACCTGCGATCCCGAAGCTGTAGGCAGGGCTGGTGCCCGGGATGCGGAAGGGAGGGGGCACGTAGTGCTGGAACAGGGGGCCCCACTCGGTGAAGTTGTTGTCCCCGAAGAAGTACAGGGTGTCTGGGGGAGCACGAGAGGCTCAGCCCGGTGAGGACCGGGGCGTTCCGGGGGGGTCGGGGACGGTGCTACACCCACCGCTGCCCAGCCGGGCCGGGTCCTGCGGCTGCAGCAGCCGCTCCACGTAGTCCTGGAACGGCACATCCACTGCGGGAACGGGAACGGGAGCGGTGAGCGGGGGCAGCGGCCCCGCCGGGCCGGGCGGGCGCGGCCCCCCTCACCTTTGCGGTACGAATAGGTGTTGGCCGTGCTGAGCCGCACCGGGAGCGGCCCGAACGCCGCCAGCAGCTTCTCCCGGGTGCACAGGGCTCGGAACGCCTGGGGATGGAGCACAGGGCCGGGATGGCACGGGGGGTGTGTGAGCCCCCCGGAGTCCTCCCAGGACCGTCCCGGCACTCACCGAGTTGTCCGTGACCCCGCCGAGGATCACCGGCCGGGAGAAGGCGAACCTGGGGAAGCATCCAGCGGGGTCCCGGCCCTGACACATCCCGGGTGCACCGGGACCGGCCCCGACCCACCCCCGGGGGGACCGGGACCGGCCCTGACACATCCCCGGTGCACCGGGACCGGCCCCGACCCACCCCCGGGGGGACCGGGACCAGCCCTGACACATCCCCGGGACACCGGACCGGATTCAATCCAGCTCTGGAGGTACCGGGGCCAGCCCTGACACATCCCTGGGGCACTGGGACTGGCCCTAAGTCGGCACCAGGACCGGCTCTAAACCACCCCCGGGGCACCGGGACCGGCTCCACCCACCTTCCCCCGGGTCCTCGGCCCTCCAACCCTCCCGGTCCCTCCCCGTTATCCCGCCCGGTGCACCGGGCACTGTTCCCGCGGGGCCGTGCCAGGTCCCCCGTTACCGCTGCAGGAACAGGGAGTATGTGAGGGAGGCATCGACCCGCTCCACGGTGCAGCGCTCCTCCTCCGGCACCGAGCCCGCCAGCCTGCAACGGGGGGCTGCGCTCGGCACCGGCACCGGCCCGGGGCAGCCCCCCCGCGCTCCCCGTGCCCCGGGGCAGCCCCCCCAGGCTCACCATCCGCCGCCCGGCGGGGCGGTGCCCTGGGCGGGCCGGGCCCAGCGCAGCAGCAGCGGCAGCAGCGGGAGCAGCCGCGCCGCCATCGCCACCGGGACTACAACCCCCGGCATGCACCGCGCCCACGCGGAGCGCGCCGCCATTGGCCCGTAAGGGCCACGGCTTAAAGGGGCAACATGAAATGGGCCCACAGCGTGCCTTAAAGGGGCAACAGCAATGTGGGGTTCATATCAAGGCTTAAAGGGCCCCCCGGCATTACGGGGCAACAACAAAGTGGGGTCCCCGGGGCACCGACCCCGGCCTGAAACGGGGTCCAGCCCCACCCCGAGGGCTGCTGCATCCAGGTGAAGTGAAGACAAGAGTCATGGCTCGGTTCAGCTGCTGGTTTGTTTTAATCCAGTACAAAATGGCTGGGCGGGGGGGACACGCCCAGCCCTTATTTACACGATAAATACAGGGAGGGAGGTGCGGGGGGTACCAGGCAGGAGACCCTGCCCGCTCTGCCCACCATCCCCCCTCCCCGTGGGGCTCAGGTGTACTCGCAGAGGTGGCCGCAGCCGGCAGGGCAGTGGGAGCTGGTCTCCAGCCACTTCATGATGTGCTGCAGGTGGCCCCCGTGGCTGCAGCCCTGGCACCACACGAAGAGCCCCTTCACCACGTGGTGACACACGGCACACATGCTGGCACACTGCCGACACCTGACCGAGAGACATGGGGCGGCGTGGGCAAGGAGAGCCCCTGGGGGGCACCGAGGGGGAACAGGGGCACCCACCCCGTCCCCCTGCCCCTGCAGAGCCCCCAGGACGCCCTTGCTGGGCTGTCCCCACCCTGTGCCCTCACCTGTCGCAGATCCAGCCCCTGTTGCTCATGGGCCGCTTGCAGTTGCTGCAGTTGACGTGGAGGGTGGTGGACGCCTGGTTGAGGCAGTTGATGGCACGGCACGTGCTCAGCTTGATCACCTCGTTGGAGATGTTCCAGAGCTGGAAGCGCTGCAGCAGGTCGATGTAGGACGTGTACCAGTGTTCCTGGGAGGGCCACAGATGGCTGAGCCTCGACATCCACCCTCAAACCCCCTCAGGATCCCTGCCCTGCCTCCCAGGGCAAGATCCATGCTTGGGTCACAGCCCCCTGCAGCGCTCCAAACTTGGGGCAGGGGAGCTGGAAAATGCCCAGTTGAAAAGGTCCTGGGGGTCAACAGTGGCTCAACACGAACCCAGGTGTGCCCAGGTGGGCAAGAAGGCCAATGACACCTGGGCTGTCCCAGCCATGGTGTGGCCACAGGCCCAGGGCAGTGCCCACCCCTGTGCTGGCACTGCTGGGGCACCTCCAGCCCTGGGGGCAGTTCTGGGCCCCTCAGACAAGAGAGACACTGAGGGGCTGGAGCGTGTGCAGGGAAGGGAACGGAGCTGGGAAGGGGCTGGAGCAGCAGGAACAGCTGAGGGAGCTGGGGGGGCTCAGCCTGGAGAAAAGGAGGCTCAGGGGGGACCTTCTGGCTCTGCAACTCCCTGACAGGAGGGGGGAGCTGGGGGTGGGTCAGGCTCTGCTCCCAGGGAACAAGGGACAGGACAAGAGAAAACAGCCTCCCAGGGGAGGTTTAGGTTGGATACTGAGAAAATTTTTTCACTGAAAGGGTGGTCAGGCATTGGCACAGCTGCCCAGGGCAGTGGTGGAGTCCCCATCCTTGGAGGAATTTAAAAGCCCTGTGGATGTGGCACCTGGGGACATGGTGGCCTTGTCAGTGCTGGGGAAATGACTGAACTTGATGATTTTAGAGGGCTTTTCCAACCTAAAGGATTCCATGATTCTAAGATCCCTGTGGTGGGAGAATAACTGGGGAACAGCATCCTTCCCCAAATCAGCAGGCCACAGCCACTCCCCCCCTGGCCTTGCAAACACCACAAGTCCCTGCCAGCACTGGTGGCAGGGCAGGTACCAGAGGTCCTGGAGCTGCCCCACCCCAGTTAGAGCAGACCTGGCAGGGGCTGGAGGAGAGGGGAGGTTCCCAGAGGCCAGGAGGGATCCCACGGCATTGGGATACACCCCCTGTGGGTCCCACCGAGGTGTCCCCTGCCCCCCTGGGGTCCCCACCTGCGTCTGCTCGTCGATCTCCTTGCGGATGCGCTCGCCCAGCACGATGAGCACGGACACGGCCGTCTGCACGTCCCCCTGCTCGGCGTAGAACAGCAGCGTGTCCCGCACGATGGGGCTGAAGAAGTCGGAGGGCAGGCGGTTCTCGTAGAGCGAGTGGGAGATGGAGATCAGGGAGAAGGACTCCACGGGCGTCAGCGACACCGTCTCGGCCTCGTTGCCGCTGACGTGGGGGGAGTCAGCCTTGTCCTGCAGGTGGTCCAAGGCCGAGGGGTTGTCCACGATTTCGTGGCGCAGGGGGAAGGCCTCCTGGGGAAGGCTGTATTCCTGCTCTTCGGCTGCGAGGAGACGGCAGGAATGAGCGGGGAGGGCCGGGAGAAAATCCAGCTGCACGTCTGGGATGGGCAGCACCTCCCAGCACCAGCCATGAACTCACCATGGGGGTTCTCGTGGTCCATCATGTACAGGTCATCCTCATCTGCCTCCACGTCTCCCAGCAGGTAATCCGCAGGGACATCGCTGCCCTCTGTCTCCTCGTTGTCTGCGTGCCCAGAGAGAGAGAAATCAGCTCATCCCGTGGTTGGATCCACCTCCCCGTGTCCTCCAGCGTGCCAGGCTGTGCCCGAGCCAGACAGCCCAGCTCCCCAGCACATCACGTTCCTGGCACCCCCAGCCACCACTGTCACTGTCACCCCAGACCATGGGGGTAAACTGTCCTTCTGCAGCTCCCTGGGGCTCGGTGTCCTTCACTGGGGGCTGCAGCAGGCCCAGCCACCCCAATTTATGGGATAAATGCATTGATTTATCCCACATCTGCAGCTGAGGAGGGAAGAGCTGTAGGAGTGGGACTGTTCCCCCCAGGAATGTTACCCTCATTGTTGATCAGGGTGGAGGAGGAGTCCATGAGGATGTTTTCTGAGCGGCTTTCACCTTTGCTGCGGTCCAGTCTGGACTCACTGCCCAGCCCAGAGGGGATGTCCTTCAGGTTAAAGCTGGGGAAAAAAAAGCCAAATTTAATAGGCCACAGAGGTTTAAAGCTTCCGTTCCAGCCAGAAAATGGCCTGGACAGAGGTGTCCAGTTGCAGCTGGAATGGTGAAATGTGAGAGATGGTGATTTCCCCGAGAGCAGAAGTCACCTGTCCCCACTGTGTGATTAAAAACAAAGACGTTGCAATTGTGGTCACAGCCCTGGTGTCACTGCACACGCACTGCAAAGGTCTTTCTGAGGAATTTCAGCGCTGAGCAGACCCTCTGCTCTACCTCCTTCCCTTCAGAGGCAGGTGAACAGGAGCTGCCTCGCTCCAGGGTGCTTGGCTGTTTGTTATGCATCATCATGCTCAGCTTTCACCGATGGAAAAGGGAAGGGATGGGGTTGGAGCAGAGCCCAGCAGTGTTTCAGTCAGTGGCAGAGCAACCCAGCTGGAGGCAGAGCTTGGTCAAGGACAGTGCTTGTTTCTTTTGATGTTATTTGAGGATCTGTCACTCACTGTGGGAACCTGGCCCTGAGAAGTCTGACAGCTAATCTGGAGTCCTCACCCCTCACGTTTATGTCATTGAAAAGAGGAAAAACCAGTTTTCCTGCTTCATCAGCCCACAGTGGGGCTCTCACAGAGCTGGGCTGTGCTCTTCCTTGGAAAGGCAGAAGAAAACCTCTGCACACCTCCAGCCCCAGCTCCAGCCATGAGACACCTTCTCCACCCCCAGCCCTTGGTCACCACCCCTGTGCTGGCACTGCTGGGGCACCTCCAGCCCTGGGGGCAGTTCTGGGCCTCTCTCAACAAGAAGGACACTGAGGGGCTGGAGCGTGTCCAGAGAAAGAAATGGAGCTGGGAAGGGGCTGGAGCAGCAGGAGCAGCTGAGGGAGCTGGGGGGGCTCAACCTGGAGAAAAGGAGGCTCAGGGGGGACCTTCTGGCTCTGCAACTCCCTGACAGGAGGGGGAGCCAGGGCGAAGTCAGGCTCTGCTCCCAGGGAACAAGGGACAGGAAATGGCCTCAAGTTGGGCCAGGGGAGGTTTAGATGGATATTGGAGAAATTCCTTCATGGAAGTGGTGGTCAGGCATTGGCACAGCTGCCCAGGGAGGTGGTGGAGTCACCATCCTGTAAGTGTTCAAGAAATGTGTATGCAGATGTAGTGCTTAGGGGACATGGGTTATTGGTGGCCTTGGGTTGACAGTTGGACTCGATGATCTTAGAGGAACCCGAATGACTCATGAATTCAGTAACTGCAGACTGGTACCAGTCCTGTGCCCCACCACAGCTCCAAACTCTGGCTCCAGGAGGGAAGGGAGAAGCACGTGAGGCTGCAAGGCCAGGCTGGGCACTCACTTCTCACACCCACATGCGAAATGGCTGCATTCAAAGGATGCCAATCTGCAAACCAGCGTGGCCTGAGGCTGGAGAGAGCTGCCCCTGCTCCCACCCTGTGGCTGGGACAGGTCAGATGTCAGGAAGAAACTCTTCCCTGGGAGGTTGGTCAGGCATTGGTTGCCCAGAGAAGCTGTGGCTGCCCCACCCCTGGAAGTGTCCAAGGCCAGGTTGGACAGGGCTTGGAGCAACCTGGGCTGGTGGAAGGTGTCCCTGCCTGTGGCAGGGGGTGGAACGGGATGAGCTTTAAGGTCCCTTCCAACCCAAACCACTGTGATCCGATGCTATGATTCCAGGACTCCATCCCAAAGGAGCCATGTCCGCTCTCCCACTCAGGGAGCTGCCCCAGCCATGAGACGCCTCAGTGCAGCTCCAACGCTCCGTACCTGTTCATGAGCGGGAGGGCAGCGCTGCCTTTGCCCATGCTGTGGTTGAGGTTGGTGGATGACACGGTGCCCAGGCTGGAATAGATAATCCGCAGCATCGTCCACGTTTGAGCCACCTGCACGGGAGACAACCAGTGCCAGACCTTGCCAGGCTGCAAACCAGGCCCTGTCCCGCCCTCCCCGTCCCACACCTCACCTGGTTGCGGTCCAGGCCCTTGGCCACCTTGGCGTTGTGGTCGCAGAGCTC